GCCCTGTCGGAGTAATGGTTTGTGCAGAGTTTCGTTTGAGTCGCAATAAAATCCATCTTGTGGACTTGAAAAAAAATTTTCTTTTTGCTTTGAAATGAAAACTATAGAAATTTGTATCACTTAATTCTAACTGGTTGGTCAGAAACAAGTGACACGAGGTATCGAGTAAATAAAATATTGTTTGCAACAAATGTTGACCTTGAAATAATCAATTGACGGTTAAAACGATCATGCGTGACGGTTAAAACGATCATGTACGGTGAAATTCGGACGCATTCCGGACCGACTACTCCTGAGAATTCTTCAATTTCGTTTTCATATAATTCTTTGATGAGAAAGGATCTTGTTGATGCATCATTTTAATTATTTTCGTTATTCGACGATTTGTGTGGAAAGGATAGCCGGGCGTTTTTTTCGAGAAATGATGATACGTTTGGTCGGAATGTATCTTGAACCGGCAATTTGATCTTAAAATAATACAAAAAAATTATTATTAACATGGCGTCATCTGCATAAACATTACGATAAATTGCACAATTCCATCTAATTTTCACATTTTCACTGTCTATTTCTTATCATTTTTTTTTTCTTAATTTTTTAATCTGTTTGTCATATTTTTATCGTATATTTTTTCACCAATTCTTGAGATAATATATTTTTCGCCCATTTTTCTCCTACATTTTATTCATTTTTCCGCCTAATCTGTTTTTCATCTATCTTTTTACCATTTTTTGTCTGTAGCGCAATTGCAGTGATCGAAACCTCCAATAATCCTCTTCTTCTTCATATCTTTTCGAGGATCACAGAGTCAATTTCAAAATATTTCAGTTCCCACGCGCATTCCATTAGAAAGTCGTCGCCTGAAAATTCAATGATTGCCTCGAACCTGAAATATCGCCTTCAATTTTTGTTTTAAATTCATTTTCTTTTCATATAATTAATTGTAATATAGACGCATGTTTGTACAAATTTGTTTTGTTTTTTTTTTTCGTTCCATAAAAGTGTTTGTTTCACGGTTGCTAATAGCGATATAATGGAGACACGAAATTTGATCTATTTCCATGGTCCGTCGAAGGAAGGTGCAGCACACGCAATTGATGTTTTATTTCGTGTTTTTCGAGTGCCGCTTCCACTTATTATTTCATATACTTTTGTTTTTCAGAACCCTAATTTGATATTCGAGAAAACTTCGATATCATCATCAAATATGAAGTCTAAGGGGGCGGGGGCAACAAGAACAGATTTGAATAACCTAAAAATGGCAGCCAAGAGCATTTGATTCGTCTCAAAGACACCTGCTCAATGAATAAAAATGGCTGACTATATTTCCATTTTTAGAAATATTTGTTTCATTTCAAAAAAGATAAAAGTCAGTGAAGAAAAATTTAAGAAAGCTTGGTCATTTCTTCTAATTTTTTTCGAATTAAGAATTTGACAAAATGGACACTTTTTTTTGTCAAGTATTCAATAAAATCAAAAAGAGCGCATTTGAACATCAATTTGAGTTTTTCAGCTGTTTTTCACAAACAATAAAAGCATAAAACGAGAAAAATAAAGCGGCGAAGAAATCTGAAAATAATGTGTGCCACAAAAAAGACACAATTGGTTTTCGGCGAGAATTAAACGTTCGCTTACTTTTTTCGACGGGAATAATAAGACAAACTGCCGCCTTTTTTTGTTGGCGCCTGTTTTGTCTGTTGCTCAATGAGCTCGTCGTCGTCACCTTGGAGACGTCGGTCGTCTTCATTTTTTCTCTCATTTTTGAGTTTTTCTCACACCTTGCGATATTCATTCTCCGACTCGTTCTCCAATTTCCTGTTTATTGATTAATTTGATATTTGAATTTTTAATTGGATAATTAATTATTCAATTTACAATTACAAAATCTAGTGTATCAAATGTATATGATAAATGATAAGAGATTGACACACGAAATTCAACCGTTTGAATGGATTAGTTTCACTTCGATTCAATTTCATTTTATTCATGTTCGAATAGGAATTTCAGCATGTGAACTCGAAGAAACATTCCAAATATGGGTATTCAATCGACTGACAGGAGGCGGGGCCTTCAATTTCACGAATTCGATGTAGATTTTAATTTAGTGTTGACTGAATATTAAATGCGTGTTTCGTCGATTGCGAAAAATTGGCGAAATGCCAAAAAGTGTGGAAAGAGCGTGATTGCGGATGACTTTCTTGACGCGGTAATTCAAACTTCAATTCGATTTACTTAGCGATTTGACACATGGCGCACAGGAGACCCTTTTTTGGGTTTTCACGCGGAGCATTTTGGGACAAACAGGAGAAAAATCAAATTAGTCGAAACAAAAGTCGCTTTTTCGGGCGAAACGCAACATATTGAGGGATCTTGCGTGGTGTTACCCTATTTGGACCAAAAATACCCGCGGTTTGTCCTTAACTAGTAGTTGCTAACAGCGTGAGAATGCGAGTATCGTTCTACTGTAGTCTGCGAATCAAACTCACGGACTTTTATAAACTACAGTAACGAATGTTCTTGTTTTTTGCGATTGTGAAATATTGGCTAAAAAAAAATTTAAAATGAGGTCTCGGTGTGCGCCTTTAACTTTTCTTTCTACATTTTCCTGTAAATCTACACTTTTAATTTTGCCCCTTGTTTTTTTTTGTTGGCATTTTCCCAATTATCCGTCGTTTCGCGCCTTCGACAATATCTGTTTCGATAATCTCAACTCGCTCATTTGTCATTTCCCACAAAAATCAATTTTCGCCATTAAAAGTGCACATTTTATGCACTCGATATTGAGAAAAATCGAGTAAATATCTTATTGAAATATTTTCCATTTAATGCATTTCTCAAAGCGCAATCAAGGAATTCAATTGGGTAATTTCTCCAAGTTGAAGCTGATTTGATTGCTACAATTTGTTGAAATGATAAATAAAAAAAGTATTTGTTGATTGCTATTCTGAGAATTTTTGAGAAACGTATTTGAGAATGAGCGGCCAAATGAATTTTTTTGAATGTTTTGGAAAAAATGTGCAAATTGTTGAGACTTGACTCAATTTGCACCTGCAGCTCAAATTTATTTAACAAAACGAAGTAAGACTAGTTGAATTGGTTGTGTTTTGAAGTGATTAACGAGAAGAAATTGCACTGTTTTGATATCGTCATTATTCAAATTTAATTTTTCTTTCACAATGTTTTCAATTATTTTTGTTGCTTCCGCTTTTTTGTGGCGCACAATTCGAATGGTTTTTTTTCGAAAAACTGCCGGGTCCAATAATTCGATCTCGGTGATTTCTTCGAAAGTTTTCAATTGCTCAGATTTCAAACTAAACTAGTCAGTTTTTTTTGAGAATCTCATTGCTATCTTTCGGTTTTTGTTTGTAAATAAAATAAAATATATTTTCGAATGGAAAAGAGTCCAAAAATTGGTAATTTGTCTAATTAAACATTCGACGTCATCGGCTTCTTTTCCTTAAAAGGTGCTAAACAGACGGATACATGTTTGCACGCGGACGCACATCTTCTTCTTCTTCTTGTGTTTTTCAATTAAACTTGTATTATCTGATAGATATTTCGAGGCGAGCCCGTGCGTTGAGCAGCAGGAGCCGCAAGGGCAGCAGAAGAAGCTGGCCGAGCCCTCGTTAAGGGCGGAGCCGACGGGCGTGGCTGCCTACTGGTCATGAATATCAAATGATTGGCGTTTTTGCGAGGCATTCACACGAAACCAACACCTCGTCGATTTCTCAATTTCATCTTGTACTTTTTTTTTTGATTTCAACTCGACTTGATTCTAAGTGAAATTCACAATTGAATCTCAATTGGAAATCGCTTAAAATCTGAAATTTCAGAAAATAACCTGTAGTTTTCAATTTTTCTCAATTTTTTCCGATTAAAATCTCTTCGGTTTTCGAGGAAAAAAAAAACAAGAAAATGAAGAATGTAATTCCAAAAAAAATGATGAGATTCGATGTGCATCATCTACAAAATACCCATATTTGGATAATTCAATGAATTCAAAAATATCAAATTTTTAAAACGCAATTCATTTTATTTATTTAATTTTTTAAGCCAAAAAACAAAAAAATGGTTGATTTGTGGCCGACATAAATTAAAAAATATTTGGCAAACAATTTTTTTGTGGATTTTGTCAGTTTGAGAAAATATACAATTAGCATGTGGTGGTGACCGCGTAAATTTCCAATTAGAAAGCCGGTGGAGCCGCGCAAATGCTCCGCTAAACTTGTTGCCCTTATTCCCCTAACATAATCATTATTCTGACATTGCTAGTAGCAATAATAATAATAATAAAGGGACAGGAATTGAATAATAATAATTGGATTACTCTTCGTCTTATGAGCCGGTCGACGAAAAGAGGGAGCCGAAAACAAAAAGGAATCGAGCAAATTTTGATGTCTCACCAAGAGAAGTGGGCGTGGCCGAAAAACACAGCGAGCTCTCACCGAGTTTTTCAATGGACACCACTTTTTCTTTTACTTCTTCGTCTTCTTATTATTATTATTATTTTATTTTTGGCACACAAATTGAAAAACATACACCGAGTTGCATATAATTGAGTTTTACACGAGAGATTTGATTTGCATACACCCTAATTGGCTCGGCGAGCCCTGAGAGCCAATCGCACACACCTGGCCGACTCGGTTTGATTTACATTTAATCATTTCCCGCTTCAACCCCCCTTCTATTCAACGCCGTTCAATCGCAATTCTCGACTCGTTCGATTCCGCGTCAACGATATTCGTTAGAAATTTGAATAAAAAGAAAAAATCGCCACCCTGACATCACTTTTCTTCGAATGTTTTATGGGCACTTGGAAGGGGTGTTGGGAAAATGCGTGAAAATAAAATCAAATGCATTTTTTTTTGGTATTATTTGATTATTTTTGATTTCCTATCTCCAATTCGATGTTCTCTAATCTCATTTTGCAGAATCAATCAATTTATTCGATCTAGCCCATTCAAATGATGAGAGATTTGGGAAATGTGTGAAGTGGCGTCATGTGGCTGCGTGTACTGTTGATATTCTGCGGTCTCGATGTGCTTTTCGGCATCGAAGAGTTGCTTCAGCGACAGAAAATGCACTGTTTCAGGTGATTCATTCAGACAATTTCGTGCTGAAACATCGCAACTTGCAGCTGCGCCTCGTTCGTCTATCTACCGCTATGGCAACAATTGATGCATCATTATTATCCACCGAAGAATTTCACCGATCGCTGCTGGCAACCGGACGCCGGTAAAAAGCACCAAAACGCGCTCGATCGCAAATCGCCACTAATTCAGGAATCGGAGTGGTACCGTGCACGTCAGCGTGCTTCACACTCGTCGAGCAAGTCGATTCCAAGGATTGTAAGTCATTCGCCAAAATTTGTTGTTGAAAATCATCGAAGCTGACACACGAGGGGATTAATTTCGAATTTTCATCAGAGAGAGAGAGAGAGAGAAAAAAGTTTTTGGTGCGAACCAATTTCGAATTCAAAAGTCTATTCATTTGACATAAAAGTGCAGACATGCGTGAGTGTTGAGCATGTGTGTGTGTGTGTTTTTGCGTGGTCCCGAGAAAATGACCGACGACGACCGAAATGTAAGACATGCTCATATACGCATTTTTCATTAGTATTTGGTGTTTTATGGGCAACCATGTTGAAATTTGGCCGCGCATGCTTCCGAATGAGATCGACTCGCGAGTCACGGCATGATTTTATTGGTTTCCGTCGTCGCTCGCAATCCCCCATAATTTTTAACAGCGCCCCCCCCCTATTGCGACAGGAAAACTGCCGGCCGACGAATGACTTTTTATTAAATTAAAAATGAATATTTAACGAGATATCGGGCACAATTCAATCAAATCTTGAGCTCCTAAACCATTTCAAAATATTATACATATAATTATTATATTAAAGAAGACACTAACAATTTCATCATGAAGTCTTTTTCAGCAAAAAAAAATCGTATGTTTGATTCTCGCTGAGTCTCGAATAGAAAATTTTGGTTTGAATGAATAATTTGCCCGCGAAATTGAAAATATTCAATGCGATGAATAGTGATCAGAAGACCTCAAAATTGTTTCATTGTTTAGTGTTTTTTTTTCAACTGAAAATGAAAAAATCTTCCGATTTTTATCTCCAATTGAAGCCGTTTATATTCGAAATTGCTAAGAATGTAATATCGAGATTCTGTTTTAATGAAAACTTCAAAATTTTCGAACGATAGAATGTCAATCCTCAAAATCCACATTTTTTGACACTTTTTGATTGCTCACGGAACTCTCCGAATCATGAAGAAAAAGCTGAAAATCGAGTCCAATTCTTCAATTCATTCTTTTTTTCGTTTTAAGAATCGAAATAATAATTTTTGCCGACCCACGCCAACAAAAGAAAAATCATTATTTCGACGGCGGCGGCCTTCTCGCGTGTTTTGATTCAATTTTGCACATATCAAATATGCGCAATATTACGATTTTCATTCATTATTGTTTGGAGCCGAGAAAATGGAATGTATGCGCAAAAAACAGAAGGAAAAAATGAACGGACAGACACAACAGCGTTTCGTTGAGGAGAAAAAAAAAGGCTAATTAGCACCTGGCTCTCGATTTATTGCTTCCTGATTCAGAGATATATTTGTATTTTGGACTCTCGAACAATTGAATTCAGTTGTCTGCTATGATGGGATTAGGTCGACCCAGCGAAAAAAAAATCGAAAAATCCGGTGATTGTCGTCGAAACTTCCGGTTTCGAGTCGATTTAGCATATGTTTCTCGAATGAATATTTAATCAGCTGCGCGAAATTCGCAAAACATCATTCATGTTCGTGTCGGAGACTCATTAAACAAACCGCCATCGAGCGACCACATTCATTTTTCAGATAAATGTTTGATTACACAAATACATGCATAAAAGGCGCGCATTTAATTTTTGATCGATTTTTGACATTACATTGAATAATTTGAGAATTTTATACGAATGTATTCCTTGTTTTTTCTTTTATTCGTCTTCTTGCAACCTCCAAAAGTCGCAGCCGACACCGAAAACTCGATGAATAATTAATTACTACAAGACGTATCGTTTCTCTCGCAGCACTCCTCAAATTGAATTCTATTTCGTTCGAATTTGCGCAAAAAATGTAGTCATTGCTATTATTAGTATTATTATTATTATTAGTGTCTCTGTGTTTTCGGGGGACTTCGCTTCAAGCATGACATCCAATCGCAAATTCTTCGGGTTGTTTCGAAATTCTGATATATGAATCAGAATAAGAAAATTGACGCATTCATTTTTTTTTGAAAATGTTTTAGATATTCACTTTTTGGTTTTGACTCAAATCCATCGGGGATGTTCATTTGTCGTTCATTTGGTTGGAAAACGAGCGCGCATAATTATTTATGTGATTTTCGGCTTATTATCAGTTGCCGAAATCAAAGACAATTTATGAAATGAAAAAAAGTAGACAAAAGTAGGAAGAATGCGAATAGCATAAATCAGCCGGTTTATTGCATCCGGCTCCTTGGCGAGCACCCGTCTTATCTCGATCCGCTCATCTATTCGTTTCTTGTTTTTTTTTCGTGCCTTTCATCCGGCTATTCGGCCGACACCGGTGTGAGCGTTTTGTTGTGCTCGGCGTCGATTTCCACACGAAATATGCACACACACCAAATTTGTCGACAGAAAAAAACAACAACAATGAGGAGGGAATGCAATTGAAATGAGATGGTCTCACCTCTCAAAATTGATGCTTATTTTTTGACAGATATGCCCGAACAACCCGGAGTTATGCGTGGATGTGTCGATCGACTTCTGCTTTTCGGCCTCGATGACGATGTTCGCAATGTGCTTTCTGGTTATGATACGCAGCGAGTGTGTCGAAGGACTGATCGCAAATTGCTCAGATTATATCCGTTGACTACTCAGACCGATCTGGTTAGTTTCAATTTGAATATGAGGCAAAGATGGCTGGGAATTATCCAAATTCGGGGACCTTCTTTTAAAGGAGCATACTCTAATCGTTTGCTATCGCATCAAGACCCATGAAGTGAAATCATATCTTCATTCAATATATAAATAAATATTGATTCCGACAAAGAATCCAAAAGTTGTTAAGAGACGACGAATTTATCCAGACGTCGTCTGAGATATCATAATCCGCTCGGCAATTAATTAAAAAAAAAAACAACTCTCACACGATTTAAAGTTTTTAATTTTAATTTTCATTATTGTATTGTTGAAGACAGATGATTTCTGGTGGAGGAGAGTAGAAATATGAACGATGCGATTCGGATTTGTAATAATTTTCGATTTGGCTGCATATCAACACATACAAAACTACAGTATAAATCAAAGACGCATGCAAAACTAATTTCGCACCAAGAAATAAAACTATTTTATTGGCAGAAAAAACTTTAAATTTAAGTTTTGCATCAAATAAGTGGACCACAATTATGCAAGGAGTTCGTTTTTTTTTTGCAATGGTAATATATATTCGTTCTATTGTCATAATGTTGAGGACGGACGAATTTAGGGAGGCCCTGCTTATAATTCAAATTTTGGCGCCATAATCATTTTCGATTTGAAATTACTGTAGATATCAAAGGCGCAGGCGAAAATTTGTTGATTTCGCGCTAAAATCCAAAAATGATGAACGCCTTTGATCATACAAATTTGTCCAATTAGTCCGTATTCGACAATCTGAATCTATTATTATTGGAATTAGAATTGTCAATTTCTGTAGACAATAACACACGGCACCGTAAGCGACGAGACGATTGTTTTGCATAATTCGAAGTAACAGAGAGACAAACAAAAAACAAGCTTGTCTGCGACGAAAAGCCTTCAATGTGCAAGCTAAAATCATTTCGAGAATGTGTGAATTTCTTTGAATGGTCCACGATTATCTGTCTTCGACAATATTATAAAAAACGGGCGCCCTCATTACTGTTGTTTATAAATACTCGGTGAAAATTGGCGGGCCCCGCACGGGTGGAAATGGGTGGTTGGACCCGCGCGGGGCCAGCGCGACTCCAAATTATGCCCCGCGCCGGTGAATATCTCAGAAGGGCTCGCGCGGGTGATTTGCGTTCAATGGGAATGGAGGGCCCCGCGACGGTGGTATGAGGGCCCCGCGACGGTGGTATGAGGGCCCCGCGATGGTAATATGAGGGCCCCGCTCGACGAAAGGGTTTGCCCCTCAATTTTCACCCGCGCGGGACCCGCAAATCGTTGTTTTCACCCGCGCGGGGCCCGCCAATTTTCACCGAGTATCCGCGATTTGAATTGACAGATAATTTGCAGTACGAGGCGCGGATTCTCGCAGAATATGTAGACAGCTTTCCAAAAAAGGCCTACCGTTATTATTAAATATATTCAATGTCGCCAGACGCGTCGCGTGCGTTCCTTTTTCTTTATATTCAATTTTTTCGGAAATAGTATTATGAAACATAAATGAATATAAACCTGACCGCACGCGAACCGCAACGCGTCTGAATTGAGAACAAATTATTCTGGTTCTCTTATTCAACAGTTTTTTTTCTTCTGAATAACCGATCTGTATTCGTCACGTACCAACAGAAAATATGGCATTCATTAAAAAACAACAAAAAAAAAACGAAAATAATGCGCCTGCTAAAATTCAAATTTGATTTACCGCCTCTGAAAAAATACAGTGGTCCACAATGGTTCAAAATAAATTAAAAGGAAATTCGAAATTTAGGTGAACCTGTGCACGTGCGTCGGCGATTTCTGCAACGAACACGACATGCTCCGCGAGCTGAACTCTCAATTCTCGCCCAGTTTTCTCTTATTGTTCCCTATCACCATTTTTCTCCTTTTAAGGAATTAGCACAGTCTTTCTTGTGCAATATCATTTATGTGTGCTCCCGAGATGATTACGAGTGTTTCAAATTGACAAATCTTATCCATTGTGTTTTTTTATTACTATTAATATTATATAAAAATATCACAATTTAATTGTTTTTAGAAAACGAATACGGTATTAGATACCCGTTTTGGAAAATAATTATTAATGAAAATTTGAAAAAAGAAAAAGACATGGAAAGAATAGAGGTAAAAAGAAGAAGAAGAGAAGAAGAAAAAGAGAAGGACAGTTTGTCATTTTCGCTCCACTGACAACGGAATCCATCGTTGGCTGAGTTTTCGATCAGACAAAGAATCCAATCGAATTTCCAGCTGAAAACGGTGTATTTTATTTTTAACAATTTTGAATTAATCGAAATACCATTCCGAGAATGGGTTTTGCAACAAAAGTGCCGTAGTTAGTGTCATCTTTCACTGCAATTGCCAGTTTGTAGTTGTGAAGATCAGAAGAATTCAGATCAATCGTGAAACTGAAGATATAAATCATAAAAGAGCCATTTTATAAAAAGAAAAACTTACTGATTATCGAAATTCGGTGATTTTGTATTTTTTGAAATCGGGGTCTTCTTCTTGTAGATTTCTTTATTTCCATCTATCGAGATTAATTTCATCTTTAAAATTTTCAAAATTCCAAAAATCTTTGTTTGTTTCAAATTCATACCGATACGTAAGGATTACAAGTTTCCTTTTTATCCATTGATATCAAATCTCGACATCTCAAAATTGCCACTATCAATTGACTTTTCAGTTCGTCATAATCAATCGCCAATTCAATTTCTCCTCGATTTTCATCACCTCTGTAAATTCAAAAATATTTTTGTTCGAATATTATTTTTTTTAAACCTCGTCTCTCGTTTTTTCATTTCGTGTTTTGATTTGAATATTCTTCCTAGTCGACTATTAGATCTTGAATTTGAACCAATTGAATTATTCGAATCCGATCGAAGCATCTACAATTCCATCATTTCGATTTGTATCGATTTGTATTCTAATATTAAACCTGGAAGTTCTCGACATTCAGTTTGACTTCAATTTCATCTTCCGCTGCATCATGGTTCACAGTTTTCGCCGGTTCGACGGCTACAGCATCTCCTCCATTCGGCTTCAATCCGCCATTTGCTCGTTCAATATATTGCGCTAAAAATTTACTGATTCTAGGGGTTTTTTTAAAATTTTTTTCGATAAACCGTTTCCATATTCGCCGAGAACATAGTGATTCAATTCGTTGCTTTTTTTCGGCTTTGCTTGAATTACAGCCTGAAATTCAGAAAGATTTTCAATTAATTTAAATCTTTCAGAATCACAAAATATAATGAAAATAAAGTTTAAAATAAGAGAAAAATTATTTCATAAGTTCTGCAATTCAAAGGGAATTTAAATACGGAATTCAATGGATTTGACGACGGCGAATTTGAAAGTTCTTCTTCAAAATTTCGCATTTGAGAACCTTCCGCACAAAATCAACGATTGTTGCTCGCTTGGTAAAGAAAATGATTACACAAGAATTCAAGAAAATATTAAGAGATTTCAGGAATCAAAATGATAATAATCGCAACTGTGAAGTGAAAAATCGCATTATGAATTGAGCTCAAATTCAAACTGATTAAAACTTTGAAATCTCGAAAACAACTTGAAAACTGTCGAATGAAATTTGAGGCTGAAACGCAAAATTCGATGCGTGTGTGTTTGTTGGGTAAATGAAGACAGTGAAAGTGACAAACTCGATTGTTTTTCAGCTGCGTGCGTTCCGCGGCGCGAATCTCATCCAAGATTTGCGCGTTTTCGCCGATGTCGTGCAACACCTAAAATTCTGATTTTGAGAATTACCTAAATAATTGCGCATGCATTAAATAAGCGACCTAATAACAAGAAAAGATGTTAATAACGACGGGAAAAACATGTTAGCGAGAACGCAAAAAGAAACAAAAAAAAAACAATTCGAAGATGAACAGAAAATAAACAGAAAATAAACGCAACGAAAGACATGCGACAAGCGACAAAAAAAAACATTTGAAAAAATACGGACGCAAATATCTGACTTACTCGCAATCTTGATGTTACTACAATCGGACTTTGATGAACACCTAGCGTGAGCATGTGTAATTGCTGGTTTTGCTCCAGTTGAGGCTCTTTAAGCAGAGTTGATAATGAGAGGCTGAAGCTACCAAGCGGGCGACGTGTTCCATCATCAATCGCCTAAAATAACATTTCGGCAATGTTTTAATTACCATGCAGTAAAAAATTTAAACATTTAAAAATTTTCCCAACGAAACCTTGTGATAAATGCATGTTTAATGGAATTTTCTTTTACATTTTTTTGTAGAAAATTACATTTCAGAAATAAGTCCATTAAAAAGAAATGAGGGCTTTCGGGTACTTCAATTTTAAAATTATGTGATCAGCGCGAGTGAAAAATTTTTGGCCGCGAAAATGATTGTATAAATAAAAAATTACACATTTTTCCGATGCAGAGATGTATTTAAATACACATTTAATTCTTTTTTAAATTTCTTTTTGTACTTCATAGTTATTTGTGACGGAAATAGTATTACGATATATATGTCGTCCGCAAAAGTTCGTCATGTTCGGCGATTCGTTAACCCTCAAAATTGAAGAAAGCTCATCGGGCGGAACAGTTTTTTTTTTGCTTCCGGCGAAATAATGACAAAATTTGGGAAGTATTAAATAGAACAAATTATCTGTTTTACTTGAAACGGCGAAACGGTGTAATCTGAATGTTTCGCCAAAATCCAAGAAAACCATTGTTTCTTTCGCCCTTTTTTTCGCCGGAAGAGTTTGCCGAGCAATTTGTGTTGTTTTCAATTTTTTTTTCAAATGATTTGAAATATTACATTCGCAAAAAAACCGAGCACCCTGAACCGGTGAGTTAGCTTCACAGGTTATCCAGAGTACGGAATCCGAAAATATCCGAATTCCCACTGTTTAAATTCGAATTTAAATTACCGCCTCGAAAAAGTGCGATGGTTTACAATTATGCAAGGTGCTCGTCTTTTTGCGGTGGTAATATAATTCTTCCCATTTTTTAGAGTTCATTTTCATACCTCAAACTTTAATTCTTGGCCTTCTAAATGTCTCACGAAGAACATAAACTTTGACTGAAACAGCGGATTAACAGTTTTAACTTTCACCGGCGTTCTTTGCGTTTCCTTTCCCAGCGAGACCTCGATAAACGGAGATGGTTCGAGTTTAGATTTTGGATACTGTAAAAAAAGATTAATTAGATATTATGCATGTTTAATCTACCGGCAGGTTTGAAACAGAGTCGACGAAAACCATCAGAAGGGCTGAATGTATCGGTTTGTCCGCCGAACCCCATTCAGCTTCCCACTCCTGCTTTTCCAAATGCTTCAAATCGCACGATAGGTCCATCCAGGTAGCTTTGATGTGCAAATCACCGTGTTTGCAACCTTCCAATGGGTACCACTAAACAGTTTTCTATTCATTTTCAACGAATTCCTTCTTACATGATCAATAGTTCCTTTGGCTTTAACTGATTTCAGATCCAAACTAAGACGTCCTAGTTCTTCATCTCTTCCTTGGTCCTCATCAAAAAGTTCGATTCGAAGTTTCTGTCCATCTGCTTGATCAACAACCGCTTCAAAATATTCATTCCAAATTGGATTCAAGTCGTTATCAATAGTACGAGTTTTGAAGAATTGTGCACCAACTTAAAATTTCAAATACCAATTAATAATAAATTGATTTTAAACCTTGAATTTCACAATATGGATCCGATTTGCCTTTTTTGATAAATGAAATATCGCGGTTTTCCAAGTTCTTGGCTTCGATGATTTTAAGTCGAATGACACCCTTTAAATAGAAATTTTTAAATCAATATTCAAAATAAACTAAGAACTTCAGGTTCCGGGAAATAGAGCTTTGTGACGTCTACATCTGGAGCCAATGGTACGACGACTTCATTCGGAAGAACGCAAAGCGCGCCGATCTGACTGTTGATCACACTTCGGATCGCGTCAATTAGTCCAGGCAACTCGACCATTTCTCCCATTCCGGTTAAATTAAAGTCCATTCGTGGCATTTCAAGGAATGTCGCCGAAATTCCGCCAATCATTGGTGGATATGGTAAAAGTGGTTTGAGAATGGCGCGTAGTTTTCCAGAAAACTAAAATTTTGAGTTAAATATTCGACATGATTGAATTTAATTCTTACTTGAATATTATTCATACCGCCGGTGAATCCGCAGCATGAAACTGTGAAATCAGCGTCGCCCGCATAAGCGACGTCCATGTCGACGATGATCCGATCTCTTCCCACATTCGTCGTATACACTTTAATTCCACCAACGCGGCATGGAATATCGCCCATATCCATTTTTGTGAACTTGAAATTCTTGAACATGCCCGGCATTTGGGCTTTGACTTGTGGAATGACAAAGTCGTTCATGAAAACTTTCGTGTATTCACCGACATATGGCCAAAGTTGGAGGATTACCTACGAATAATCACGAGTAGTCGTTTGATTTCCAAAAAAAGTGCTACTATCTTCTATTTCGGATTTTCAATCATACCTTATTGAGCCATTCAACTCTTTCAGTATCGGGGAATTGAACCCATGCGGGTAGATCTTGGAGTTGTGCCAAGATAACTTCGCGTTCCCTCAACGCAGTGGCTCTCAATGATAATAATCTGAAAACAAAAAAGAACAAAAACTCTTTTTTGGTGCTCAAAATTACCTTCGTTCTCTTTTCCTCCATAAATAACTTTTAATGACACTAACAACCACTATAAATATAATCCATAATATTGAACAATCCCATTTTCCTGAAAATAATCAAATGAATTTGAATCGTAATTGAGAGAACCTAAAAAATATGTGAGTGTTGAGATGACGGCGCTCCCAAGCAGCGGGACAATGTAAGATTGCCAACTCATCGATGGATCATGCGCAGCTGAAAATGAAAAGGTTCATTAGTTCAACAAAAGTGGCATGTTTTTTCGCATTCTTAAAATAATATCTTCTTAAAAACCCACGTATGAATCAAATGAATTGCTCATTTTCATTTTTGGTTCATTAATTTAAGCAATTTGAAGAAACTTTCGAATTAGAAATGAGTTGAGAATGCGAATCGCTGATTAGTTTGTTGTGAAGCTCAAAGAATCACGGAAGAAAACATATTGAATACAAATATTTCGTATAATCGCAGTGATAATATAAAATTGATATAATTTTAAGAATTGAAACCGATTATCGACGATGATAAACTTCGAAAATCCAAAAATTTGTAGATATTAAATAAAAATTAAAACTTCAGAAGTTAATGACACAAAAAATTATATTAATATTGTAACCATTTTGTCAAAAAGATAACAGCAAAAAATCTAATTTTATGTTTTAAGCGAGAATTTTATTTTGAGAAGTTTTCGCACGCATTGCGCAGATAAATGAATTTTGAATGAAAATGAACGCATTCAATTGAGAATATGCGAATGCGGATTTATAGGTATTCTCTCGATTTCCCACATGACAAGGTCAATTGCGAGAATGTGCAATTCTTCTACCACAAAGGTCGTACCGTGTTAGGCGCCAATTCACATATGCGGATTTTACCCTGGAATCTTGATATTGAATGGAAAATCTTGAAAACAACTCAATCATAGAAATAATGCTTTTATGCAGATTTTGGGAGAAAAATCTCAAAATACTGATTAGAAAATGTTATATTCTACAGGTTGCGTATGATTTTTAGGATTTTTAACAGTTTTTAAAATGTTCTTTTTCATAATCTGCATAGTACAAATGCAAAATTCTCTAAAACGGTTTTGAGTTGAATATGTCGAAGATTGTGAGAAACAATACATAATTCGAAAATGCAAACAAAGCGAAAAATGCTCGATTGATAAAACACTGAACAACCAATTATTTGTGAGGTAGAAATTCGAACCAAAAACTAATTGTCGAATTTCGATGATTTTCCGCGGTCGTTTGTCAGCCAGCTGTTTCAATTTAGCAAAAAAAAACGGATGACAATCAAACGAACAGCTCGGTCAACGATGAAGAAGAAAAAAAAGAAGAAAGGAGGCGAGAAGAAGAAAAGGCAGAAGTCCATGGCAACTGAGAGCTTCTGTGGTGAAAAAATATCGAATGTGGAAAATAACTGCGAGGAGACAAAAAAGGAGGAAAAAATGCGGAGAGCGCGACGTTAAGAGGAAATTTTTGCGGAAAGGCCTGACAAAAATGGTCGAGTAAATGCTCGAATATAACTGATTCGGCCAATTTATTTTTGATATTTCTTTTATTCGTTTTTATCAGTATTACTCACTCTATTGTGAATTCGCTTCAAAGGTGTTTGAAATGCCGGAAGAGTTTTCAACGAAATGTGCGACAATAAAAGCAATTGAATTAGAAAAAAAATGCAAACATTAGAATTCCGTTTGAGTTGGGCGCAATTTTTAGAATATTCTTATAGAAAAAAGAGTAGAAAATGTGGGCATTTGAAAATAAAAAAAGGCTTAAGAGAAACTCAAATATTAAGATGTTGAGAATCATCGTTTTTGAACAAAAAAAAAATGTAGAATATGTATGTTTTACTCAATTTTCGTGTTTTTCCACCAGTAAGTAGAGAGCACATTCCGAATCACAAATCTTAACCCTCAAGTGTGCTCCATTAAAACCTCATTTTTGTTTTGATATAATTCTATATATAGTGTATTCTCGAATATATGAAAGAACGTCTTCGAAACCCGGATCAAATAAACGCTCAGAATGATTTTTTTATGCAAAAACGAACCTGGGGTTTTATCATCCTCTTTTGTTTCAGGATTACTCATTTTGTTACATAAATTGTTATCCTGAAAAAAAGTGATTGGAAAAAAGAAAAACGAGAGAAATTCTGAACAAAAAAGTGAAATGAAAAACAAATGCGAGTAAAACGAGATAAATTGTCAATTGTCAATTGTCAGTTGCTAAATTATAAATACGTATAAACACGGGACGAGAGAGAAACAATCGCGACGAGAACAGCGTCTCTCTTTCTCGACAAACCACATTATCATATTCATCTAAGAGACCATAAAAGGGCAAACAATTTGTACTAATAAAAATTGAGTTCCTTTGGCGATTTATAACTAACCGTTTGAAATATCAATTTTTCTTTAAATCATAGTTTAGTTAAAATCGTAATTTAGAGAAATTTAAAAAAGCAGAAGCAAAAATATATTATCGGAGGCAATTCATTTGATTAAATGTTTTGTTTATTTTGTAATTTTTATCAAAAATAACATAAAAGTGTATCTTCGGGAGAAAAATTGCAAATTTATTTGTGGTTTTTCAAATTATTTGATTGATTTTTAATGGGACTCTAAAAATGTTGATCGATTTAATGCTACTCACAAATTAGAAACCAGTTTTTCGGTAATAAATGATTCGAAAAAAGAAACTTCAAAATGTTCATTTTATTCGAAATACATTAATGAGAGATTGTTGTTTCGAAACACATTATGAAAACATCCGGTACGAAACGATTCACACACACACAAAAGAGTTGAGTTTAACAAGGAGAATCAATATTTGACATTTCTACGTCTCGCAGCGAATACTTGCATCGCCGAATTCAAGAGCAAACAACAATTTTAAAAATAATGAAAATCGATGATGTGTTGGTTTTTTATTCATCGAAATGTGAAACTAAACAACAAATTGAGACCATTTGACGAGAAATACGAAAAAAAAAATAAGCAAAATGATCACTGCTCATTTTCAAGAACAGATGGGTCCAATTTAAGCTTCTTCAAAGCTTCTTTGTTGTCGTGCGCCATTTGTCGATTGGCAAGTTCCATTCTAAAAATATATGGGTGAACGAACACATGAATAAATCAGAAGAAACTAGCCATTTAAGCAAAAAACAAGTTTAGCATTTTTGCTGTTTAAAAAAAATTCTCATACCTAAGAAAGTCTTATAATGACTATAAAAGTTGTTTGTTTTCATTTAAAAACAAATGTTTTTATTTTTCTCGTTTAAAGAATAATATGAGTGGTTACAAATGAGCTCTCATATGTTTTCCATTTTTGTTTTTAAGAGAACTCTTGTCGCGCGATTGCGGAAATTTGGCTGAATACCGAAAAATTAAACAGAGGTCTCCGTGCGCGGTGTGCGCCTACAACCTATCCTTATTCGTTGGCCCGTAAATCTATACTTTTAGTTTTGCGCCCTGTTTTTTGGCATTTAGCCAAGTTTTCGCGCGACTTCGACAGTAATCATTTTTAAAGAATCTCTGGGACGAAATTCAACTATGACGAAAAAGTTAAGACAATGTTTTGTCTATACGATTCAATGCTTATTGAAGACTGAGTTGAAGAGAAAATTTCTTGGCGAATTCCCACGATATCCAATTTGCAAGATTTTTACTAATGAATACAATTTGAGATAAATATTATAATGAATTCCGTAATCTTATTGAAATTTGTTTTGTAAAATAAAATAAAACATACTTGTAATTATTGGTGACCATCGACACCCAGCTGTTTTCCAATTGTTTCAATTTATTGCCCGCATCCATTTGCGACATCTTGCGTTTCGCGTGAATCTCCATCACTTCCTCTTTTGATTTTCTCAGCTCCTTCTCGGCTTCTGTCAACAGTTTTTCGAGTTCTTTATTCCTTTGCAAATAACTTTCTGCCGAATACTCGTCCATCAATTCGAGATTAATTTGACGGAGCAACAAGTGCTCATTTTGAGCTTTCGCATTACGAAGGACCTAAAGACCAATTTAGTAACGACGAAAAAAAAACAACGAAATTACTTTTTTCCACATTTTGCGATCAATCCCCTTCGATGCAGATGGAGGTGGCAACTCGCATCGGCTCATATCCAATTTCGGCATTTCTTGTTTTTTCGACATTCTCTCCATTTCTTTCAACATACAAGGTGAGAGGAAAGCATCGTAATCTGGTACAGTCAGATGTGTCAAATAATTCTTAGTTGGCCGGAATGTCTGCAAAAAATGCACGTTAAAACGAAAAAATGAGGTCAGCAAATAAAATATTTTTAAATAACAATGTACTTTGCATTCGTGCTCAATTAGCTTCATCGCCATTTGCCTGTCCGCCTCATTATACTCGGTATCCAAATAAGGCAAAGCGTCAACAAGAACCTTAACAGAAGAGGGAAGTCTAGCGCATATTGAAATTACAAATTACTTGCTCGTCCTGAAGCTGTGAAGCTCCTCCTCCAGCTGTTAATGCAAGTGGTTGATTAGAAGACATCTGAATGCGACAAAAAATTAAGAAAACAGCATATGAAAACAAGATATTATTGCCGACAAAACAATTTACGAAGAAATAATCAAAGACTCATGCACAAGTGGTAAATATTTATTAATTTGGAGCAAAAATACAATTAAATTGATTAGAATAGTGCATTTTTACCTATTAAAAAACAACCGGGACTTAAAAAAAAATTGAACAGGCGGCAAGCAAAAAACCAAGTATCGAGCAAAAATAAAATGAGAATTTGAGATGAATTTTGCAAATGGTTTAAATGTTCATGAAAATTTGAGGTGAATTTTTAATAAATACAATTAATTTTTAAAATGAAAAATTGTACAGATTTTGGCTCTTGCGAGACATTGATTTAATATGAGTCAAAATGAGTAAATTAAAATTAATCTGAATCGAGAATTTCAATGATTTCAATCGAATCATCGCTCGATTTATGAGATGAGCTGATTTTGGAAATTTTTCTGAAATTATATTTATTTTCTTAAAAAATGTTTTAAAAAGATTGAACTCACGGTGTTCTGGTGCGTGAGCTTTGTGGTGTAGTACTCGATGACGGGGAAACATCACTTCTTCTTTTTCGTTGCTGGAACCAATTATTATTCGACTTCAGGTATTCGTCAACAGAACATTGTTCGACCAGCGAATTCGTTCTTTTCGACATTTTGAAGAAATCGGGAATCTTTTTCTGAATCTGTAATATCAAGGTAATCATTTCAAACTGATAAGGCTAACCGTGGCTTCATGGAATTTCTTCGAGCGTTTCTCACTTATTTCCAATTCTTGTTTCATTTTTTCGGCAGTCCATCCACACTCGTGAACCAGAATTCTCTGAAACCGTGTTGACCTTTTGCGATTTTCAGATAACAAAAAATAATAAAATCAAAAACAAAAATTGTTTCAATAAATTTCACTAAAATTACCTCGACTCGTCTCAAATCGGTACACGGCGGTGAGGTGAACGTGTCTTTCGAAAATGTATAAGTGTTTGGGTTCTCGTATATCTTCAGCGCCATACTTCAAAATTTCGAAATAAAAGTTGAAAAGGAAGGTATATTTACAGAATTTCATCAGTGTTCGGAAATGTTCTATCAAAACCATATTCCCTTCGTTTAAGCCTCAATTTTCTCTCAGAATCTTCCGAACGTTCTGGAACTTCTCCGCGAACGTAGGAACTGAAATCAAATAATAATTTAGTATCAATTAATATCAGTTAACGTACGCAAATCTATCAAGAATTTGCAGTGGATGATGATCTGCTTCTCGACCGTGGAATTCAGTAAGTACATCAAGCGCAGTGACGATTCCACAGTTTTCCACACCACTGTCGTAGAAATCGCATCCCAATAAAATTGCCATTGCGATTAAACCATTCCGATAGATTTTTGTATTGGCTTCGAGATTATCCATTGAGCAATGCATGATTGATTTTACACCGTTAGTGTTGAATTGAATTTTGTACAAGTTTCGACCGCCAAATATGAAATAGTCGAAATCGGTGGTTATGCATCCGTCAGTGATTCCTTCCATTTCAAGTTCCGCACACTGGGCTTCGCCTTCTCCTTTTGCGATAATGACAGTGACTCCCAAATGTCGAAGCATTGCTTGGCATTTGAAAACACGGTCGGCCAAATTGCTTGAATTGGTTAAATCGTGCCAGTTTAGATTTTTTCTCTCACTAAAAGCAAAGCTTCCTGGCTGAAAGTGTGCTATTTAAAGTTTAAAATCGTGCACTTTATATTACCTGTGGTGGCCTATTGACGGCATCAAAAACAACTATTGGACGAATATTTCTTTCCATTAAAAACCGGCATCTTCGAAAAAATGTCACCAAATAACTTGCACCCGTTTGATTATATCTTTGACCGCCTTTATGGCATTCATAAAGCCAAATATGTCCATCTTAATATTTTTTATTATTTATTTCAAATTCATTTTCGACTCACCAATTGATAATGTTTTGTTGCGTAATGCATCTATTTCGACCGTTTGCGAATGATTAGCAGCCCATTGCCAAATTCCGTGAATTGTCATTGTTATTTACTTGTTCATCTGTAATTTAGAATTTCGCAATTATCGAATATCGAATATGCGAAAAAACGATAAATAATGCCGGCCGCGGCCTCGTATTTCGTGCGCTAGGAGACGCGGCCAGCGTGGTCTCGACACGATGCGCCGTGTTTTCAAATTTCCAATGCCACGCAAACAAGCGACGTTGTGCTCGTTTCAGCTTTTTCTGTAGAATCTCAATTTTCGTGATTCAATTTTAACTGACTTCAGATATGTCATTAAAAATGATAAATTACATTAAAAAATAGCATTTGACTTTAATTTAACCATTTATTTTCGATGAAATAATGGTTAGAATTATTTTTTACGCATAAAAACAGAAATTGAATTAAGATAAGTTGAATTTCACAAATCATAATCCAAATAATTTTGATATATTCGGTCAATACTTTTTTTTCAAATTTTCCTCGAACCTTCCAGCATTTCTCTTTAATTTTTCCTAATAAGATTATGAGTAATATAATTTCAGGTAATGACTATCTCGACGAGAAACAGTCGTCTCGGAGCGACTACTCTTCTCACAGTCGTGATTCTCGGTCTCGCCTGGTTTGTAGGATTTGCGTCGCGCCTTTTTGCCATTGTTCGTTTTGAATCAATTATCCACGAGTTCGATCCATGGTTCAACTATCGCGCTACACACTATATGGTACAACATGGATTCTATAAATTTTTGAATTGGTTTGATGAACGAGCATGGTATCCATTGGGAAGAATTGTCGGAGGAACCGTATATCCAGGATTGATGGTTACTTCTGGACTAATCCATTGGATTCTTGATTCACTCAATTTCCATGTCCACATTCGGTTCGTTAAAATATTGCAATTCGATTAAGACTTTATAATAATTTAGTGAAATTTGTGTTTTCTTGGCTCCAACATTCTCTGGACTCACTGCAATCGCCACATATTTCTTGACAAAGGAATTGTGGAGCGCTGGAGCGGGACTTTTTGCTGCCTGCTTCATTGCTATTTCTCCGGGGTACACGAGCAGATCGGTTGCCGGATCATACGATAATGAGGGAATTGCCATATTTGCCCTCCAGTTCACTTATTTCTTATGGGTGAAGGCTTTAAAGACTGGATCGATCATGTGGGCGTCGTTCTGCGCGTTGTCTTACTTCTACATGGTTTCTGCCTGGGGAGGATACGTCTTCATTATCAACTTGATTCCGCTTCATGCATTCGCTCTAATTGTTATGGGTATAGTTATATTTTTTGTATTTTAATTATTTTCTTGTTTTCAGGACGTTATTCTTCTAGATTATTTGTTTCATATACCACTTTCTACTGCCTCGCAACAATTCTTTCAATGCAAATTCCCTTCGTCGGATTCCAGCCAGTTAGAACTTCCGAGCACATGCCGGCTTTTGGTATCTTTGGAATTCTCCAGGTAAATTCATTTCATCAATCGATATGTAAAATTTCTATTTTTCAGATTGTCGCGTTAATGCACTATGCTCGCAACAGAATTACTCGTCAGCAATTCATGACTCTTTTCGTTGGAGGATTGACAATATTGGCCGGTTTGGCTGTTGTTGTCTACATGGGACTCGTTTGGGGAGGATATGTTGCTCCTTTCTCTGGACGGTTCTATTCTCTTTGGGATACCGGATACGCCAAGGTGGGTATTTTGTCCGAAAATAATTTTGCAGCAAATCGAAATAATTCAAGATTCACATTCCAATTATTGCTTCCGTGTCTGAGCATCAACCAACTACATGGGTTTCGTTTTTCTTCGATCTTCACATCACTGCTGCCATTTTTCCAGTTGGTCTCTGGTATTGCATCAAGAAAATCAATGATGAGCGAGTCTTCAGTTCGTTTACGTTAGGCGTTCTTATATAAATTAGTATTTTAGTCATTCTTTATGCCGTTTCTGCTGTCTACTTCGCAGGTGTAATGGTTCGTTTAATGCTTACGTTGACCCCTGCTGTTTGCGTTCTCGCCGGAATTGCCTTCTCGTACACTTTCGAAAAGTTTATCTTATAGTGAAAGCGCGATCGAATCTATTTTTTTAAGATATTTGAAAGATGACGAAAAAAGCAACTCATCTGCGAACCAAGCGAACAACGACAGATATGATAAAATGGCGAAAGGTGCCAAGACAAAGGTATACAGTGGGGATGCTGTCGGAAGTGGTGTTGTGAGTGTTTTTGTGTTGTCCTTCTTCTGTCCTGTTTGTGTCTGTTTTGTTTATTTATGAGTTTTTCTATGTATCTGTCCTAAAAAAAACTATCTCAAAAACCATAATTATTTTTTTCAGACTGCTTCAACAGAATCCGATGAATCAGTTTCCGTTAACGTCAAGACATTTGTTTCTGTATTGCTTCTTATTTTCTTACTTATGTTCGTCGTCCACGCCACTTATGTAACATCTAACGCCTATTCGCATCCTTCCGTCGTTTTGCAAAGTTCGACAAGCAGCGGGTAATTTCAAAAAGGAAAAGAAAGTATTCGTTGTTATTTTATTCAGAGACCGTGTAATCATGGACGATTTCCGTGAGGCGTACCATTGGTTGAGAGAAAACACCGCAGATGACGCGAGAATTATGTCCTGGTGGGATTATGGATACCAAATTGCTGGAATGGCCAATAGGACAACTCTCGTCGATAACAATACATGGAATAATTCACACATTGCTCTGGTTGGCGAAATATTAAGTTATTTTTTTAAAAATATGTATTACGTGCGCAGGTCGGAAAAGCCATGTCATCAAACGAATCTGCTGCGTATGAAATCATGACCGAGCTTGATGTTGACTACATTTTGGTTATTTTCGGAGGAGTCATTGGATATTCTGGAGATGATATTAACAAGTTTTTGTGGATGGTTAGAATTGCCCAAGGAGAACACCCGAAAGATATCAGAGTATACGAATGTTTTTAGGTTGCAATTTCAGTATATTAATTTTAGGAAGAAAATTATTTCTCCGACTCCGGGGAATACACAACCGGCGCCCAAGCTTCAGAGACAATGCTCAACTGCCTTATGTACAAAATGAGTTATTATCGATTTGGAGAAACGCGTGTTGGTTATAATCAAGCGGGCGGATTTGATCGAACCAGAGGTTACGTTATAGGAAAGAAGGTAATTTTATTCAATATTTGGCTGACGTAAAATTTTTATGCGCAATAAAATTAGTAATAAATTCTATGGCTTGTAAACTGCGAACATGGTTCAATAAAAAATATATATACATACTTACAGGACATCACTCTGGAATACATTGAAGAAGCGTATACAACCGAGAATTGGCTTGTTCGCATCTACAAGAGGAAGGATCTTCCGAACCGGCCTTCTCTTAAAAATAGCGAAGCTACAATTCCGCTATCTTCAAGAAAAGCCGCTCAAGGAAGAAACAAGAAAGGAGTGATCAGATCAGCTGCCAAAGCCTAATTTAATAATTTATGAAACTTTTATTTAAGCAATCCTTGTCGAACCAAATTTACGGATTTTTGTTGCTTTTTTATTAGAGAAACGGAAAATTTGTGATAAACTTTAATAATTTGATTTCTTTTCTCGAATTCCCCTTTTTTTTACTTGTTGTTGACCCCAAAAACATTATGTAATATGCCAAAGTTCTATAATTTATTTATTTAGATTTAAGCTTTTTCTTGTTCCTTTTAGTCGATTCATGAACGAGTGTTTTAATAATTGATATTTGTGTGGTTGTTATTTGGTCTCCATATTTGTTTCTGTGGGTTTTCTTGTTATTGAGATAAAATCGGAACGAAATGGGTAGTTTGAAGGTGACCGGTGACCATAAAAGGGCGCACCAATGATATCAGAATTCATTTGGTCTCCTTTGTTAGGATTATTGATCGAGATTTCCGATGAGTTTTCGACTTTTTGTCAAGAATCTCAAGCAAATCGTTCAAATTGTCGACGACAATGAGACGAGCTTCTTGAAAAATGAGCAAATGAGCCAAATTAAAGTATGCAATTCAAAAGAAGCTTTTCAGTATTTCTTTTTAAGATATTAAATGATCCGAATGCAAAATTGTGTATTGTTGTCGATTCAAGTGGATTGATTTCGTTTGTTGGAAGTGAATCGGAAGCATCGAAAATCATCGGAAACCATCAAATCGACAATATTCTCGATTCCAAACAAGGTAATTCTTTTTCTCGAACTTTCAGTTTTGTTGGGGAATCTTCTCTCGATTGTCTAGTTTGCAATTCGATCTTCGAATGTTGTGCGCTGACCTTGAAGCAGAAGGAATGATAAGATAATTAGGAATTGTTTGCACATGTGCCGACAATTTGCCAAAACCAAATAAGGAATCACTGAAAAGCGACAAAAACGGTGACGATAAAAAAAAAACAAAAATAATTATGAGAATTTTATTTCAAATTCAAATAAAAATTTCAAATAAAATTTGCGCCAAATTTAATTTTCGAGAAAAATGAACAGAAAATGAATGTGCAGGAATCGCTATTCCCGGATTCGTTGATGGTCACAGTCATCCGGTTTTTGCTGGCGATCGTGTTCATGAATTCGCAATGAAACTTGCTGGTGCAACATATATGGAAGTACAACAAATGGGCGGCGGAATCATGTTCACAACGAACAAAACGAGAGAAGCTAGCGAAGATGATCTGAAAAACGATTTCCTCGATGTTCGATTCCTTTTTCTTTTAAAATACATATTTTTTAATAATCATTAGGTTGCTCGAAAAATGCTCAAAAACGGAACAACCACTTTAGAAGCAAAAAGCGGATATGGACTTGATTTGGATTCAGAGATGAAGGTCTCGTGTTTCGAATTCACAATTGATTTTGTTTATGATTTTCTTAATTATAGATGCTTCGGGTTCTTTCAAAAGCTTCTGAAGAGATTCCGCTCGAAATTTCATCGACATTCTGTGGTGCTCATGCTGTTCCAAAAGGATCCACCGAATCGGAACAAACTCGTCTGATTTGCGATGAGATTTTGCCGTTGATTTCAAAGGAAAAATCGGAAGGAAAATTGAAAAATCTGGAGAATATCGACGTATTCTGCGAGAAAGGCGTCTTCGAAGTCGAATCGAGTCGCAAAATTTTGTTGGCTGGAAAATCAGCCGGACTTCATGTGAATTTCCACGCAGAAGAATTGAAATATATTGGCGGCGTCGAAATGGGAGCGGATATCGGAGCAAGAGCAATGTCGCATTTGGAGGAGATTTCCGACGACGGAATCCGGAAAATGGCCGAGTCGGGATCTGTTGCCGTTCTTCTACCATCAACCGCATTTATTTTGAGATTGACACCACCACCAGCAAGAAAAATGATTGAAAACGGTATTATAATAATAATAATCTTAGTTTCAATTTATTATCATTATTCCTCGGAAAAATCCAGAAGTTTAAAATATACTTCAAAAATATTTAAATTTTTTAGATGTAATTGTGGCTCTGGGATCCGATTTTAATCCCAATGCTTATTGCCTCGCTATGCCTATGATAATGCATTTCGGTTAGCTTCTCGTATCCTACGTAACGCCTTTAATTGATTATTCAGCTTGTGTGACAATGAAGCTCTCGATGCCTGAAGCATTAGTCGCAGCCACATTGAATTCTGCACATTCATTGGGCCGTGGCAAAACTCATGGTGCGATCGCGAAAGGAAGACACGCTGATATTGTGGTTCTGGAGGCGAACTCATGGGAGCATATCATTTACAGGTGAGCTCTTTCTCAGAAACACATCATTCTTCATTTCATTTTCAGAATTGCTGCTCATCATGATGTCATCAAGAATGTGGTGAAGAACGGAAATGTTGTGTATTCGTCAGCATGAATTGGCCACTTGCGTCCCCCACAACGATCGTCTACTTTTTTCAGCCTTCTATTCAAAAACTTGGCCGACCTTGTTCGGCCAATCGTCGCGACGCCATCGTCTTCTCATTCGTAAACAAGTTTTTACTAGTACCGATTCTCGACCATCTATTATTTTCCGTTCTCGACAATACTATTTTTACAATTGAACTTCGAATACACAAATATTAAAAACGACGGTGAAGGCGTCGACCACCAAAATTGATTCGACGGAACACTGAACACAGGCTGAAAAAATAGAAGCTGATTTGATTATTAATAGAATTGACATCAAATATGGTCATTGACATTATCAGGTTTTGATTTTCGATCTGGCGACGATTCATAAAACGAAACCGTGACGACAATTCGATTCGATTAACTTCTACAGTAATTCAAAATAACACAATTCGTGGAAAGATACCGGTTTTGAAATCTTCGAATAAATATTATGACATTCGCAAAAAGAACGAGCATCCTGGGTCAATTTGCGGTGAGTTTGATTCGCAGGTTGTCTGTAGTACGGTACCCGATCGAAGATGGCATTCCCGCCGCGAAAATGTGCAATGGTCCACAATTGCTTAATGGGCTCATTCTTTTTTTTGCGATGGTATTAACAAACAATATATTTGATGTGGAGAGAAGTTAATTAGTGGCCAACTGGATCCCGCAACGATTTTTCAAACGTTGAAACGTTCAAAGTCGCATTTCTCATGCGGTCGAATAATTTGAAGTGTGATTCATTGGAAAACCCTTTTCGGTAGTTTCAAACTGGCCGAAACCATTCGTCATGCCAATGAATTGCTATCAGTATTTGGGCATCAACGTTGTGTCGTCAAGGTTATTCATTCAAATTTCAACTATGACCAATGTAATCCCAAAAATGGCGTTGCTTTATTCATTCGTGTTGTTTGTGTTGAAGTGTGACGAGGGAGTACGGTAAATTGCGGAGAAACCTCATCAAGTGTCACGATTTTGTTCTGTTCATTTCGCGTGGATCGCGCAAACACAAATTTCAACCGATTTCTTGTGCGATCTACTTCTGCTACTGTTTCAAACAAATCTCTTCAAATTTGAATAAATTTCACAAACCACATTTTGAGTTGTTTTCTTCTGAAATACAAAATTTGAGATAAAGATCTCGATATACATAGTTTAAAGTGGCCAACACTAGCCACTCTGGTATCGTCAACGAAATAAGAAAATTATTTTCATCGAGTGATTTTTGGTTTGTTGAAAACCATCGTCGAATCCATGAGAATGCGATCGATAATCCCGCATGTTCAGCCGCACATGACCGCATCATTTTCTGCAGGCGACCTTCAGCGTTTTCGAGAATTTCCACCATTTCCTGTTCTGCGTTAAGTATAAATATACAATGGCTTAGCCACTCGATTGTAAACATTTTTCTACTTTCAACCACCAAATGACATTCACCTTTCATTCCTTTTTTTTTCGCATTTTTCGCCAAATGTTTGCATTTTCACACCAAGTTGAATGATGGCAGAATACGCGTTTTAAGTCTGCTTCGGAATACGGTAGGATCTTCGACCCCTACATTGATTTTCTTTTGTATAAGACCTTGTAGAATTACAACGTTGAAAGTCCTTGGAATTGAATTGACAGTTCAATTTCTCAAACAAAGCTTTTGGATTCGGACACCCCAAAAAGGATAAAAGAAAAAACCCGTCGAAATGGTCTAAAAGATGATGAGTCACTCTGTGTGTTGTTGTCGAATATATCTCGTTTTATCTGCTTCCTTTTTTGGTAGTAACGTATTTAAATCGTGAGATGTTCTCACACAGCTACACTCAATTTTTACAATCATCGCAAAATTTCAAGTTTTTCTCTATTTGTTCTGTTTCATCTAATTCCAGACAAAAAATCTCATAGGCATTGTATTCTCATCATAATTCGATGCCACTTATCAAGTCGGGACCTAAAATGGGAAGAGAGTACGGTAGGTGACAGAGGGCGCCGCGCAAATTATCGGTGCGGAACCCTCTCCAATTTTCGAATGATGTTTATGCATCCCGAAGCGAAAACTCGTTTCGAATCGCGATTCGCAATCATCTGGACACCGACATATTCGCCGCGGTTCGCTTCTCCATCGTGTTTTTTTTTGCCTCTTCTAGCATTTCCAACGAGAACGTTGAGTTTTGTGTTTGTATTTGTTCGGCTCTGCCGAATTTCCGGAGGTCCTGTTTCGCGTCCACTTGAAGCTCAATTCAACAGCATTTCTGGTATTAAGAGAGAATTGAAAACAATTCGAAAAATCATTCAAATTTCCGTTGTCCTCAAATCAAATCAAATCACAAGTGATGAGCCTCATTTCAATCAATTCTTGATCATCCAACCCCTATAATTATGAGAAAAATAAAAAAATCTCAACAATTATAATTCGACCGCATTGAATTCCTTTATGTCGATGAATCTTTTCAAACAGTCAAGTCACCATCTGTTAGTACGTTTCTTTCGATTCACCACCGACCTGAATGGATGTTTTTTGCTTCGACTGATCCTTTATATCCTTTTCCTTCATTTTCACGTAGACTTCACTATAATACGATAACGTCCACTGTAGACGAAAACCTCACTATAGTTTGGTTATTTCTGGTCTTTCACCTTAGTAAACTCCGAAGGTTGTTTCTTCACATTAACGATCATTGTTTAAAAAGTTCATGTTGAAATTTTCATTCTTTTTTTCCATTTTCGCAATCGTCATTATCACGTATTTTAAGTAAACTTTCAAATTGAGAAAACCTCATTGTTCGTTGAAAAAAAAGAAGAAAAGAGAAACAGTTTCACTTTGTCTGAAATGACCAACCAAAACTTTAAAATTGAAGTGTTTGCATGAATTGATGGTCATCACTTTTGAGTTGAACCGGTTTTTCTTTTCCATTAACTTTTTTATCATCTCTATCTCTCTCTCTTTTTTTCTCAAGTGATCTTCTGCGATTTGTGCGGGAATTCGTCAAATTTCAAAGTAATCTCCTTATAAGGCGATGATCATGAAGAGACTGAATCAGTTTTTGGGGGGTGTTTCGAAGGTCGATTAGGTTGCGCGATAAATCGGCTAAATTTAGAATCGACGTATATTTTTTTTCTAATTTTTCGATGGAAGCGATATAATCTCAAAAATCTCTTTTGACCCAAAGATTTCGAAAGATAAGAAGTTAAATCTTTAAAGGCGCACGTGCAATTCTCAATTGAGACGCCGCCGCCCACATCTTGCTTGGTTTTTCCTTATCAACGTCGTCGTTCCAATTTCGAGTATGTTCGGCCGTCGGCCTTCATTTTTCATTGACTTCTTCTTCTTCTTCTTTTTGTCCACTTTCTCTTCTCTTTGTTAACCATTTTTGGTCGTTCATCACACAATTCCTACCTCTCACATTATTTTTGTCATTTTTTTAAAAAAACGAAGTATTAATACGAGCAACTAATTATTTATCAAATGAAAATTTTTTTCCAAACATGAATATATATTTTCAGAATTTTTCTCAGATCTAAATTCTCCAATTTTTGACATTCGACTGTTCGTTTCTTCTTTACGTCGACAATTTTATTGATTCGCTCTAATAACTCAAAAGTGGTTTTACAGCGAATGTCAAACAAACCAATTATAAGCAGAATAAACCTGACCTTATTTGGCGGTGTGTTCAAGTTTTCTGCGGCTTCTTTTCTGTGAAATTCGGTTGTATTCGACGTCGATCACGTTCATAACTAACATTTCTAAGTATTATTAATAGAGAATCAAACCCAAAAAAAAATGAAAATTCTTTGAAAAAATGTTCAATGGTCGAACTACTTCAGGTAACAATTATTTTTAAAAACGTTCTCTAGTCAATTAAGGAATATTTTTAAAATGAAACTGAAATTACTGTATTTGGGTGATTGATAAACGTCATGTGATTCGATGGTAATCTCAATTGTTTTTCGAAATCGAATCCGATTTCGTGATTTTCACTAAAAATTCAAGAATTCTGCAACGATCGTCGCCAATCTGCACGACGTTTTCTTGCGCCCATTTTCGCATTTTGCACGCCTGTACGGATAGTTCTCCACAAGTGCAATTATCAAAACAGATGTGTGTCATCTGAAAAACACATGATTTGCGTCTCCGCCTCTACAGTAACTATCGAAGACGAAGGCCCTTCCTTCTTCATCATCTTCTTCTCCTTCGTCTTCATGGTTTTTTTCATTCTCGTTGCGACGACGCTTCTAGTTCGGTGTCCTCCAGAAGCGGTCACCTGATCACCAATCACTAATTGTTTTTCCAATCCCAACAAATGTAATCAAACACTTTTTTTTCTGATTCTGGTCACGATCGTCTCGGACCTGTCAACGAGTTTGTTCTGTTTGTCCGATTGCTTGCTTGCGTGCCCCTTTTTTTCTTTGGCTATCCCACAAGATGAATTTCATCCCTGATCGCATTGCAGATGACCAAATTAGGCCTTACTCCGGCCGTACACGGCGATGAACACGAAAAAGATGAGAAGGAACAGATCAAAATTGATCCGAAGGTGAGTATTTCGTGATTCCAAAATCGCATATACATAATTGGCATTTCGTTTGCTTCCCAGAACCTTTTATTGGAACTCATTCGACAATTATCATTCATAGATCGTTAGAAAACATATAAAAATTTCAGGTTTTTACCGTCCTTCAACCTACCGTAATCCCAATGCCGGCGGCACCAGTGACCGCTGAACGCACCAACTGGTCGGCAGCGATCTGCAAATCGTTGATTATCTTCTGTCTGTTCACGTGCTGCGTCGCCGCCGTTCTCGTACTTCTCAATGTTTCCGACTCGTTGTTCGGCTCGAGCCCATCGAAGACTGAAAAACCACAAATGGAAGCCCTCATCTCACCGGAACTTGGCAAACAGGTTGGCGTTTATTTTGAATGATCGTCGGAAATTGACTTCTGATTCCACAGGGCTCCATTGAGAATATAGCGTCGGCCGAGAAAGCCGCCGATGATGTGCTCTCGATTCCACTGGCTCGAGTCGTTGTCGTTGAGGACATTTCAAACAACAATAACAACGAGGAGAAACCAAGAAAGGTATTCAAGTGGGCAGACTGCCTTCAAATCATTGTCGAAGAGAGTATTAATTTCATTTAACAAGCAACTGATCCGATTTGATTTCTTCTTCTTGCTTCCAGATTGTCGATGGATCTGTTGAGGACAAGACTCTCAACACCAATGGCGAGGAGTCTCGCCCACTTCATCCAGATGAGATCGAAATGCTCGATGCTCGTCGGGCTGCTCAACAAGAGATTGCTGAGCGACTCATGATCCAGCAAATGATGGCACTCCGCCAATGGCGTCTCCGTCGCCTTCAAGCCGCTCTCTACCAACAACAGCTTATGCGAATGGCTTGGGCCCAACAACAGCAGCATATGCAGGAGGAGATGCTCCGCCAGCAGTGGATCGAAAGAGCCCGCTGGGAAGAGGAGCAGCGTCGCGCTGCTTACGATGCCCAGGCTCAGCAACAATCGTCAGCTGCTTACTGGCAACAGTACCAGATGGAGATGGCCAGACAACAGCAGATTCAACAGCAGCAACTGCAGCAACAACAGTTCTGGCCAAGGCCAATGCAGGTGTTGAACCGGGAGCAGCCACAATTCCAAAGACCGGCGGTCTGGCAACAGCCACCACAAAACTTCTTCTTCCCGCAACAACCACAACCACAACCACAACAGCAACCGAATGTGTTCCAGCAGGTTGAGAACTGGCCACAACCAGAAAAGGTAGCAATCGACGAAATCGAATCAATCATTTCAATTCAACAATTTTAGAACGTGTTTGCTCAGGTCGAAAGCTGGCCACAGACCAAGCCAGAGAAGGTATTCGTTTACGCGAAATTATTTGACGTTTAGCAAATTATTATTCAGAACGTCTTCCAAGAAGTTGCGAACTTCCAACTGCCAAAACAACAAGAGAAGGTATTCGGCAATTTATGACAATTTAGAAAAAAAGAACATTTGCAGAATGTGTTCCAACAGGTTGAGAACTGGCCACAACCACAGCAAAAGGTTTTGAAAATAATTGAAATAAACGGGTTTTCAACAATTTGCATTTTCAGCAGCAGCAACAGCAGAATGTGTTCCAACAGGTTGAGAACTGGCCACAACCACAGCAAAAGGTTTTGAAAATAATTGAAATAAACGGGTTTTCAACAATTTGCATTTTCAGCAGCAGCAACAGCAGAATGTGTTCCAGCAGGTTGAAAACACAAAAGTAAAAAAAAAAAGGTAACTTAGCAACAGCAGAAGTGTTCCAGCAGGTTGAAAACTGGCCACAACCACAGCAAAAGGTTTTGAAAATAATTGAAATAAACGGGTTTTCAACAATTTGCATTTTCAGCAGCAGCAACAGCAGAATGTGTTCCAACAGGTTGAGAACTGGCCACAACCACAGCAAAAGGTTTTGAAAATAATTGAAATAAACGGGTTTTCAACAATTTGCATTTTCAGCAGCAGCAACAGCAGAATGTGTTCCAACAGGTTGAGAACTGGCCACAACCACAGCAAAAGGTTTTGAAAATAATTGAAATAAACGGGTTTTCAACAATTTGCATTTTCAGCAGCAGCAACAGCAGAATGTGTTCCAGCAGGTTGAGAACTGGCCACAACCACAGCAAAAGGTTTTGAAAATAATTGAAATAAACGGGTTTTCAACAATTTGCATTTTCAGCAGCAGCAACAGCAGAATGTGTTCCAACAGGTTGAGAACTGGCCACAACCACAGCAAAAGGTTTTGAAAATAATTGAAATAAACGGGTTTTCAACAATTTGCATTTTCAGCAGCAGCAACAGCAGAATGTGTTCCAACAGGTTGAGAACTGGCCACAACCACAGCAAAAGGTTTTGAAAATAATTGAAATAAACGGGTTTTCAACAATTTGCATTTTCAGCAGCAGCAACAGCAGAATGTGTTCCAACAGGTTGAGAACTGGCCACAACCACAGCAAAAGGTTTTGAAAATAATTGAAATAAACGGGTTTTCAACAATTTGCATTTTCAGCAGCAGCAACAGCAGAATGTGTTCCAGCAGGTTGAGAACTGGCCACAACCACAGCAAAAGGTTTTGAAAATAATTGAAATAAACGGGTTTTCAACAATTTGCATTTTCAGCAGCAGCAACAGCAGAATGTGTTCCAGCAGGTTGAAAACTGGCCACAGCCTGCTTTCCCACAACCAAAGGTTCGTATCCTTTTTGCTCTTTTCAATTTCTAAATGACTATTTTAGAACGTCTTCGAAGAGGTCGCCAACTGGCAACAACCAGAGCCAGCCGTACACGACAAGATCTATGAAGAGCTTCAAAAGAAATCGCAGACTGCTCAACCAGTACGACATTCCGCCATTTTCTTTTCAAATCGCATTCTTCTTTTTAGAATATATTCCAGCAGGTTGAGAACATGCAGCCATCTCATCCGAAGAACGTCTTCGAGGAAGTCGCCAACTTCCAGCAACCAGCTGTGCCACAGCCATCGTTGAATGACAAAATCTATGAGGAGTTGCAGAAGAAGGCACAGACGATGCCAGTGAATGCGCCATCGAGACAAATCTGTATGAGTCGATCAACCAAAACCAATAATGAGTTGTGAGAGTTCAGGGACCGCTGTCACCCCAAGCCCAGCGCCAGTTGAGGATGTCGTTGTTCCCACCACCACCACCACCACCGTTGCTCCAGTGACTTCTGAAGCTGAGAACGCTGAAGTGTCTGACACCATTCTTCGCGACATTTTCTCGGCATTCGATGAGCAGAAGAACAGCGAGGCGGCCACGAAAAAAATGGCCGAGGCGACGACCCCAGTTGTCATCGAAGACCGTTTCCCGAAACTCGAAGAGCGAACGACTACCGCTGATCCAGAAGACGATATGGATTCCGACGAGGACGATCATGAAAAGGAACTCGATCCGTTCGCAGCTGTTTTGAAGTACGCGTTTCCAGCGAAATCAGACAAAGTAACACATTTGCAGGTTCTTCGAGAACGGCGCTCAGCGACCACAAGAGCCCGTCGAGGAGCCAAAAGAGCCAACGAGCACACCGGTTACAATTGTGTTGTTGTAAGTGGATGATGTATATCTCAGTTCATCACATTCATCATAATAATTCATAACATTGTTGATCGAAAAAAAAACACTTAATCTATGCAGGTTGTAAATAAATGTTTTGATGTAGCAAATTGTGTTTGAATAATCGCCTGGAAGAGTTGATTCAATCCAATGATTCAATCGAAAATAAAAATGACAGGGTCATTGATATCGTTATATGATTCTCTTTTAGCAGATATTCAATTTGGCACAGAATGGATTATAATTAACATCATTTATTCGCAATTATCAATAATAGATATATAGTTATTTAAGCCATTGATTGCTTGCTCTCCAATCCATTTTCCGACAAGTATTTGGCGTACATGTAAAGGCGATTGAACAACACATATTGCATGATACCGACTGAAAATGAGCGAATAGATTAAATTTCGAAAATAAAATTACTGAGCATTGCAAATGCGAACGCGATCTCGACCGAATATCCCATCGTCATTCCCATGAAGAATCGCTCTTGATCGTTAAATTTTTCTGCATTAAGCTCCTTCATTTTCGGAGTCAAGAATGCGAGCCCTTCGGTATATCCAGAAGCGATTTGGGCTGCAATCAAAGAATGGACAATCATTCGATTTGATTGTTTCTTACAGGACATGAGCACCGGTAAAATCAGAATAAGAAGGAACTCGATAACGACATTGATAAGAGTGAGCCAAACAATGATGCGCAGTGGGAATGGGCTGTTGTGAACAGCTCCGAGCAACGCGATGACGTTGATTCCGATCTGGAATCAACAATTGTCGAAACGCATTTATGAGGCATATTTCGATACTCCGAGGAAATGCGGAATTTTCATCGAATTGTCTTCTTCATTGAAAATTTGGATGCCGCCTGATATCAGTCCGAGAATGGAGAGTACGATTGCGAATCCCTGAAATAATAGTTTCAGATTTGGTCTGCAAGATGGCCGTTTTCGTTTGAATTTTAACAACTCACGCGAGCCGAACAGCAACAAAATTTTGGCTGAAATTAGCGAAATTATTTAATTTATTCATTAAAAAATTGTCTTACTGGTTCAGTAATCGGATACGACATTACCCGAACCTTCCTGAAAGAATGTCGAATTAAATATATTTGGAAACACGGTTGAGAAGATAAGAGAAATCAACAGAATCACCAAAGAGATCAAATGATTGGAAAACGTGGGAAAAGAGAGACAAGATTGAGATGGAGACAATAGAAAACACGAAAAATTCAATATTTTTTTAAATCTCTTGAGTTTTCTTTGAAACTGACAATATTGGCAACGTTTAGTGAAGAAAATCGTAATAGTTAAGAAGTGGAAAAATGAAGAATGATATTAAATTGGAATTCGGAGCAGCTGAAAAGGAAAAAGGCGAAACTTGGGCTGGTTTGAGCTCTTTAATCATGATTGTGGCATTCGCAAGTCTTAATCATGAGTGCGTTGTTGTTTGGTTGTCAAGGTGATGTTTTGTCGCCAAAAACTTGATCAACAAATATCGAAATGTCAACTAATTTTGAGTGTTTGAATTCAAGTATAGTCGGCGTCCGGCCGTCGACTGCTGTACGCGGGTAGATTTACGCGCATGCGCCTTGAAAAGGTCTCGCCACGCGTGAATGCTTCTTTTGCTGTTTTCACGTGAACTGCTTCATTTTTCTTGATGAATTTCGCATTTCCTTGAATTTCCAACGATATTCGATTAAAAAATTATCGAACCGGTCCATAAAATTTGAAATAACCTGTTAGTCCTTGCGAGACCATTTCGAAAGACGCATTCCCGTAAATTTACTCGCGTACAGCAGTCGCCTGATGCCGACAATAAATGCGGATGAAATTTGAGTGAGCTTATATTGAGAAAACTCTGCGGACGTTGGGAAAAATGCATATTTATAATCATCGCTAAAAGTTTTCATAAACTGACTGACCTAAATAGGAAAAACCTAATATTTTCGAAATCGATTCACCGGAAAATAAACAAACTCATTTTTGTTTAGGTTCAGCGAAATGCCATTCAAAATTAGATTCCAGAAGATACAGCAAAGTTCACAAAACAAACACATTTAAAAACCATAAAAAATCAAGTTTGTCCTTTTGGAAAACGGTAGTGATAAACAGATAATTGTATTTTTTTTTCAATTACTTCCGGCAAATCGACAATAGTTGAGATGTAGTTGATAATATGTTACAAAAAATAGACATATAAATTGCAAAATTACGTTTGTTGCAACATCTCGTCAAAAACAATATTCGAGTTTTGATAATGATGAATAAAATAATACTCGGGAATGTCGCGTAGAGTTTGCGCAGACATTCATCAACTCAACGGTGTATAAGAAACTGCGCGAAGTGCGCCGAATCCGTTGACGTCACCTTCAGCATATTTGTCTCTAATAAAAGTCTTCTGAAATCTCTGCTTGCCCTGAGATGCTATAATCGTTTTCTGAAATATGAGCATTGTGTTCACTCGATTCCGCTGTAAACGAGAGTTAAAAGTTCATTAACCCAAATTCACTCGATTTTAAATTTTTAAAATGGGAAATGATGAAAAAATTTAAAAATGAATGCCGTACGCTGGCTAGATTTTCGGGCTCTGGGGACCCTCATTAATAGAATGTTTCCGAAATCGAATGACCACCAGTCATCGGTAGCTGAGAGACTCAGCGCAAAAACTGCGTGCACCTTTCTTTCCTTTCCGTAATCAATAAATATTAAATCGAAAACAAAAAACTTCCCACAATTAGAGTTTCAGCCGCACAATTAAAATAAATTGTCTTCTAAAACTTTCGATTAAGCTGGGTCTTGTGACGACTGACTCTGGAAGTCGTCACAAGACCCAAGAGACAGAAATATTAACTGAAAACAACCAAAGAGTGGAAAAGTATGTCGAACTCGTTTTTTTTTTGAATTCAGACTATAGAAACAATGAAATGGAAGAACGAATTTGGTTGACGATTAAAAACTGAATACTCTGGTTACTCAAAACCAATCGGATTCGACAAAATTCGCCTCTGGAATTAACCTTATCCGATTGGTATTTCTACGAATAAGATTGGAAAATTGTAGAATCGGATTGGTTTTGAGTTACCAGAATAATGTGAAGTCAATCGAATGAAAAGAGTCCATATAAATCAACGAATTTGAACTTGCAATTCAAAACCGTTTAATCCGACAAAATCTGTACGAAATAGTTCAAACAACGATCAAATCTCGTTTTTATTATTGTGAATCATACATACATTGAAATCGTCTGTTTCCGAAAAAACATATGCGGCTACCAAAGTCTGTCGCCACGAGACCCAACAAATTGTCCGCATTTATTCGATTTTTTATTTATTTTAATTTCTCGCGATTGAATTGCTCACATACTCTATGGAAATTTATTGATAGTCGAATTTCAAAAATTAAAATTTTTGAAAAATAAACAGAAAACCTCCGAAATCAGTGGTTATAAAGAATATTTGATGAGTTTTCGAATTTCTATAACATTTTTGGAAATGGAAATGAGTTTTTGTGCTTTTGGTCGGCGCGTTTGAATTGCCGCCACAATTAATAACAATAACAGGAGCAACCTTCGTAAAGCAACCCGGAAAATGTCCGCAGACGTTTACAATCAAATTTCTCTTGGTGATATCCAGAGAGATCCAGTTTCCCATATCCAGACTCGCCTGTTTAACATTTTATAATTAATTGTTGGCACCAACTAACACAAATGAAGAAAAACTTTATGAATCACAAAATAAAGTAACCGGGGGTCAATGCGAATTTATAAGGATCGCCTAAAAATGAGGCGATAGAACAACAGTAATTCATAGAACATGTTTCTTCTATTCACAAATTGAAACCCAAAAAAAAATGACAAAAAAAAAGAATTGAGACAATCATCAATAAAACGAACATGAATCCGAAATTGCAACTAGGAGGATGATTATGAAAGGCACACGTTCCGAGAGAGAGAGAGAGAGAGGGAGAAATAAAAGAGAAATAATAATGAAATGAAGTGAGATAATAAATTAGAATAAATTATGTTTAAATAATCATCAAATACCCGAACTTTGGTTTCGAAACGTCTAAAGCCAAGTGAGGTTGTTTTCAGTTAACTATAAGACCTAGTGAACGAGAATTCGCGGCCAGTTTCACTGAGTTCGTCCATCGATGTTCGTCTTGAAGTGTAATACTCATAGGGAGTTTCTTCTTCCTCGTTCAATCGAATTTTTCGGCATAAAATCATCTGAGCCCATTCTTCATATTCCGGATCGACATCGCACAAATTCTACATATTTAATAAATTATTAATCAAATTTAGGCGGAAAATTAAATTTCAAATTAATTTTATGGTTTTCGTTTGCAAAAAAAAAACAACATTAAAATCAAACCTCAACCCATTCGTCATGAATAAGCTCAGTAGCCGAATATCGATCAAAAGGATCAAGTGTAATGAGACACGTAATCAGATGACGAACCGACCATGAGATCTAAATCCGAAAGATTTTAGAAAACTTCAAAAACTAATGAAATACCCCATCCCAAGCGGGCGATGGAAACCCAAACTCTCCAGATTGAATCGAAGCAAAAAGGTCCTGCTCGGTCCCATCAGAGCTTTGGAACGGCGGGAATCCGACAAGAATCGCGTATAAAACAACACCGGCGGCCCAAATATCAATTTTTGGTCCGTAGCCGGTTTGATTGAGGACTTCGGGCGCGACATATGTCGGGGTGCCACAGATCGCCGTCAATTGTTGGAAATCTTCTGGCATTTCCGTGGCGAGACCAAAATCTGCCAATTTAATGCCAATCTCGCCATAACTGTCTTTAACAATCTACAAGACGTTGCTATAAGCATCAATAGATATTGAAACAGCTACTACCAGCAGATTCTCCAATTTGACATCTCGATGAACAATTTTCATATTATGAATGTATTCAAGAGCTTGCCCTAAACACGACATTATCCGAACTGCGTCTCGCTCGGAAACTCGTTTCACACGTCGAAGATGTTCGAAAAGATCGCCAAGCTAAAATCACGCATTCTGATGTTAAACAAAAAAAGCACGACTAAAAAAAAACCTCAATTAATTCAAGCGATAGATAATAAGCATTATCTACAATCCACACATCGTACAATTGAACTATGAAGTCATTTTCAATTTTCCGCAAAATCTTGAGTTCGCTCTCAATCAGATGCTCCTGACCGACGACATTTTCGTGAGCAATTACTTTCATCGCACGCCTTTCCTTCGTTCGTCTAAAAAAAATAAATATTCGGAATAAAATTAGCGAGAATATCCATACTTGTCGGCTACTTCGTACACAACAGCCGTATTTCCGTCGCCAATTAATCGGATCAGTTCGAATTGTTCGTCTAACGATGGTGGAAGACGTTGGGCTAAACAAAATTGAAATTTAGAAATCGATAGATATCGTATAACATTTACCATCTTCATCGGGAATCACACTTCCAGATCGATCAAGACGAAGAGATTCGTTTCTAGAAGGCATCATCCGACGACGATTTGTGCTGAAATCGATTTGTTAATTTAATTATATATTATATATTCAATATGTCTTACTTTTTATACCGCGGCAACACCGATAACACACTTTTATGCTCTGCAAATTGCGCTTTAAATTCGATTCGTATCAATTTGAAAAACCTTCTGAAGCAACAAGCAAATCATCAGCGGCCATTTTCTCGTTTCCTCCGTACGCCACGAACACATCATCTTCTCGAAAAAAGTCTTCGAGTGTCAGGACTTGTCTTCCACTAACTCCGAACAATTTTCGAATTGCGCCGCTATCGAGTTTCACACTCACAGTTAAATCTCGTAATACTTGATCAAATGATCTGAAAATGAATTTAAATTGAATTTGAAAAAAAATGACCAAAATTGAATAAACCTGGCAGTCTTCTTATTTAGTAAATGGCGAATAATTTTACGCGGTTTCACTCCATTCCTGATCACTTTTATTATTCGAGGAAACACAAAATCTGTCCTTTCCTAAACAAAAAAGTGCTTTTCCATTTTGAAATATTCAACAAAAGTTATCAATCTCACATTTGATGGTTCCACAACGCTCAGAGCCAATTTTTTCGTCTCCAAATGCCGATTATATCTATTTGCCAAAGTCAACCTCCAACTTGGTTCTCCAGCTCGCGCATAGTCAACTTGCTTGAATACATCGGTACTAAATTAATCAATATCTAGCTAGCAATTATTTGATTATTTGAAATAATACCTCGAGCACACATAGGCTCCGCCGTCTTCGAATTGATTAATATTCGTAATTTTTTGTGAGCCATCAATTGTGAAAATATACCGAATGCCATGCGGAAGTGATGTCGAATCAGATAACACTGTCTGAATAGAAGATTTATTGATAAAATAATAAAAATGAATGTACTTTAACGAGATCTTCCATTAATGGTTGCATACTTTTCACGCGATCACTTTGTAGTGCGTATGATATACCCTGAAACCTTGAATTTGAACAAAACCGAAGGGAATTAGAATATGCTTTCGAAATGCACCTTGAAATACTGGTCTCCATTCCTGTAGAATCTCAATCTTTTGGCTTTCACAAGATGTGGAAATCCTGTAGATCCGATCCTACAGCGATTCTGCATCTCCATCGCCATATCTCTTGATTCTGTAGTTTCCGTAGGTGAATCATCACGAGGCTCGCTAAAATTTATTTTAAACGATCATTTGTTGATAATCTCAATTCGAACCTGCTATCCATAACCATGGAAGAGCTCATTGAGCCCTCGGCGGTGCTCGTTCCATTCGACATCCCGTCAACTAAAAAAAGTAATGAGATAATTCGAGAAAGTATCAAATCAAAGTGGTACCTCCAGCGCGGTTGATTTGAAATGTCGACGCTCTCGGTGTCGTCAAATCGTCGACAGCAACCAACGACGAAGTGGCTGTGGCCGCTGATCGATGGATTTTCGAAAATGTCGAATAAACCGCTGAGTGCGGACGATTCGGATGATGCGGCAGATTGGCTAAAAATGATCGGATCTCAAATTCAAATCAATCAGAAATTCGAAACAATGCGACTGTTTTATCAAATTATGATGTATTGTTTGTATATACAACATCGGGTTGCATTAGTCGTGGGAAAATGCTCTGAATTAAATAAACACCGCATTTTCGACACATTTCAAATATTTTGACAGTTGAACGCAACCAAAATTCACAATAAAATGGGTTTATTTCATTTTTTTGTAATACATAAAATTTGAAAACAAACATTTCCTGAAGTATTACGTTATTTTGCTTTGTTTACATTCTGTTTTTTGCTTCGCATGACAAAATTCCTTTTTTTAAGCCAAAAAGACGTTTCGTCTTAAAACAAAATAAGTTTTTCGAATTCTTCGAGATAACAACAAAACTTGAGACTACAAACTAGAACAGCTTTAAAAACGTTACATTTTGAACGATTTTGAAGCTTTCAGTTTAACGGAAATTGTTTTTTTTTTCGTTTAAATCTTACTTACACTTTTTCCTGCATATTTCCTCCATATTCAAAATTAAAAAAGATTCTCAAGAAGAAAAAATCCCCAAAACGAGTTGTGAGAAATGTAATAAATAAAAAGTTTTAACCGCATTATAAAAAAAAATACAAAATGACTATTTAAAGACGTGAAACTTTATAATATTTTTATGTTCATAGTTGAAAATCCTTTCTTTTCAATAATTTGCACAATAAAAAAGTTCATTTTATTAATTTTCACAATAAAAACGGTCATATTATTATGATAGTACTAATGAAACCCGAAAGTTCGAATTTCTTCAATCGTTTAAACATATATGCGATTTTTGTGTAAAAGCGAGTTACTCGGGTTATGTGAAAAAGCATTGGGTGGGATAATAAATTTCGAGAGGAAGAGGGGAAACGCTCAATTCAATCTGACCACTCTGCTGCTGCTCAAGGGGACGGAGGAGGCCGGAGAGTGACCGATGTCGCGAAACAAGCCTAATTAGGCATTATCCATGCCTAAACGAGCCAAACGCGAACACCAGGCAGAGTGTGCGCGAAAACGTGGCCCATATATGCATTTCACATCAAATTCATGCATATTCTGCCACTCTCCACCACCCCCTTGCACCCATAGACACCATCACCACTACCAACACCACCATCATCATTGCAAACAAAACGTTTTAGCGAATTCTTACGTCTCTTGAACCGAGGAATATTCGATTTTGCGCTGTTTGACTGCCGTTTTGCGGCTCGTGGCAGTGTGTTGCCGCCGATGCCAGAAGGCGTCGAACTCATCGATGGTCTCCATGCTTGCGGCATTCTTTTCGAGAAAAAACAACCTGTAAAGGAGACAACACTGCTAGAAAAATATATAAATGAAAAGTGGTAAAACCGTATAGATAAGTGCAGGTTAAGCAACAAAAACGAGACATTGAATAAAAAAAGAAAACATCGAAGCAAGAATATTCTTGGAATAATTATAATTTTCTTAGAATTGTCCGTATATCTTTTGTAAACATATTCTTTGTTTATTACTAATACATAGTAAAGCATTTCGAAATCGAGACTGTAATCATAAACTATGTTTACAACTTGTCATAAACCGGCATTCTCGAGGAATTATAACAAAAGCAATTAAAATGTATTTGGTTCATTCGTTGCATGCTTTAATGGGTAAATTAATTAAAATAATTTTTCAAAATATAATATAAGGATATTAAAAGATTATTAAAATGTTCGTTTTGAATTCAAATAATTGCAACTCTGGGAAATAAAAATCAACGGAAAAAATTGAAATATAAATTAATATTATTCGATTGAGAAAATTTCGGGATCGGTTTCGAAATATTAAAAAGAAAAATAATTTTAGAGATGAATTGAAACACTCGTATATTATGAATATAAGAACAAAGAAGTTATGTAAATTGTATCCCTCTATTCGCTTGTTTTGAAGAGCCCATGTAACACATTTAGTATGGCGTTATTAGTTTAAATTATATACCCAGAAACATAGAGAAGTGAATTTATTGTTATAAAACGAAGACAAAAACTGAAAAAAAACATATATTTCCCAAGGCTTCTGGAAGATATAAAAGACAGCGAGAAAGATATTGGTTTAATGGGTAGTTTCACTGGCCATGGGTCAGATTTTCACAACATGCGAAGGCAAATAGTAAAATGAGTTTTAGGAGAAAAGAAAGAAAAAAGATGAGGATGATGATGGCCGAAAATAAGAGACGACCCAATGATGTATTATTTTTTCTTCTTTTCTGACTTTCAAAAATATTTATGATTTTAGATAATCAGTCGCCATTATTTGGACATAATCAATCAAAATAAATAAAAAATAGTGAATTAATTTTTCAAAAAGCAAAAAAGATCGAAAATAATGAACGTAAACGACAGAAAGTATAATTTTCGAATGAATGAGAAATCCGCAGTGTGATATTTTTGAACACACGTGCTTTCAAGCTGCTGAGGAAAATGTTCAAATACAAAAAAAACGAAATGCGAAGAGAAACGCGAGAACATCTACTCACATGTGTTCGTTATTTTTTTTAATTACCCGCTCTTAAAAAGAAGTAGAAGTGAACGTGATGATTGAACTAAAAACTGGAGAGACATTCAAACAATTTAGGGAATTTCGACGGTTGTTTTGATGAACAAAATTTAACAAAACAAAGATGTTTCATAGTGAAGTTTTCCTTTTCAGTTTTATTTAAAGAAAAATTATAGGAAAAAATATGATCAGTTGAACCTTTGCAAAAATAATAGTGGATAAAATGTTGAAAAATTGGAAAAAAAGAGATGTCGTCAATTAGTGCGCATTGGGTGTCTTTTCGCGTGCAATATTGTGCTTGCACACAGTGAGTAAGCCATTTTTTCAATCGATTGCGCGCTTATTTTACGGTTTTCTTAGACTGTTTTGTGTATTAAAATTTGTGAAAATCTGAATAATAATTGTTAAAGAATGTCGGGAGTACCAGTTCAACACTGGAATTTCGGAATCGGGCCGATTACGTGCCATGCCTGGAACAAAGATCGCAGTCAAATTGCTGTGTCAGCTTCCAGCAACGAAATCCACATTTTTGAGTGGAAAAATGGTGATTGGGTTAATGTACATACTTTGAGCGAACACGATTTGCCAGTGACTGGATTGGATTGGGGTAAATATCTTGACTATTTATGTATATATGGAATTGTTATTGATCTCAGGTGTTCGCACGAATCGAATTGTCTCCTGCTCCCAAGACAAAAACGCGTTCGTCTGGACATTCGATAAAGGCGTTTGGAAACCCGAGCTTGTACTAGTCCGTTTTAACAGAGCTGCAACGTATGTCAAATGGTCTCCACTGGAAAACAAGTTTGCAGTTGGAAGCGGTGCCAAATTGGTATCAGTGTGCTATTATGAAAAAGAAAACGACTGGTAGGAGCTCGAAATAAGTCAATAAATGTCTCTTTTTATTTTTAGGTGGGTTTCCAAGCAAATCAAAAAACCGATTCGCTCGACTGTGACTTGTCTTGATTGGCATCCGAACAATGTTCTTTTGGCTGTCGGATCGTGCGATTTCAAATGCCGGGTATTTTCGGCATATGTTAAAGAAGTTGATGAAAAGCCAGCGCCAAATCCATGGGGTCAAAAAATGCCGTTCGGTCAACTTATGAGTGAGTATTCGGTCGGTGGATGGGTTCATCGTGTCGCATTTTCACCGTCGGGTTGCCGATTGGCATTTGTTTCACATGATTCGTCAATTTCAATGGTCGATTCGAACAATGTAAGAAAGAAATTTCTTTAAATTGGAACTAAACATGGTTTCAGGATAATTCAAAGGCTCAAAATCTAAGAACGATTCATCTTCCCTTCACAACAGTTGAGTGGATTACTGAAAACAGCATTGTTGCCGCGGTAAGATTTTTTTCATATTTCATCAAAATATAGTCATTTGAAATTACATTTTTGCGAATTGTGAAAATTTCAGGGTCATGATTGCTCGCCAGTTCTTTTTGTGGTTTCGAATGACACTTTGAAGGAAGTTTGCAAACTTGATGTTCCATCAGCGAGCAAATCCTCTGCAGTCAATAGTGCTTTGCAAATGTTTAGAAATATCGACAGAAATGCGGCGGCCGAAAGAATCAATGTCACACTGAAAACGCTTCACCAAAATCGAATCACGTAACAATTTAAAGCAAGCGGATTGTTCAAAATTTGTTTCAGACAAATTCTTCCGCATTCTGGAACTGCTGGAAATGTTTTGAAGTTCACCACATGTGGAACTGATGGGCTGATTGCTCTTTGGGATTTGAAGGTTTGATTCGTTTTATGAATTCTTGATTCAAAACTATTCTGAATTATTCATTCCACACAGGAAACTATAGAATTCTGCCGGGCAAGTCTTTATTGAAATGTGTATTTTGGACTAATCAGATTGTTGAATAACAATTTGAAATTTTTATTGTCAAAATCGCGCGACTGTGGGAAATGCTAAAAAAAAAACTATTTAAGAAAAACGAAAAGTAAATTTTTTGTGATATTAATTTAAAAAAAACTGTTTTATTTTCGCAAAAGAAAACGACAAAAACGCAAAAATTCGAGTATTAAAAAACGTTGAAAAATCGATATTAAAGGAACATGTGCCATATTTTTAAAACATCGCATGACCTACAGTACGTATTTGCGAAATTAAACGCTTATTGTGACAAAAACGAGAACGTTGCGTAATGAAAATTTTCGTTTTTTTATTTGCAATTACTAAATAGATCCATAAAACCTCATCTTTAAGATTTTTGGCATTTAGCTAATTTTACTCAGTAGCGCGATGTCGACAATAACTTTATTTAGATTTTTTTCGATGATTCGTGACGAGTAATACGTATCTAACTAAGAGTTTCGTGTTTTTGAAATAACGTGTTTCAAACCAAAGCTGGCATGGTGTATTTGCATGGAATTCGTTTAATTGAAGCCAATTACCATTTCATTTTCAGAATCATCCATCGCTTGTCTGATTGATACTCAATTTATAATTCTTCACTTATTGGCGCGTTAATTCTAGCTCAAATTCGCTGTTTTGTGTGATTTAAAAAATTTCTGAATTGTACTATATATTAATGACATTTACCATTGTCGGCTTTAAATAATCTTTTTCGAATGTATTTATTCATCCTATTTTCATTCCCCCTTATTTCACAGTCAATAATGAAGTGTCCTTTATTTTTATTTTTTTTTGTTTTGAAATGTTGGAAACACAACAGAACTTATCTAATTATGTATTGTTTTTTAATGTTAACTATTTTTTTAAAAAAAGGAATGGAAGGCCAAGAACCGATTTGGAGTGCAAATGGGACATGTAATGTCAGTGAAGTTATTTTTTCGGTAGAATTTCTAAATTAGTAATTTTAGTATTGTCATGTTGTTTGTTCGAATGCGGCACTTAAGAGGCAACATGAAGTAAATCCCAATCACGTCCGGGTATCTTTTACTGATTACATTTAAATACATTTAAAAAAATGGGTTTGTTGTGATTTTTTTTATTATTGAGTTAGATTCAAAATATATTTAGATTTCTAAATTATTGCAAAAACAAATTCAAAATTTCAGAAAGTGCGGGTGGTAGAGTTCTATTCGGAACAAATAAAAAATTCCGATGTACCGACAATTGAGTCGATGTTGTACAATCGATATAAACTTCGAAGAAAGTGTGTTCCAAGTAAACTGGAAATTAAGCAGAAAATTTATAAATTTTTAATTATTTGAGGCGTCGAAGCAATAACGGAAATTAAGACGAAATGGAATCCATCGGCGTTATGGGCATGTTCGCTTTGTACGGCAGTCGGTGGACATTATGACTCAGCGGATGCTCATTTAATGTCTGTTGAGCATTTGAAAATGTGGCTTGTAGGATTCAATTTTGCGTCGTTCAATTTTCGATTGGAAATTTCAGCGTTTGTATTATCCTGACGAATTGAAATCAATTGATTTGGAAAACAGTGATAAGGCTGAACTTTATGAGAAATTGAATTGTGTTGCTGAGAAAATTTATCACGAGAAAGGCAAAACTTCAATATTAAAAATAAATACATTTTTAAATTGTGTTTAGGTTGCCGAATGCCGATGGTCATCGAATTGAACCTAACAAAGGAGGAAGCGAAGAAGAAGTTTGTTCTTTCTGAAATTGAGGACACAATGACAGTCAAATTTTATTCGAAAGATGCAAAACGCGGAATAATTTATTGTAACGTAAGTGGCAAACATATAAATCATATTAAGCTTGATTTGAGTTTTAAAATGTACTAGAAGAGCGAGTTTTAAATTTATAGACATGTCACGACGTGATTCCAATCATTTCGTCTCCGAAATATACACCTCAAAGAGCAAAAGAAGCCCATCTTGACTCGCCGTTTCATCGAAGATGCGCAGAAATCATAGAATCGATTAAACAAAGTACATTTTTCGAATAGATTTTTGTCATTTTCAATTTTTTGCTTTTCAGTGGATAATGAAAAGATTTACATGTCGGAGTTTCAAGAGCATAACGATTTTAAATGGAGACAAGCTCCTGATGGAGTTTGGTATTTGAATGAGCCGGTTGGCCTCAAATATGGATGTAATAATGGTATTAAATTGCTTTCAAAATAAAAAAAATCGAGATTTTAGAAACTGAAAAAATTTGCACGTTGTGTTTTTGCTATGTTGATTCGAAAGAGCATTTCTCTAGTGAAGCTCATGTTGTCAATTATACATCAAAACGTAAACCATACGAAATGTTTTTTGTGAAGCAAATGATTGGCGACGAGAGGCGAGAAGGGTGCATTAAACTACTCTCGAATGAATATATTGGAAACGATTTTGATCACAAAGTGCTTATCAACAGATTTCCATCGCATATTCAGGTACTTTCTCACAAAATGTTACTTTTTTTAAAATATCATTACCATTTGTAGAATCTCCTTTGTGGTGACACTCGGTCTTATATGGACGTAGCGCCGGAGATTATCAACAACTACAATGCACGATCCATATTTTGTCCAGTAAGTTGTGTTATGTTCTGTTTCACTAAATCGTTTTATAGATATGCAATAGTGTTTTTCCGTATAACGGAAACGGTGAATTGACGGCTGAGGAATGCAAATTGGCGTACATGAAGCACATATATGAAATTGGCCATTTTGAGACATTGGCAAGACGCGGAACATACACATTCAGTGAGATTCCTGTGAATAATTGAAAATTGAGTTTAATGCTGATAATTCAGACGATGAATACTTCGCGCCGTATCCTCCAACAGTCACAAAAATGGCCGTGACACCGAAATTGAGATGGGAATACGTCAAAGTAGCCACTTTTTTTTGGTTTCCGAAACCATTGAAATGATTTAAGGACACCGACATGCTTATTCAAACATTATGCGATGTCGGATTAGAGTATGTCGTTGAAGACGACGATCACGATGAGGTTGTTTGCACGTTGTGCGTTCGCAAATATTCGAGATCTGAGCCGACCGTCCTTAATTATCACGTGCGCTCGCTGAATCACATCAAACAGTATTTGGTAGGTTTCCGCCATTTCGTATAATTGCTGTCAGCGCTTCTTATCAAGCATTTTTCTCTCGGATTGTCGTTTTTATTTTGAACGTGTTTTCATTTCGTTTTCTTGTTTGTTTCCATTATTTCTTGTTGTTTTTCATATTATTTTCTCAATCAGTATTCAATTGTTTTCCAAAATTGCGAAAACTTTTATATTTAGAATGTTATCAATAGGAATACTATCGATTTGATCGCAACCAAGTCGGACGAAGAGCGTAATGACATTCTGAAATTTTGGCTGGAAAAAAATTCGGCGAGTTTTGCCAAAGACTTTAAGGTATATTATTCGTCGTTATTAGCCGTAGATTAAACACTTTTTGATCAATTTTTTTGTATTTTAAATTGTTTTCAGGTTTATTCAAAGAAAAAATGTTTGCAATTGTCAGATTGGAAGGACGTGCCTAGCCGAATTGTATGATAATTTATAGAATGACGCGGAATATTAAAAAAAAATATTTTAGATCAACTACACACCGTTTAGCCAGTCTGTCGATCGAGATGTGTTCGACACCCTTTCAGATATAATTGATAAAATATCTTGTGATGGAGGTTTATTGCAATATTTGAAAATGATCAAATAGTCGACAAATTTTTAGTTGAATCGGCTACAATTAGCGCTCATGATGCACTGATTGGAAATAATGTGAAAATTATTCGCAATATCGCAAATAATCTTGGAAATATAATTGAAGCCGTTTGTAGGTGTATGGTATGACATATTGATCCCACTGATGTTTAATTGTAATTCTGTGCTCTTCTACAGTCATGCGAATTGGTTTTTCATGTACATCTTCCCGATTGGATCCCAGATGTGTTTCAGAAGCATCTTTGGACTGAAGAACATTTAATCCGCTATGAGAATTTTGAGGCAAACCGATACGGTACGAAAACCGTAATTTGCCCCATATAATTTTTGTATTTCAAGATTTTTTTTTGATTATTTATAAAATATCATATTGTTTTAAATAAGTTTTAGATGAATACGGAATCAGTGACGAACGTTCGACATACACAGTCAAGGAATTCGAACAAAAAGACCCAACTAAGGTAATGATTTTTTCTTGTATAATTTATTATATTTTTTGATTTCTGAAATTTCTTTTAATCTCTATAAATAATATACTAGTATTTAAATTTTTAAATAAAATACTGAATTGTCTTTAATTTAGAAAGTGACGTGGCAATGGAATTCAACGAAGAAACTGCACGAATATGTGAGAAGTGTCGTCGGATTGCAAGATATTATCGAAAAAAGAGAATATGTTGATAATAAGCTTAATGCTGAATTCTTTTGCACTTTGTGCGCAAAAATGATTCCCAAAAGAGCTGCTCTATTGGAATCCCACGTTCGAGAAGCCAAACATCTTGTTAACTTCATGGTGGGTCATGATGTATGGTTATGACGGTTCATTGGAAGATTCCAGCACAAATATCATCCGTTGAAAGTAAGAGAATTCGAAATTCTCGGAAGAGTCCAAGATAAAGGAAAGGAGCAACGGAAATTTTTGACCGATTTGCTCAAGGACGTCCGTCCCCCAACGGCCTATTGTATTAGGATCTATGATCCGGCTGGAAAAGCCGAAAAAGAAAAAATTGCTGCAGAGCAGAAAAAGCTAGAAGAAACTCGCGCCATGGAGAGAATGGCGGCGAGAGAAAAGGCATTAGAAGGTCGTGCTTTTCAACTGTTTCGACAGATTATCGCGAATTTGCGCAATTTTGAAAATTTGAGCGCGCGGCGGCATTTTTTTTTCAAACATACGGACACGTTTTTAATACAGTTTTTTAAGACCGAAAGAATCGGATAGCGGAATTGGAAAAGAAGAGATTGGAACAGATAAAATATGCTGCTGAGAAAAACCATCAACTTGAAATGGAACGCCGGAAACGGGAAGAAGAAAGAGAGGCGCGGATCAAACTCGCGTTGGAACGGGCACAAAGAGATGTAAGAATATACGAAAAATAAATATATGCTTGTTTTATTAAAGAAAGCCTTGATTCAAAATGGACCAGATCTGAGTCAGAAAATTGATATTGCAAAACACGTGGAACAAGCTCATGTAAGTTCAATTAGCAACAAATGACAGAGAGGTTTTATATTTTAGAACGAAAATAATATTTCGTTTTATATTTAGTTTCGACAATATCTGTTTCATGAGAATAATCGTAATCATGAAACAGATATTGTCGAAATCGCGCGATTGCTTTTTCAAATAAAGAAATGCAAAAATTTTTGTGTTGCGCTCGCTTTGTCTTTTTATATTTAATTCGAGTTATTATATAAAATTACATTTTTCTTAGCTCTTACGAGCTCGAACAACCGAAAAGATGAGATTGGAAGAAGAAAGGAAAGAGATCGAAGAAAGAATAAAGGCTCTCAATCCACCGAAGTTAATTATACCTGGGAATCTCGCACCGAAAACTGCGCCATTGACGAATTTCACTGGTGTTCCTCGACCGTTGAATCCTCCTCCGATGCCGCAATGGAATGGTCCACCCGTCGGTGTACCACCTCCGCCAATAGCATACGGTTATCCTGGAATGCATGGTTTCAATGGAGTTCATCCAGTTCCTCCACCGAGTGTTATGACTCATATACCACCTCCACCACTGCAAAATATTGTTCCACATATGCCTGTTCCGCCGCCAGCTGTTGCCCAACTGACACCAGCATATATCAGAAGGTATGATTCTCATGGTTTTCGTATTCCGAATTAGCGAGTTTCAGACCATCACTTAAAGATCGAAATGTCGATCCTTTCCTGTTTGGCGACAAAGTGTCGACGAAACACGATGTGATGGAATATCGTATGTTGTTTGCATTTCATCGTTTTGTTTGTTTTCAACGTTTTATCCGTAAACGGCACACCAGAATTTTCTTTTACCATGACTAATTTTTTTCTTTTGTCAGTCATGAAGAAGGGAGCCGAAAGGATTCCAACCAACGAGCTTCCTGAAGAATTCAGTAGAACTGCAAATGAAATTCCTGGAGCACTTGGCATTGATTCGATTTACGAAGTGGTGTGTATCGATGATGAGAAACTCACTAGTTATTTCTGTACATTGTGCGCTGAATGGAATTCAGCGAAGGAAATGATGAAGCACGTCGTTTCTGAAAACCATACAATGGGTTATTTGGTAATTAAACCAATGAAACTATCCGCTTCTCATGGTTTTTTAATTTAGTTTCGAAATTATAAAAATTACTACGCGACAGTGAAAAACGAAAAAGATAAGGGTATTCGACGAGCTATTCTCAAAAACTTTAGTAAAGACGTTCAAAAGGTAATCAATTGTCTTTAAACTGCTCCAAATTGAATGATTGCAGATGGAACAGGGAGAACATAAAGTCGAACATCGAATGCACGCGGTTCTCAGCAAAAAAGTTTTTGTGAATGCGTGGCCTGGATATGAAAAATATTTCTTCGATGCCGCTCAATGGAAAACAAGCGGATTCCAAGAAATCAATTGTATGTCAATCGCAAGCAATTTTAGCGATTATTTTTTTAATTACAGACGAGCCTGTTCCTGTTCCGGCGCCAATTTCAAAATCGGCACTCATTTTAGACGATGACGATGACGAAGACGATCAAAGATCGAAACACGGAAAATCGAGCAAGAAACACAGGGAGAAACGCAGAAGATCGCATAGCAGATCGCGAAAAAGGAGTCGCAGCAAATCAAGAACACCACGATCATCTCGCTCTCGAAGCAGATCGAGAAGTCGCGATAGACGTCGACGTCGCTCAAAAAGCCGATCGAGCTCATGGGACAAACATCGTTCTTCGAAAAATCAGTCGTCATCTTCTAAAAATTGGGCTGCAGAAACTGATGCGTTTCTAGCAAAATTGTCGTCAGGAAAATCAAGTGGACGATCAGAAAGAAGGTTGATCAAATCGAAATTCTCAATCAACTTATCTTAATTTTGTTTAGTTCAAACCATCGCGATCCTCTTCGAGGAAATAGTTCGACAGAAGAGAAAACTGACGACAAAAGTTTTGCTGAGAAAATAGCGCAACTTCGAAATTTGACCAAAACTGGTGCAGTGAAGGGCAGTGAAATCGATGAATACGAGGAAAAAAGGTAACATTTTGATTATTTTTTTCTATTATCATCGCACAAAAAACGAGCGCCTTGCATAATTGTGTACTATCGCACTTTTTCAAGGCGGTAATTCAAATTTGAATTTAAGCAAACTCATCGTAAATCGCCGCAGGGCGCTCTTTTTTTTGTCGAACGTAAAATATGGATTTTTTTTTAGAAAACTGGAGGCTGCAAAAAGAGAAGATATTTTGCGCGCTGAAAAAGAAATTGAGAAGAGGCGCATTGGAAGCAAGCAGTTGAGCGAAGATGACAAAACGAAACAACGAAAAATGTTGGGAGTTATTATCACAATGCAACAACAAGTAGAGCGTGGAGAGCCTGTGGATAAAAAGAGGGTTGGAATCTGATTAGATGAATGAGCGAACGAATGAATGTTTGCAGATCGAAGAATTATATCGAGAAGTTGGTTTGAATGCTGGAGATGGAGAAGAATTGTTGAGAAAATTGACAAGTGGACTTCCTGCTGTGCCGAAAGTATTTGATTTTTATGTTGATTGAATTTACTGATTCCATTTATAGCCGGCACCATTGTCAATCGATTTTGCTTCATACAGCATCGCTCCCACTACATCAGGTATATTTTTTTATTGGCCATTATATTTTTCAACGAGAATATCTTCAGGTACGAGTGCATATAAAGCAGCAGTTCAATCAACACTTTCATCAACTTCAACGCAACACGTACCTAAATTTATTTCTTCTTCGCAAATTTCTTATTTTTTTCAGAATTATAATCAGCCGGGTGTTTCTTCTTCTTCTTCTTATCAAAATCCAGCTTATAGATTTGACAACCTCAAACGAATGGCACCTTCACAGTCTGCGCAGGGTTTGTTTCACTAGTCTGTCAACTTCATTACTGTGAATCTTCAGGCTCAACGTCTTCGATTTTACCACCATCGTATTATGAGAAACAATCGCAGGAGATTTTTAAAGATTCGGTATCTCATGTATACCCAGAGACTACTCAACCAGTTGTGAAGAAGGCGAAAGAAGTTTGAAAATCTTTTCATTTTTTGAAATGTTATTTTTTCTTTTTAGATAAGCGCAGACGATGATTCGGATGATGAGTATTTGGAAATTATGTCACTTATAGGTAAAAAACCAAGTACGAAAGACGGATCAAGTAGTCAGAACTCGACGACTTCGACACCTCAAAAGATGGACGTGAAACCAACAATATGTCCGGGACAGAAAATGGCTTTAGCGAGAACGGTTTTGCCGAACGGGCAGAAAGTTAAAGTTGAGAATCCGGCAGAAATTGGGACATTGGTGTCCAATCCACAATCGACGTCGAATCAAAACATCGCGATTCCCGGCGCGAATCAAGTTCACCAACCTATGGTTCCACAGAATATGCAACAATTTTCAAACCCTCCACCACCTCATGTACTATTTTTTCATAAGAAACATAATTCCGATCAATTAAATTTTAGATAATGATGCAGCAACAGTACGGAATGCCCCCTCATCCAATGGGTTACCAAATGCAACCACAACCACAGGTAAATCGATAGTGTAAAAGTCGAATTATCGTAATTAATTGAAATTTGTGAGAATCACATCTATCTGGATAGTTAATTTTCCGGTTGTTCGATAATTGTAACTTGTGACGAGATCAAGTTTTTGATTGATTTCAGCAAATGTACACGATGACACAACCGCCGCCGAACATGATGCCGTCGCATTATCCGCCGGGAATAATCGAAAACCAACAATACATGCCGCAGCCACCACCGGGAATGTATATGCAACAGCACATGATTCCGCCGCCACAACCGGGATTGCCCACCTACGCGCCGCCCCCTAATTTCCAGCATCAGCAGTATTACTGAATGGCCTCCCTGATACTCCCACTTAGCTCAATTCTATTCTGATTTTTTTAATCATTATACCAATTTTTCGCAATACGTTTATTACATGATTTATACATTTTATTTATTAGTCTGGTAATGTTCAAATCCATTTTCTTCTACGTGTATTTTTACAATCTGTTTTGTACAAAAATGCTTCTTTTGTTTTCAATCAATAAAACTAGACGTCCTAGATTTAATCGGTCGACCGACGGCTAACAATGGAATTGCAAATGTGGGGGTGATTATGCGTCGGCTAATACCGTAATCGGCGCATTGCAGAACCAACTTGTTGCATTATGTCCGGCAAACTTCATTTTTCTCTTTCTTTTGTTATTTCTAGAATTAAATTGCTTACACCTGTCGGAACACCTGAGCAATTGGATTCATATTCAATAGAAATCTCACATCACGATTAGTTTACTCCAGAAGTCTCCCTGGAATAAGGAAATGGAATATTCATTGAGAAAAAAATGTATATCTTCAAACCTATTCTCACATCAGAGCTTCATTCGATAATTTTCGTGAGAAACTATTCAAAAATGTTTGTTTTCATCCAAATCGCTATTATTAAACCAACCAGTCTCGGCAGAAAATATGCAAATCTGCCCGGAATTCACTTTTTCGTAAATTTATTCATATTTTTGCCACTCCTGTATATCGCACCGTAATTCTGCGAAATTTTTCATTTTACTAAACATAAATACATTTTAAATGACTCATTAATGAGTATTTTTATGCTGTTTGTTGTCTATTTTTTATCCCACTAGAGAATCTTCTACAATGTTGACCAAAAATGTTCGAGCACGCTCGTAAATATACCCACACTTGGAAATGTTCTTCATAAAAGCTAAAATAAAAAATTTGGATTATTCTGAAAAATGCCTTTAAAAAATATGGAAGCCTAATTTAATATTTAAAAAAAAAACTAAATAATTTCTAATTTTGTGTTCTTTTCTTAGTCGAAGTGAAACTAATCGCGACAAGCATTGCTAGAAACAAAACATAAAATAAAACATAGTATTGTTCTGCGCCATTTACGAGGTGTATGATCGTCGGACTTTGTGGATTTCGAATACAATTCCAAAAACCAACTGCTGTATTGAAACAGCTCGTCGATTTAACGAGGTTGCTCGCTCAGTCCATCGGTTTATTTTTGCGTTCCGACGACAGTGCCGCGCCCAGTTTCAAGCATGTTCAGGAAACATGTGTGACCGAATCGCGACGGCTCAACACTGTTTATTTTTGAATTGGCCATAATCGGACGAATACTCGACGACCACTCTGCATGCGGCGGCGATGTGAGTGTGCGTGTGAAACCCCGTTCGACCCTCTTTCCGTGCTGTTTTTTTCCGCAATTATGTGTACATAGTTTATTGTGTTAACCATCTGGCACGTTATTTCAAATTTTGTTCAAGGTTACGTTTTCGAACACATGCTCGTGTTGCCAAAAAACGCTTTTGTTCTCGATAACTGCTAATTTGGCTAGTTCAACGATCATAAGATTCGCGATGAAACAGCATTTCTAATCAGGAATTGTTCGAATTTTTTTATTGACGCTTTTAAAATTACTCTTGTATTTCTATATACAGTTTTGTCGTCATCTATTAGAATTCAAATTTAAACAATTAATAAGCCACTCCACCAAATTACAATTTAGTATTCTCTCAAAAAAACACAATTATATTTGAAATATTAATTGAATATGTTAAAAACAGAAAAAAAGATCGATCGAATCGTGGACGAGCATTTATTGCAGAACATGTATGTTATGAAAAAAAAACCAATTCACAATAATCACTTTGTTAATGGGATTCTCGAAACCACCTTGTTCTTCTTTTTTTATTTTTTTCTTCGTTCGACAAAACTGTTCGTCGTTCCATTACATATTTGTTTTTTTTTTTCATCTGAAATTCTTTTACAGCAAACTGCACACTTTTCTGATTGAGATGGACAGACAAGATGAGCGCTTTTTCGTCGTCACCAGCCAAAAATAAATACTCGCTCGATACGAGTAGAACGACGATGAGGTCTCAGCACGAATCCGCGCCAATTGACACAGTAATTCACTAATAGGCGCAACGCGTTTTTACTATTTCTATTAGGTTCGATATATTCGCAAATCGGAGCAACAGAAATTGGAGAATCGGCCAGCACCACCGCCGTACAAACCGGCGGTAATCCCACGCGTGAAACCGTCGAAATACCGACATGAAAGTACACAAATATCGAATAACACGGTTGGAAAAGTATGGGGAATTTCAAAAATTGAGCGAAAATCAGAATGATGTGTTTTCAGAGTCGTCCGGCATCGCGAGCTTATGACACATTCGGCGAGAATGCACTCGAAACTGTAAGAGACATTATTTGTTTAGCGAAAATTGCAACACAACACGTTATGTCAACAACAATATTAATAATGATGAGTTCAGATCTACGACCAATTCAAATTTCTGGACGAATCCGATGAACAACCGCCGTCGTCGTCGACACCGACATCGACAAACAGTCATCGGCCGATTTTGCTGCCGCCGATCGAGTACGTTTTTCTATATTATTTTTATTCTATTTCACAAGGGATATATGGAAAAGTGCCAATTTTGATAATTCTTTTGCAAAATTATATTTTATGAATTAGCAGGAAAATGAAGAATGAGGAGCCTCCATCAAGAATCATCTATTGTGTTCTACCGATTATCGAGCTTCTTGCTGCTCTCGCAGTCCTCGTCACTTCATTCTTTCGCTGGAAAAGCGAATACAAGGACGAGAATGTCGAAGCTACGACAGACGGCGATCTCTCAACCCAAGGTCCATTCGGTTTCCGATTCAGTTTTCAGAAACAAAACAGTTTCAGCATTGAGTAGTATGGCATTTCAAAATGCGTTGAGCACTGTCGTTCCGGCGTTCTTTCAAATCGTTTCCGCATTTTTCGGCTTCTGGCCAATCGTGGCTCCGCATCGTCGAATTCCTGCCCAGGTAGCGTATCCACGTCAAAATTAAAGAATTTCCCAAAAAATTCAAGATTCTTCATATCGTTTTCAACGCGATTGTCATTATTTTGTGGTTCAATTCAATCAACGATTTGTTCTTCAAAATTTCGATGGAGCATATTCTTCTGCCAAAGTAGATAATCTCAAATATCAATTTTTCTTTTTTAAATTTTAATTTTAGAGATGAAAAATATGTGGTTGATCTAGTCATTGCTTGCCTAACATACTTCGCTACCGTAATCATTCCTGGGATTACTGTAGTGGTTGCTGCATTCACCTTGATGCCGACGAGAATGCAATCGATTAGAAAATCGATGAGCGCGATTTCGATATCTCTCGGCTCGCTGATTTTCGCGTGTGCGACTACCGTAATCTCGGTGTTCATTGCGCAGGCGAATTTAAACGGATCGAAAGATTTGTGAGAAAATCGCAAGCGTTTTGAATTGGCATTTTTCGATTTTGCAGAACCAACGATAATTATCTGACGTTGGCGTATGGTCTCAAAGAAGCCATCGTTTTCATTTTTGTCGTCTTCGTCACAATTTTCTCGTTGATCGTCTCGACGCAGAATAATCGACCCCTAATGTTTGCAGCCTCAATTGGACAGGGGTTCGAAGAAGAAATTGAAAAATCAATAACGACGTAATGAAATGTTAAGGATCTCGTTGATGGCAATTTCGAGTCAATTGTATACCCCAGAAAGGGTTCAAGCCGTTGTGAATCAGATTCAAGGAGTTTCGAAGCCAGAAACAACTACCGATATTGGGTAAAACCAATAAAAATAATAAAGAGAAACGGACCTATTCATGCAATGAAAAAAATATTTAAAAAAAATTTCAATTTTTTCATTTACAAAAAAAGTGACGCGATATATCGTAATTCTTCGCTATTTATTTTCAAAGGCGCACACAAAAAGTTGCGCAGGTCACGTCGCGAAGTCAGTACTGTATTTTTAATGGCTGTTTTTTTCGAATTTTTTATTTTTTGAGCGTTTAAAACGATTTTTGGAACTCTGTAAAAATATTTTGTTCCATCAACGCTAAAGGTTCATCAGAAGCGTCATCGAGCGAAGTCTGCATAAAAAACAATACAAAAATCACTATTCCACATAATAATGGGTATCTAAATGACGAAAAATAGACTTATATTGTCGAATTAGAAGTAATTATACTAATAATAATAATTGTTTTTCCTCGTTCTTCAATCCGTTACTCATTTCCTCTTCAAAGTTTTCGAAAAATACGGAAAAAGAACACACAGAAGGAAAAATAAAAAATTACAGTACCGACTTCGCGACGTGACCCACGCAACTTTTCGTGTGCGCCTTTGAAAAAGCGGAGAATTACGATAGATCGCGTCACTTTTTTGTAATTTTCGACGTGCGTACATAGGGAATTCAAATGAAAAAATGATGTTTTTTTTTTTTTAAATTTTTTCATTGCAAGAATAGGTCCAAAAATAACTAATATTCAGTGTTGTTCTGCTAAATGCGTGCGCTCTTGCCTCGGTCGTGCTGCTCATCATCCAACTCGCCATTTTCGTCACTTCGATTATTCGGCCGAATCAAAACATCGTCGTCGATAATAACATGAATCCCTCAGGGGTCAGATGCCTTCAAAGAATTGCGTTCTGATCTCGATGCCAAAGGACTCAATACCATTTTGAATGCTCAATAAATCATTGTTATTTGTTAATTCAAGGCTTGAAATATTTTCAGATTCGTTTTTTCCACATTGAACTCGTCGAATCTACCGCAAGGTTTATCGAAATCATATACAAATCGAAAATAAGCAAAAAATCGAAATCAAATCAGATCATAATTGTCACAAATCAATTGATTAGATAATAATAAAAAAAAGGTTACAATTAAGTCTCACTCAAAACTTACACGGGGTACTAACTAGAGAGAATCAAATATTTTTTAAATTATTAATAGCTTGGCCATTGATTATAAGGATTAAAATAATCGTAAGTGTAGTTTGGAGTCATAACTGGAAACTGATTGGGGTAGGTTGCGAAGTACGGTGCAAACATCTGTTGGGACGGGTCGAACATTGGGAACGCGTGAGGATGAGCACCCATTGGTGGCTCTTGTACTTCAAGAACAGCTTCCGGCTCCATTTTGGGTTTCTTTTGATTGGGCGGCGATAGAGAATCTTCGGATGTTGTTGTAGAAAGTGGGGAAATTGATGATCTACAATCGAATTTCTTTTTTTTGAGCCGAAATTTCTGTTGATTCTTTTACCTTTTTTGAGCATTTTCTCTGAATCCTTGCGCGTATTTGTTATTTGAAACTTTGAGATCTCTTACAGACGTATTCTGAAACACAAGCGAGAATTCGATAAATCTCAATTTGTTGTTGTACCTGATATGCGGTAACTGCGATGAACTTGGTTTCATTGAATTGGCATTGGTAGAGTCTTATCGGCGGTTCCATTGGATTTCTGAAAATTTGAGCAATTTTCCAAACGTTCATTCATCATTTATTACCTTGAAACACTATAAATACTGACAATCGGAATATATTTTCGCATTGATTGAAGACGCACCTGAAAGGATTAGAATTGGCTCTTAGGAATTTGCCAGCTGAGTGTTTGGCAACTTCATTAAGATTATCCGCCAAATGTGTCAGCTGGATCGATTGGTTTTTTTTTTCGCAATGGTGTGAAACTCTATTTGATTCTATCGAGCGCTGTGGAAAAACGCTTTTAACAGTTATGTGACGATCTCGTCACGCCGATTTTGGGGAATATTAGGGGCATTCGAATATCGGCAAAACCCGCATTACTATTAAACGAACCAAATATACAGAACCGCAGAAAAAGATTCCAAATAATTATTTTCTTTATAACCTTTTCAAGGAGTGGTCCGAACGATGTGATATTTTTACAGGAAATGAAAAACACAATTCAAAAGCAAATTGTAAAGTGGATTGCTGTAGTTCGCAAAAATACGTGTTTGCGGATTTTTTTTTGTGAAGCAAATGGTTTGGCGACTAACTATTAGGTCTATTAATCGTTGTAAAAAAAGGTAATTTGGTGTTTGATAATCTAATTTTATTTCTACACTCATTTGAATTTATACACTTATTTTTTAAAATTTTGTTTTTTTTAACTAAATTTACTTAAAAAATATAAATTTTCATAATACGAACATGTCTTTTAACAGTTAAATCGATTAAACTCAAGTATTACTAAAAATTCCATATCAATTAAGCCATTAATTCAAGTTTTAGAAAAAATTTTTTTCTGCGGTACTGTAATTGTTGCTGATAGCGGGGGCCGCTTGAGATGAGTGCCGCCGATAATTGGTCCGGTCCATTAATAATAATAGGCTTGATAAATCAGTTGCACATATGGTTGGATTGTTGTATCAGATTCGGAAAACCTGATGTGCTAATGGGCTTTTGGCGAGCGCCGCCAATTTCTTGCCAAAGGCTCGGCGTCTTCCGATAATGTTTGCACACGGTGTTTCGATTCTTGGTTCTTACCAGTTCGCGCGACGGACAGCAAACGTCGTCTCCATTGGTGATTTTGAGTCGTTCGAACGAGATTCCGCGCCGCATTAAATCTTTTCCGGTGCGAGTCTCCGGACTGAACACTTCTCGCGGATAATGAGTGGCTTCGACGCATGGTTCGAATTGATCCCAACGGCCATTCATGAATCGATATCTGCAGTTTCGAAATTAGTACCACACACTTTGAAATAATCGATAGGCTCACTTTTTTTCGTCGAGCGGTGCAAATGTTAAGCTTGTTTGGTAAAGAGCATTCTCATCAAGGCCAGTTACTTTGAATTGAAGCGATGGAAACATGTTCCTGAAGAATTGAATTTGACGGTAAACGGTCTGATTAAGCTTTTTTGAGAGAAACCGACTTCCCAATTTCCACCCAAATTCATTTCAAAAAAACTTTAAAAAATAGCGAATAAATGTGAAAAGAGAAAAACGAACCTTCCGCGCTTAGTGATGATCATTTCGTTGTTGATTTCGTCGAATTGGCGCCACAGGTCACTTTTGCACAACTTGACTTCCATATTTTGAACGGGTCACGATGATGAGGAGCACAATAGGATGCAACTAATGGATTTGATGGATGGCATACGTGTGTGTGGGTTCGAAAAAGGGGAGGTGCAGGGAATGGGCGGTCGAGTTGCTCCCGGGAAATCTCGAATACCACATCCATAATGGATTGAGCTGGTCGCTTAGAAGGAGACAATGAGAATATGTACACATTGGTATACTGTATTACAAATATCCTGTAATTGATTAGAATTATTGGAATTAATTGAAGGCAAACAATCAAAATCACTATTAGTCAGTTTTCCATTGAAAATGATGCTCTCGTCAAATTTGTGTTGAATATTTCAATTTCGATGGTAAATTTATTTAGGTAATTTCAATAAAATTGAAATATGGTAGACTGCTCTACTTGAATATATTTACGTGCCCTCGCTATGGTCTCGCACGGACAAACCAGTTATTTTGCATTTTAAAGATTCAAGGAATTGATATACTCATCGTCCTCGGGTATATTATAACATAAAGCGGTCATTTTCAGACACGCAGATCTACCATATTGGCAATCACGCGTACATTTCATCCACTGAAAATTTGAATTCGATTTAGATTTTGAAAAATCTAATCGAATACTTTGGCGCATTCGTTGATATTTTTTGGCATTCTGTGTTCCTCGTCGAATATTTGAATTGATTCCGAAGTGTTTCGACGCGAAGCAGCTTTACCTTCACAGCGGGCTGTTTAATTACATCGAATAGATATTTCTGGAGTTTTTTGTATTCTAATATAGTCAGCGTCCGGAAGTCGACTGCTGTACGCGGGTAGATTTACGGGAATGCGTCTTTCGTAATGGTCTCGCAAGGACTAACAGGTTATTTCAAATTTTATGGACCGGTTCGATAATTTTTTAATCGAATATCGTTGGAAATTCAAGGAAATGCGAAATTCATCAAGAAGAATGAAGCAGTTCACGTGAAAACGGCAAAATAAGCATTCAAACGTGCCGAGACCTTTTCAAGGCGCATGCGCGTAAATCTACCCGCATACAGCAGTCGACGGCGGGACGCCGACTGTATAAATATTTTTGTATTTTTAATAGAAAAATTGAAATGGGGAATAACTTTCAAATTTTCGATTTAAAATGTGCTAATGGGTTTCACATAAAATTATTTTCACACGGACACACTTAACACCCAGTAGCAGCTTCTGCGAATTGTGATTGACGCGCCACGATTATATGACAAGTGCTAACATGTCACCGTATCGTTCTGGGTGAGATGTGGTATTAATTGGACTAGTAAGAAATTCGGCAAATATAAACAAAATAATAAAGGGCATACTTGCCAAAAATTGGATCGACATGGGGTTTCGTATCAATCATTGATGTCATACGCAGTATCTGATTTGTCAAACTACCAAACTTGGAATTGTTGCCATTTCCGGAAAAGCAATAATGATTGGTTCATTTCTTTATCAAAATAGGGACCCAAATGCTCGAAATAGAAAATATTTTGCTCGGCGTGTGAAATTTGACCACCTATCATCAGAAAACTGTGAAATTGTTGAAGCTGACAGTCAGGAAATCAGCGTGCGTTCGCACTTGTCAATTCATTGTGGCGTGTCAATCAAGCAAGGTCAGAAGCCCATAAAAGTGTCGATTTTTGCGAGAGCCGTTCCACACCGAAAATTCGACCAAAAAATGGTTTCTTTTCCATGAAAATGGATGTGATTCAAAAATGGTTTGGTCAGTTTTTCGCTCTCTCTCGAATGTTACAATTTGACTGACCACCACCACCCACCTGTAATCAGCCAGTTATTTTCAACACACTGCGGTAATTATGAAAAGTGACAAAATGAAACAAACCGAGAATAAACCAGTTTTGTGTGCGAATTTGGACAATGGCTGAAAACGAAAATGTTTTAGTCCTTCAACCCCTTCTTCGACATTCGACTTTTCACTCACCCAGGTTTTCTTGATTCACTTTCGTCTTTATACCTTAAACAATCAAATCTCATTCGTTTAGACAAATTATTATTTCAATCCAAAAATGGAAATTATCCGAACTATTTATTTCTTAGAATTCACTAATATACTAAATTATGCTACATATAAAAGGACAAACGAAATCATCATAAGGCAGATCATTTAGTCGCAACCTAGTCCAAAAGCGAAATCTCTCGTTTGCTTTGTTGTTCCAATGAACTCAAATTCGTCGCGAAGAGCGGATTAGAAAAAAATCATAAATAAATAAATATGTATATTGACAAAACGAGTTTATATTTTTGAAGGTTAAAAAAGAAAAATACAAACACATAGTAATATTAGAATTAATGGATTTTGTTTAATTATATTAAAAAAAAAAAACACAAAATTAGAGAAATCATTTAAAGTGTTGGAATGCATTGCAATGAAACTCTGCATTAGCGACTTCACGTAACCATATTTGCGATCCAACTTTGAGCAAGCGATTGCTCATTTCCTTGTTAGCCATGATTCATTGACCAGCTGCTGCTCAATTTTGTTGCTCTGTTCAATTGTTTCGTTTTGAATAAAAATCGAAATGTAAACGAAATGCGTCCTATTGACACCGGTAGAGAGTTTGCGAACAAACACAAATGACCGCCGCTTAGGTTTTGCGGTAGCAGAGAGGAGTTTTTCCGTGCGGAACACCCGGTTAATCTCGTCGACACGCCGATCCGCGCATCGCTTTAAAAGGAAGCCACGAATCGCAATGAGCATATGATGATGATGCTTGAAATGTCCGTCGTCGTTTTCAGTCTTCTGCCATCGCTATGTCTCACAGCTTCTGTTCTTTCCAAAAATCAGGTACGTTTGCATTTTTTTTCCGAAAATTCTGAAACGAGAATTTTTGCTTTAAAAGAAAATTGAACCAAGTTTTTTTTTAAATATATTTTTTTTTCAAATAATTTCCGACAAATGATTATGGTCTTTTGATTGTGTTGATTATGCTTATTTTCAGGTAGTCGACAAATCGATTGCAGACACCGAAACCACACTGAATGATGCTGACTTCCAAAGCGATTTGCACAAAAGATTTGAGCTGCAGACACTAGGTTTGATTCAAAAATGATTGCGACCATTTCGATGATTGCGAACTTTAGGAATCAAGGTCAAAGATGATCCAGTAATGGGAAACTACAGCGAGGGCGATATTTATTTGCCGAGTGTCAAGGAATTTGTGAACGAGAACAACAAATTGGGCAGAAACGCAATCAAGCAAATGTATAGGTATGATTTAAGAAAAAGAAAAAGTCGAGAGATCAAAATGGAGAATCGTTCAGAAGATGGCCGAACGGTGAAATACCCTATACACTGTCTTCTCAGTATGGTGCTTATGCGAGAAGTGTCATCGCCAACGCAATGAATGTTAGTTTTCTAAAAATTTTCTAATTGATTATAAGCTGAGGTCATTCGAAATATTTAAATGCAAAAAATTGATATATGTTCTTAAAAATACATTTTCAGGAATACCATAAAAAGACGTGCGTTCGATTCGTTGCTCGCGATCCTGCCCGTCATCACGATTATCTTTGGATTCATCCCGATGAGGGTTGCTACAGTCTCGTCGGAAAGTACGAACTCAATAATTAAACGGGATATACCGTCGTTTTTAAATTTTAGAACTGGCGGAAAACAGCCGGTGTCTTTGGATTCGGGATGCATTCAAGTAGGAACAATTGTGCACGAGCTGATGCATGCTGTTGGATTCTTCCATGAGCAGAGCAGGTCTTTCATTTTCAGCATAACACATTCGATTGTTTCATTTTTCTAGACAAGATCGTGACAACTATATCGATGTTGTATGGCAGAATGTGATGAATGGAGCCGACGATCAGTTTGAGAAATACAATTTGAACGTGATTTCGCATCTCGATGAACCATATGATTATTCGTCAATTATGCATTATGGGCCATACGCATTCAGCGGATCCGGAAAGAAAACGTTAATTCCGAAAAAGGTAATCAATTCCATTGAAAAACATTTCTATCTAAAATTCTAAATTTACTTCAGTCGGGTGCTGAGCGAATGGGCCAACGTGTCAAATTTTCGGATATCGATGTTCGGAAAATCAACAAATTGTATAATTGTGCTGCGGCCAAGAATAACAACAACAATAATAATAACAATAATAACAATAATAACCAAATCGCGACGAATTCGATTGTCAATCACCCACAGGTTTGAGTTGCTTCTTCATTTTTCTTTCTAATAATTTATTTTTGTTCGTTTCGTTTATTCTTTTTAATTTGTTTCAGTCTCGTTTCGCTGGTCTTCCATCTTCTAATCGAGTTTCCACTAACACCAACCGGCAGATCATCCGGATTTTCGGTTAATTTATGTGTATTTTTTCTATGTGATTGATCTCGCTTTTTGGGTTTCTTGTGTGTTTTATGCTTTAATCGCCAATGAATATTTTAGCATTTTATTATTTCATTTTGCAGCCCGAACAATGTGATGATTTAACATGGCGATGTCGATTTTGGTCTTTATTTTCATATTGCCAAAGAAATGAAGTAAAAGCAATTATTTGTCGAAAATCGTGCCTCGATTGTTGAGAAATTGTTAATTACCTATTGAAAGTACGGTGTGCAGATGGTACACATTGACGTCACGGTGTTTGCGGACGCAATAGGATTCTCTCAAAATTCATTTTTTATTTCTTATTTTTCAGTTATTATATGCTAAAATAAAGTTTTAATTTATTGTATTTGTCTTTAAAATTTTTCTAAATTAATAAATGAATTTTAGACATTTTTTTTTGTTTTAATGCAAGCAGATAATTTCGTAAAGAGTAAGCTAATAGGACGGAAAACCATTTAAAAATATTTTTGAATAAGTTTTACTCGAATTTGGCGTTGGTCTGTTAAAAAATATTTACGATAACATTTGACTATAAAAATATAAATTCATTTGGTAATTTTAAAGCTTCCCGTTTTTATTTTTTTTTCAGTTTTATCGTTTGAATTACTGTTTAGTATTGATTCAGATGACGAATCTCGATGCGGTAACAAATGAGACATACTTTCCACGTGGTGGCGGGTCTGAAAAATCTAAAAAATCAAAAACTTCAAACGAGCAATTATTTCCGTCGAAGAAAGCGCAAAAGGTAATTCAATTTTCTTTTTTTCATTTTGACTGTTGTTTCTCAGCGAAAAGCCGATCCTAGCGCAGAAAAGTTTGTTAAAAAACCGAAAGAAGTTTCGGCATGGATTCCCAAAGTCGAAAATGACATGTTCATTGAAGGACTTTTGGGTCTTGGAGTTGTTTCTGATGTAAGATTTTTCAATTTTTGCTAACGTATTGTTTTTAATAGGTTTTTGATGATGGAATTATTTTGCACACCGCGGGAAACCAAAATGTGCGAATTAACGTTTCCGAAGTCGCGAACAAATTCAGTCAGCTGATCAACGCGGAAAAAATCGAAATGTCTGATGCGTTCAAAATTGGACAAATGGTGCCGTTCCGTGTTATTTCAAAGAAATCCAAACAAGACAAAGGCAGCGTGAAAGGAACTTGTAATCCGGCGAAGCTCAACAAACACCTTTCACCAAACATGCTTGTTGCCGGGCTGGTCATCCACACATGTGTGACAAGTCTTGAAGAAAAAGGAGCCGTTTTGGATATCGGATTAGATCAGATGACAGGATTCCTTGAGAAGGCCCAATTTCCGCCATCGGGAGTATTCGAAGGACAACCACTCATCGTTCGCGTCTTGTCAACGACGTCGCGGGTTGTGAAAGTCAGCGCTCTAGTTGAGCAGGTATATAATGCCGTGAAAATACAGGTTTAATAGATCTTTTTAAAGGATAATTTGAACATGACAAGCTGTGAGAAACTTCAATTGAACCATTTGATGCCGGGAACAATTCTCGAATGCGAGCCGACTGGAGATGAGCCTGTGTCGAACGGAGTTTTTGTTTCTATTGGAAATGGTGAGTGTGAAAAATTGAATTTTCTTGGCAATTTTCGACTATTTTTCAGGTCTCAAGGGAATCTTGCCACGACGCAACCTTCCTCCTCGTCTTCGCGAAAATCCTGAAAAACTTGGAAAGGCGATTCGCGCGGTTGTCATGTTTTGCCAACAAAACTCCAAAGTTCTTGTGCTCCATGCTCATCCTGATATTGTGGCGATTTCGAAAATAGAAAAACGCACCAGTTTCGAGGTAGCTGCTTATTCTGACATCTAAACTAAATATTTTTCTTCTTTTAGGGTATTTCGATTGGAGACACTGTGAAATGCACGGTTCTCGACGTAATTCCTTCAAAGTGCACAGTATTTTTCTCACTTCCTCCCACTGATGGAAAGAAATCTCTTGTAACTGGATTATGCTCTCGCGGATTTTTGGATAATCCTGATAATATTGGTACGGTATTTTTCGAACATATTAATATTATTAATAAAACGAAATACTAATTCTTCCAGCTGAGAATTATAACATCGGGGCCGAAAAGTTGTGCCGAGTAATTGCATATCGATATGTTGAACGGAGCATCGTTGTTTCTACAAGAAAGGATATTCTTAAACAAAAAATCACTTCATATATGGTAAAGCTTTTCTTCAATGTTTTCCCCAATAAACTATGCCGATTTTAGGATGCCGTTTGCGGAGATATTGTAGAAGGAAAAGTTGTTCATGTTTCCCCACAGGGCATCCATTTGAATGTGTGCAATTTCGTTCGCGCCTTTGCTCCGGCATCGATGCTTAGCGACAAGCCGATAATCGGAAAATTGAAGAGCAAATTCCCACTGGGTAAATCAATCGATTCAAATTCACACTTTCAAAAGTCAACATTGTGTTGTTCCAGGTTCAACCGTGAAATGTCGAATTTGGCAAATTTGCAAAGATCGCAAAAAATTGATTGTTTCGTGTAAAGAGCGAATGCTAGAATTGAAGGTATGCTTTTGGAATAATTGAATACGATTGAATCATTGCAGACTCCATTGGCAAATACAAAGGAAAAACTGTCGGTCGGCGATTTACTGCCATGCACAGTTCGAAAAATTTTCCCAACTGGAGTTCTTCTTCTCAAAACGTACAATGAGATTTGCGGAGTTTTGCCGAAAAATGATGCCAAAATGTTGCACGATGTCAAGTATGTTTTCAATTTTCAAACGAATTGACTAATTCTAAAATTTGAAGACTCAACGATTATGTTGAAGCACATGTCGAGAGACTTGAAGACAACAAAATAATTTTTACGCTTCCTGAATCAACCAAATCTGGTGGAATTGGAGCCACTAACGAGAATTCTGATAAGAAACGAGTGCATAAAGTTAAAGTAGCGGAGTTCAAGAAGTGCACGAAAGACTATAAAAAAAATGAATTTCAGTTTGTTACGGATGTCGAAATTGGGAAAGTTTACAGTGGATCGCTGTCGGCTAAAAAAAATGAGAAAATTATCGCCAAATTCAATGCAGAAAATGTATTTTTTTTTAGAACTGAGCCTGTGATTACTTAATTTTTTAAATAGGAAATCACATCAATTGTGGAAGATCATATGTTTTCCGACCTTCTTGATGCTGAAATCGGACTTGCAAAACGCATTTTGATTCAAGGATCGGTGAAAGTTGATCGGATTGTGCCCATGGGAACTGCTGCTGGAATTCATAAGGTATTTCCAGCATTTAGAATAATATACAACATTTTCCAACATTTTCCAGACGTGTGCAAAACGATTTGTGGCCAACTGGATTCACGAGCACAAGATTCCGAGCAAATTCGAAGATCTTTCCGAATCAACGGTTGTTTGTGCTGTTGTTACACAGGTAATGCTCCAAAAATGAAAACAAATATACAAAACGTGGTTTTCAGATAGTTTCTGAGGCTGGAGCCTTTGCTGAAATTGCTGGAGGAAGCGGGTTAATCGGACGAATTAAGAGTAGAAGTAGGAAACATGCTTATCTAAAACTATAACGGATTCGGATTTTAGAAGTGGGAATACCAACCATTGAATTGTTCGAAGTTGGCCAAGCAATTATTGGAAGGATTATAATTATTGATGAGAAAACCAAGAAGTTTCTTATTGATCCTTACGTATGTCGTTTCTTTTTTCATTTCAAATATATCCAAGATAAACTTTAGTCCGAAATGAACAACAAAGACCAAATGGTTGAGCATCACGCGATTCCGATTCTTAAAAATATTGTGGATGAAGTTAAATGGCTTGCTGAAGGCGCGAAATTCCCAGCTCCTGGTATATTTTGCGCAGTATGAATAATTTTTTTGAACATGAAAATATTAGGAGCAAATGTGAATGCAAAAGTCACAAAGGAATTAGATGATGTGGTTTTGGTAGAATTCAAACACAATAAAAAGAAGATGGCGGGAATCGTTAAGAAGGATGTCAAAGAAATCTTGATATTGGTTATCAATTACGCAAAAATTGAATTAAAATATTTAATTTAGGATGAGAAAAAATCAAATTTGGTTGTAGTTGATGTAAATCATTCGACAAATGAGATCGTGTTGGCTAAGAAACAAGAAGTGAGTGTTTCAATTAAGAATTCGATAAATTCAACGGCATTATTTATATTAATTTTCTAGACTCCACGAATTGTCGCAATTCGACGTGATTATATTTGTGCAATTGATTCTGATGGCCTTGTCTATTTGCCCACACGTCTTCATGCCAATTATTTGCCGCCAGTGGAATCTGATGGTTCGTCAATTTTGATTAGAAACGCTACAATTATCTCTCTCTCTCTTTTTTTTTTTCAGTAAAATTGCATGAAATAGTCGAAATCGACAAATTGGAAGAATATGGAAATGTACGAATCGGTGTCCGCAATTCTGGAATTGTGACCGACCTGAAACGAGCGCAGCTGATTGTGGAGGAATTCCAAGGAAAGAAATTGAAGAATGGAGATTCGGAGAAAAAAGTGAAGGAAGAACCCGAATCATTGGTTAGTTTGACAATTCAGTGAAAGAATAATATTAGATGGTTTTCAATTTAGAAATCGAAAAGTATCAAGAATTTCGGAACTTACGAAGGCGTAGTTACGGGAAAAACTGAAGTTGTTCCAGGACAGAGGAAATGTGGTCTGTTCGCCGAAATTGATCTTCCTGGTGGCAACAAAGGTTCGGCTTTATCGCAATTTATTTCAAAGTTCCTTATAACTTCAGGCCGTTTGCATATTTCGGAGCTTCCCGGAAAATTGATCGCCGAAAGTGAAAACGCGCTTGAGGCCTTCTTGAATCGAAATTTGCACAAAAAAGTTTGTGTCCGAATTATCGGATTTACCAAGAAGAATTCGCAAAAAATTGCCGATTTGACCATGTCGAACGCGAAAATTCGCGAACCGAAAGTGCGCGCTTCGGTTCTCGGATATAAGAATAACTTCAATGTTGGCGATGTGGTTCGATGCTTCGGATCAGCCGGAACCGTTGAATCCGATAGCGAAATTCGTGTTGAAATCAATGGAATTTGGACAGGACACATTGCAAGGGAGAATATCTCCGATGATTTGAAGGTTTCCCAACCAAAATCTGTATACATATTTCCATAAATTTTGAAATTGACAGGTTGAGACTGGAATTGGAGGTATTATTGATGTGAAATTGGCACCCGGACAATTGCGCGAAGCTCGTGTTGTTGCCGTCGACAAAAAAAGCAATACTCTCGAATTGTCGCTCAATGTCGAAAAAAATCCAAAATTCGAAATCGGCGAGAAGCTGACTGGTCGTGTATTCTCGGAACCGCAAAAGGACAACTCGGTTATGCTGAAACTTGCAAGTGGAGATCAAGCAATTCTAACGGCGACGGGAATCACATCGATATATGAAAGTGTCGATAAAAAGATTTCAGAAAATTTTGGAAAAGGAGAGGTTTTCAATTCATGATTTGAAACAACAAATGTGTCAAAAACCGTTTTTCTTTTGTAGATTCTCGACGTGATTTGTGCCAAAGTAACTCAATCGAAACCAAGGCGATATTATGTGGTGACTCCTTCCCGATATCACGACCTGAAATCGTGCAAAAACGAGAAGCGAAAATTGATTCTCGACCCGAATAATGTGACAATTGGCCAAAATGTAAGATTGTTTCTTTTGATGATTTCGAATTCTTCAAATTTTCCTCTCTAGTACGATGGAATTGTCGTTCAAGCGAGCCCTTCAGGAGTTATCGTTGAAATTGGCCCAGGAATTGTTGGAAAAATTCCAGTAAACGAGGAAAATTCTGATATGTAAATGATTTTGTCTTAATGTCAATGTATAAAGTTGCAAATTTGCAGTATCGATATTGGTGTGAAAAGCGTAGTGACCGTTGAAATCGAAAAAAGCACACCGAAAGGATTTCTGCTGAAACTAAAGGAAATCATTATTCGAAAGGTAAACAATGCTTCAAAATGTTTCTAATTTATTCTTGTTTAGTTTACCGCCAAAGCGGATAGAAAACGTAAGGGATCGCAATCCGATGAGATTCCAGCGAAATTGGCTCTGACAGAGGAGGAAATTAAGAAGGAGACGGTTGAAATGAAGGACCCTGGATTTGATTGGTCTAACAAAGGATTCCGAAACGAAGATTTGGCTGCAGTTGGAAAATTGGCCACGGAAAATTTAGAAAATAATGAGAGCAGCGATGACGGAAGCGATGAAGAAGAAAGTGAAGATGAGCAGGAGGAAAATGATTCTGAGAAGAAAGAGAAAATTGTTAATGGTGTTAACGACTTTTCTTTTTTATTTTTATTTTATTTTCATTCAGATCTGAGCACTGAAATTGAAGAAAGCGAAGAAGATTTGTCGAAACAACTTCGCGGAGATCCAAACTCTGCGATCCTTTGGATCAAATACATGAGCTTATTCCTGCAAAAAGCCGACTTAGCTGCTGCTCGTGCAACTGCTGAGAGAGCTCTTGAATCTATCAATTATCGAGAAACAGCTGAACTTCGAAATGTCTGGACTGCTTATTTGAATATGGAAGTTGCTTTCGGAGACGCATCGACTGTGCAGAAAGTGTTCGAACGCGCTTGCAACAATGTTGATTCGTACACAATGCATTTACAATTGGCGCAAATTTATCAAAACTCAAAGAAAAATCAGGTTTTGCTCTATTTAAATATAATTCTCAATTCACTTTTATAAAATGGTTTTTAAGGAAGCAAAGCAGATTCTTGAAACGATGGTCAAAAAGTTCCGAGCGCAGCATATTGAAGTATGGGTGCTCCTTGCTGAGCATCTTATGAAACAAAAGGAGCATAAAGCTGCTAGAGATTTGCTCACAAGAGCATTGAGCAGTGTTCCAAAGCAGCAACGTAAGCTTTTTCAATGTTATGCAATAATAATTATCCTCTGTTTAGATACAATGCTAATTTCGAAGTTTGCACAACTAGAATTCAAATATGGCGATTCTGAACGAGGAACGACATTGTTCGAAGGACTTCTTACGGCGCATCCGAAGAAAACTGATTTGTGGTTGGTTTATGCGGATGCCGCGGTCAAACATATGGGAATCGAACAAGCCAGGTATTTTATATTGTTCGAATTTGATATCCTATCAAATGTTTAAAGGAAAATCATGGATCGAGCTTGCAATTCGAATAATTCTCTTCACAAAATGAGGCCGCTGTACAAGAAATGGCTCGAAATAGAAAACCGGCATGGAGATTCCGTATCTGTCGAGCTTGTTAGAGCCAAAGCTGAAAAATACCTTCAATCAGTGACGGAAGCTGTTATCGCTGATGAGTAACCGTTGATTTTATTTGTTAATTGTTTCGTTTGTTTTTTTGTTTTGTTTTGTTTTGTTGTTAGTCCGTTCAAAACTATTGTTACTGTTGTTATCTGTCTTATTTTGTTCATTTGTACTTCTAATTCGCTTAGAACTCTTCAATAAACTTCTAGAAATGTCGCTTATCTCTGATTTCGTCACAAAGTTGAATCGCTACTTCTTCTTTTCTATATTTTCTCGATGTTCTTTGTTGACTTGAAATGACAACTTTTAGAAAATGAATCGATGACACAGGAAGTGGAGTTTGAACAAAAAGTCGAAAGACTCGGAAATGTTTTTCGAAAAATTAGTAAGTTATTAAATTATTTCGATTGAAAAAGAAAATATATTTAAATTTATTTTTATTGGCACTGAAAAATGTTTGAAATTGTTTGAGTGGTCGAAATATTTGTTGCAGACTCGGAAATGTCTGAAATTCTACCCCTTCTTTATCTCGGCAATCGTCTAAATGCATCGTGTGATCAACAGCTTAAAGATAATCGAATCATGGTATTCAGCTTTAAAATATTGAAAACTAAATTAAGTTTTTAGGCAATTTTATCAATTCACGATCGCCGAAATTCTGAAAGAAATCCATGTGTTGAGAATTTCAAACATATTGAAATCTCTGATACTGTTGATGCGGACATTTCGAGTAAATTTGCCGAAGCCATCGAATTCGTTCATTGCGAACGTCTCAGAAACCGTATGCACCTTTTCCTTATGAATCAATATATTTGTTCAATATTAGATGCCGTTCTCGTTCACTGTCTAATGGGACAATCCAGAAGTGCCACTGTGGTTGCGGCTTATGTCGCGACGTTGCATGGACTCGATGGGTCCACAGCTTTACAGTTCGTCCGGAATCGACGGAAACAAGCAAATCCGAATGTTGGATTTATAATGCAATTAAATCGATTTACCAAAAATGTGAGATTTTGAGTTCTTCTAGTAATTCTAAAATTGTGGTTGTTCAGGAATCAAAAACTCTTCAAAATCGACTGCTTTCTTATGCCGATTGCGCTCAATTAATCTCAAAAGACAAAGAAATAATCAACAAATATTGCCCATTTTCCCTACCATAATTCTTCAATACTTTGAATCTCTTCAACAAAAAATGCGTGTTTTCCTGTCATCGAATACTTAATAAACTCTACAGAATTAAAAGTCCCGCTTATTAATTAATTACTGTCGTTTGCATCGTTTTATCTGATACGAGAGTCCCACCTAATTGTATAAATCGGAAATTAGGCATGGAATTAACCGCAGAGCAGCGCGAAAGAATTGCGAGGAATCGTGCAGAAGCTTTGAAAAGGGCCAAGGCGAGACAAGAAAAAGCTGCTGTAATCATTTAATTAATGATTAGACATGAATGAGAAATTGGGAATAATTGTAGGCAGAAGCTGGAAAACCGTCATGTTCAAACGCGAAAGTTCCTTCTCCTGTTCGGCCAACTCCGATTTTAAAACCGAGTCAGCCAACACAACAACAATTTGCGAATAAAGTGAGTTTTGAATTGCTCGTAGTCTCTCAAGGAAATTTCGAAATAAAGAAGTGCGTTTGAGAATCCGTTCATAAAACAATCATCAATGACCAGCTTTGTGCAAAGAACGAGTCCAAACGAGAATATTGTAACATTGAGCAAACCGACAATTGATGTGAAATTAAAAATTGCGACTGAGACGCGAATTAAAGTAACCAAAACAATCCTGATTGTCACATTTGATTCGACGATTTCAGATTGAGTTCTCCCCTTTTCATTCGGCGATTGTGGAAACTATCAAGCAGGTTCCCAGTCGAAATTATGATCCAAACACAAAAATTTGGACCTGTTCAATTGACGATTTGAATACAGTTGGTAATCTTCTTAAAAATAACAAGGTATTTTCTTAAATTGCTTTATTTCGTCTTTATAAAGCAACATTTTCAGACAGTCGATGTGAAACTTGAAAATCTTCCCCATAATGTCCTGAATTTATTAAATTTTAAAGCAAAAGCAGCCCCTGCGGATCTTAAAACTGTCATGGACCCTGAATTGATTTCCAAATTATTTCCCTATCAGGTCGATGGTGTTCGATTCGCGTTGGAGAGGAATGGAAGAGTACTTCTCGCGGATGAGATGGGCCTCGGAAAATCAGTTCAAGCGCTTACAATTGCACGTTATTATAAGTAGGATAACTTCAAAATGAATACTTTAAAAAGAACGAAATGAGTAATTTCTAGAGGAGATTGGCCGTTATTGATCATTTGTCCTTCTTCTGTCAAAGGATCCTGGAAAAAGCAGATCAACCAATTCTTTCCAATGATTCATCGAATTTTTCTTATTGAGAAAAGCTCTGATCCACTTCCAGATGTTCGAACGTCGAATACGGTTTTTTTGTCGTTTTCAAAATCCTTATCATAGCTTGTTTCATTCAGGTGGCAATTATGAGTTACGAACAAATGTGCTTGAAATACGATACATTAAAAAAGGAAAAATATCACACCATTATTTTTGTGAGCTTTTATAAATTTATTTTCTTCATTTTCGTGTTGTAATTAAAAAATTTTAGGACGAATCACACATGCTGAAGGATTCGAAAGCAAAACGAACAAAAGTGGCAACCGATTTATCAGTGAGAATAAATAAGAGAATTTAAAGTGATTTTAAGATGCCCATAATTTCCAGAAAATCGCTCTTCACGTGATTTGTCTTTCGGGAACCCCCGCTCTTTCCCGTCCAGCTGAACTCTTCTCTCAAATTCGACTGATTGATAGCAAAATGTTCACAAATTTTACTGATTTCGCTGTGCGATATTGCGACGGAAAACAAGGCAGATTCTGTTTTGAGGTGCATCGAATAATAATTGCGTGTTTGTTGGAAAATATTTTGAAGATTTAGGCAAAAGGATGTACGAATAGTGAAGAATTATCAGCGATTATGTTCAAAAGAATCATGATACGACGATTGAAAGCTGATGTTCTTAAAGATTTACCAGAAAAACGAAGAGAGGTCTGAATAGCGAGCGAAATTTGAAATTGAATTTTTATTAAGATTGTTTATGTTTCTGGGCCATCGATTGATTCGCGAATGGATGATTTGCAACGAGCTCGAGCTGCGTATGATCAAGTCAATTCGACAGATCGATCAAAATCTCATGATTGTCTTCTTGAATTCTACAATTTGACTGGAATCGTCAAGGTTTTTTTTAGTTAATTCGCATTATTTTTTTTAATTCATAGGCTGCTGCCGTATGTGAGCACATTCTCGAAAACTATTTTTATCCTGATGCACCGCCACGAAAAGTGCTAATTTTCGCGCATCACCAAATCGTTTTGGATACCATTGAGCATGAAGTGAACAAACGAAAATTGGGCTCGATTAGGATTGACGGAAAAACGCCGTCGCATCATCGAACACAATTTTGTGATTCGTTTCAAGTATTTTCTTATGAATTTGTCAAAAAATGCAAAAAAATTGAAGAATGACGAAGACGTACGCGTGGCGATTCTGTCTTTAACAGCGGCTGGAGTCGGAATTACATTAACTGCCGCTTCGGTTGTGGTGTTTGCGGAGATCCACTTCAATCCAGGAGCTCTCGTTCAAGCTGAAGATCGAGCTCATCGAGTTGGGCAAAAAGACAGCGTATTTGTACAATATCTAATTGCGAAGAACACGTCCGACGATGTGATGTGGAACATGGTTCAGAGAAAACTCGACGTTTTAGGGCAGGTTTGAATCGTTCTCACACACTTCACTATACTCTAAATTGCCCATTAAAGGTAAGTCTGTCGAGCGATACATTCCGAACAGCCGAGAAGACACATTTGCGATTCACTGATAGCGCTCAACCATCAATTGTTAAATATTTGAACGATTCTCATGAAGAACAGAATAATGGAAAATGGGAAGATCCGTGTCTAGATGACGACAGCGATGAAGTTGTCGAATGTGAAGAAAATGGAGCACCGACAGCAAAGCGCCCAAGAATTTAAACAATTCCCACTTTTTAAATTCCGACCATTTGTATTGTGACATTCCTCTTATCAGCTTTATGTATTTTTAACAAAATTCTGTCATTTATTAAAACATTTCAATTTCAATTGAACATAATGAGTGGAGAGAAACTAGAAAGATCAAAATTGACACCATAAGCTTAATTAGATTGTACAAATTGACAACGAATGAATCACATTTCCGGTTTGTGTGAATTGCGGTTTTGATGAGTTCCGTCATTTTCAGAATCTTCCATTCGTGATGTCTCATCCGTTTTAGGTGAATTTGTCTGCAAAAATTCGTTATTCCGTAAAAATTATATTGTCGACGTCGCTCGACACCGACAATACAGAATAACTGACAATTCGAATTATTCACAAACCCCTTTCGTTTCCTTCGACGTTTTTGAATGCTCTGGTTGAATTGAGGCTGATTCAGAAGCATGATTGTCATAAGTACCAGGAGTTCCTTTCTGGCTCATATAAATTTTTGGACTAAAATTGAAAATTTGGAAACCTTCAATTTTCGTCTAATATCTTACACAATGATATTGTCCAAATAATTGGAATACTTCTTGAAAACTCCATTTGGTTTTTCTGGCGTTTTGACATCATTATTATTCGTGTACTCCGGAAATAGAGGCAATTCGTTATTCGTGTGAACCGGTTGCACCGGCGGTGTCACTGACATTTCCGGTGGAGATGGCTCTTTCTCAGACGGACTTACATACGGAACTATTGTTTGCATTTTTTCGATGGCCTAAAAAAATGAAATTATTGAATAACGTGATAATGTTGAAAATCAAACTTTTTTGGGAATAGTTTTGGGCGGATGCATTGGAAAATGGCCTTGTTTTACGACGACTTCAAACGTCGTCGACCTGCACACGGCGGTGCCAATGCAATGTCGATTGGAGCATCTAAAGAGCACCGAATTATTTTAAAATATCAATGTCGAAAAAAAGCATTCTATTGTAATTGAATATTACGGAATTATTAACAAGTTGGTATTCTGATTTTACCTCAATGAAACCGTCTTGTTTCCCAGGAGAAGCGAATCTCTTTTGTTGTTAATCAAACGGAATTCGTAGCCCAATTCATCGTACAATAGAGGATTCTTATTATCGGTGTACCTTATCTTGAATCTATAATTCGATTGATTTAAGTATTGAAGAGTGAGGGCAATTGAGTTTTACTTGGATGGTGGCTCATTTGTGTTTGGCACATTTCCGCCAATATCAATCGGCGGCCCTTCGCGAATTTCGTTGACCGAAAATGAAGCGAATGAGTCATTCACCGTGCATCGAACACTATCAGAAGGCTGGATAAGTAAAAATCGTGAATTAAATTGCCGAATATTGTCTAACCGCAATTTTTGCGACTTTAGCCAATTTGAGCACGCGCAGAATTTCGGGATGTCTTCCATCGGAAAAATAAGTTTGGAGTTGTTCGAGCAATTTATGTGTCGGCTCTTCTAGGTCCAGAACAACATATTTCGGTAATACGGCGCTATTTACATTTTCCATATCTAAAAACGAAAAAAAAATAATATAAAAAGGAAAAGAAAAAGAAAAAATAGTGGTGCAGCTATTGAGAATTTCTAAATATAAAAATAAAGATTCTAAACAATGAATTTTAAATTAAAATTTTAACATTTCTAGAAGTTGTTTTGAAATCTAATAATCGGTCCATAAAATACGCCAATAAGCAATTAATAAATCACGGTGTCTTCAACGAATGTCAAAATTTTAATCATTTGAAAATTCAAATCATCAGTAGGTTTTGGAGACATGAATAAGCACACCAAATGGCTCCATGCGCGCGAAACGAGCGAAAAAAAAAACGAAGAATGGACGAACACAGCAGTTTCGTGCTCGTTGTGGGCTCTCTCACCAAGCTCAATGTCGCAGCGACGACGACGGCGCAAATCAATCGGCGGCACGTGTCGACAAAAAAATGCGCCGAACCACCGCCGCCGCCGCCGTTTTGGTGGGTTTTTGGCGGCAGCGCACTCGCATTTTTACTCGCGAGGTTTCCACCAACGCGTCAGGCATTATTATCGCGTTACAAATTCGCCGCCCCCGTCGCGCAATTATTCATTTCGCCGGGATTTATCAAAACAAATGATAGAAAGGGCAAATATTCACTAAACCAAAAAAATGGGAAATCGCAGATAGGAAACATATTGTCACGATGCGCAACAGAGACCATGCAAACAATTAACTTTTCATAATTATGCTCCGATTTTAGTTGCTCTTCGCAAAATCGGTTACGGTCTTGATGATGATGTCGGCAGCTTGTTCGACCTAAAACGCAAACAATTATTACACTACTGGAATATTCTGAAGCGGAACGATTGCTCGTGGCCAAAATATATGTATGTGTGTGTGTGCAACTCTTACTACAATTTGAAACCCTGAGCGTGCTCGATATTGTTGCAGCAGATAGAAATCAATATTACGAATTTATGAGAAAAGTAAAGTTTGTAAAGTGGGATATGAAACAAGAAGATGATCAGGTAAAAAGTGAAACAATGTTGGTCTGATAAGATACGATTCATTTTTGTTTCACAAACCTCTTGCTTGTTGATACAGAGTGGCGGCGCGAATCGGATGATATCTCCGTGTGTGTTTTTAGCGAGAAGTCCGTTTTCCTTGAGCTTCAAACACACTTGCCAAGCATCATATTCTGAAAAAATCAAAATGAGAAATTTAGAAAAACAATTAATATATTCTTACTTTTGTTAATCACAATAGCGCAGAAGAGGCCTTTTCCTCGAACCGTCGATACGACGTCTTTTGGCAACGTTCGCAATTTGTTCATAAGAATCTCTCCCATTTGTGCGGAATTTTCGACGAGCTTCTCTTCCTGAAGAATTTCGAGAGCGGCAATGGCGATCTTTGCAGCCAACGGATTTCCGCCGTACGTTGATCCATGCTGCCCTGGCTTGATGTTCATCATAACGTTGTCATCGCAAAGAACAGCCGAAACTGGGTAGACTCCTCCAGAAAGAGCTTTTCCGAGAACAACAATGTCTGGTCGAACATTGTCGTGATAATGAGCAAGAAGTCTGTGAATTTAAATGTTTTAAAAGGATTATATAAAGATTCTAACTTTCCCGTGCGACCAAGTCCTGTTTGAACCTCGTCGGTGATGAAGAGAACATTGTGCTTCTTGCAAATATCTGCGCATCCCTAAAACCAACAATATTAGACATCAATGTTTAGAATGTTTAGAAATACTACTACCTTCAAGTATCCAGGATCTGGTAGGACGACTCCAGCTTCTCCTTGGATCGGTTCAACCATGAAGGCAGCAACATTTTTATCTTTGACAGCCTCTTCCACAGCTTTCAGGTCATTGTAAGGAACGCATTTGAATCCAGGAACGAATGGTCCGAATCTTCCATATGAATCTGGATCCGTGGACGCAGAAATTGCTGCAATCGATCGTCCCCAGAAATTGTCACTTGCAAAAACGACCTAAGGTTTTATTATCATTGAAAATTGTATGGTTTTCCGCCTTACGACGGCCTCGTTGTCTGGCACTCCTTTCACATCGTATGCCCACCGTCTAGCCAGTTTCACAGCAGATTCACACGCTTCTACACCAGTATTCATTGGAAGAACTTTGTCATATTTGAACAATTTTGTGATGTATTCCTCGTATTCTCCAAGTACATTATTGTAGAATGCTCGAGAAGTGAGTGTGAGCTTCGAAGCCTGCTCTTGCATAACCTAAAAGCGACGGAGTCAACTACTTCTTTCGATTTATATCACCTTGAGCAACTTTGGGTGGCAATGTCCCTGATTCACCGCCGAATAGGCAGCGAGGAAATCGAAATACTTCTTTCCTTCGACATCCCAAACAAAGCATCCTAAATTTTGAGGTTGAATGCGAAATAAACGGAAAACATTACCTTGTCCTTTCTCGAGAGCAACTGGAAGTGGTTTGTAGTTATGGCATCCATACTTCTTCTCGCGCTCGAAAATTTGTTGCGAGGTAAGTGATCGAGAACCACGTGGGATGATCGAGGAAACACGGCGAAGAGAGGACAACATTCTGCAAACGAGACCGAAATCAAAGTGTCTGAATCAAAACCTCGTGCGAGATGATCTTTCGATGGGATTGATAAGATGATAAAAATGTATTCAAGGACACGAAAATATTAAGAAAATGTTAGCAAATTACAGACTGAGGTTTGAAATCGCAAAACTATTTTCCAACTGCATCATTTTAATTCGAAATAAGCAAGTGTGTTCGGTGTTAAAATCAGCTTTTAAACCAAATATTCTTTAAAAATGCATTGATATTCGAAAACGTGCGACACGAAACTGATAAAGGATGGGGAGGTCATAGATAACAAAATTTCATCAAAAGATAACGCGAAGAAGGCGTGATTTTTAATTTGAAAAATACCAGTAATCTCGAATTGTAATCTAAAAAAGACTCCATTGTATTAGATGGTTATCGAAATGAATTTACGAAAATCTTTCAATACAAAAACAAATAAGATGATGTTTGAACTCCTAGTTTTGAAACGAAATGTTTAAAAAATGATTAAAATAATTCAATTTATTATTGGTAATAAATTTAATCAACCGTAACGCATTTAAAGGTGCATATAAATTTTAGTCAACCAAAATAAATAGTCTCAAAACGAAATACTAACCGTAATATGAGTTTCAATGGTTTCACAAAAAATTCTTTTCTTTTTTCAAAGCGAAGTTAAATGGCCGAGTTTTTGAATCTTTTTTTGTCTGTGTCTTGTTGCACGAAAATTAATTTGCATGCAATAACTCACAATCAGATAATCATGTCGCTGAAGACGTCGGGAAAAAGAAATGTCTCCGTCTCTCAAAATCCCACACTCGTCAACTACACCATTCACTGCCGTTTCTTCGGCACGGTTCGCTGAGAAATGATTGAAAGAGACAAAAAATTTATTTATTTATTATTCAAATACGTTGCATTGACCATAATCTTCTAGAAAAATAATTTAATTCAATTTCGTCTTTCTTTTCGTAGCACTTTTCTTTCAGTTTGTACTCCTTGGCTAGTCGAAATCTCGATGATAGATTGAACGAAATGTTCGCAATCAAGAAATCCTCGCACTTATTGAGAATGCGTTCCATCTTGTAGTGTTTCGCCAATTTTAGCATCTCTTCTACATTTTCTTCTTCAATTGCTTTCTTTGGCTTACTTATACTTTTAATTATTAATTGATACCTTTTATATCTTCTCCAGCAGGCATTATCGCATTATGAAGAAGGACGAATTGCGAAAATGATACATTATCTAGAACATATTCATTCTGTGGATTGTCCGAAAACATCTTTCCAAAAACCGGCGAATGCATTGTGAGGTACTGCAAAATATATAGATTATTAATGTTTAAATTAAAACAAATAACGAACCAATTTATTTGATTTCAACTTTTTGCCTTCGATTATTAATGTAACGTCGGCGAATTCCGGAATGCTTTTCAATGGATCATATATTTCCGGAATTCCTTTGCATGAAATCACAATGATTTCAAGCTGCATTTCGACATCAGCATAAAATCTGAAAAGAAACAAATATGTGACTGAAGCGAATGAAGTGCATTTTGGATATAAAAAATTGTCACTGACAAATTGTCTTCGAACTGAATCATCCGACATTCTGCATGATCCGGACTGTACACTGGATTCGAAACGCTCACAATCGTGGTTATTTTGCCGTTTTCTGCTCTCAAAACTGTTTTCAAGGCGACTTTTGCCACGCACTCAAAGTTAGTTTTGATATTATTGTGGCATTTAATTTTTGCTTCGATGTATCTTCTTCCTTCTTTTCTATTCCTCATATTCATCGTTTTATTAAACTCGAGAGTAAGAGTCCTAGAATAACAGAGAATAATATTTAGATAATTAATTCATAAAAAAACCATAGCATTCTGTTAACTCTTGTGGACAAGAAAACTTGATCGCTGACTGATCTGACATCTTTGAATTTGTATATAATTTGCCCTTTTGTGTGGTTTTCAGGCAAATATTCGTACGAATACATCGATGATCTGAAATTTTATTTGAGAAACAACAATTAGTTTTGCCGTGAAAATTAAAATAATTTTATAAATACGAATAATTGGTAATTACTCCTCTGATCTTTTGAAACTGGATACATTAGAATTTTTGAATTGAATTAATTCTAGGAAACAAGGTATTTTCAACGTATTTTCAAATAAATAAACAAAAATGAAGGGCGATAGAGGTTTATTGCGTAATATGAACAAGCGTGTGCGGATTGGTGAGAGTAAGGACGCCTCACTCCGCGATAGGCGGAGCTCGCGCAGGTGCTAAACGACAGCACGTTAGACGGCGTATCAAATCGCAATTGTTAGATGGTATCTAATACGCCAAGTAGATAATTTCCCTTTTATTCGAATAATTAGCATTCCTATTCGGAACTAATATTCTCAATTTTTAAGATAGTTAAATTGAGGTATATTTATTTCAAAAGAAATTTGTTGACACAAGCAAAATATACATACATAATGAATAAATTAGACCCGATAATGTCAAATTGCAATCTTAAAAGTTCACATCTATGGATAAATTTTCTTATAAATAACGGCAGTATGTTCCATAAGGCGTCGCGTAACTGTCGTTGTCATCAGAAGACGTGATTCAAATCGATGTTCATCTAGAAGGGTCCATTCGCGATACATCTGAAGTTATCTGTTCAGAAGTTTCCCAAAATTACTATATGAATTACCAAGCGAACGGCGGAATCATGAGAGAAACTGATTCGTCCGATTCTCTGAAGCTTGAATTTCACTTGATTTGGACCAGATTCTCCTTCTTCGATTGTCATGAATCCTGAATATTCGAATGAATATTCTGGATTTCAATTCAAATTATACCATTACTCATAGCAGTATTCAATGAAACATATTCAGTTTCTCTTTCCTTATCATATTCAACTGCGATGTATCCATTTTCGGAGTGGATCTCGATCGGATCTCCTTCTGGCATATTGATATCCCATGCGAACGCGCTGCAATACTTCCTTGTACATAATTGCCAATTGATAATTACATGATCATACGTGTAGTTCAATAGCGGAGTTCCCATTTCGACGTCGCCGATTGTGATGTCGACTTGTTCTCCGTAGGTGAATTTCGGAATTGTTGGAAAGAATGCTTTTCCTCCGAATTCCGAACGCCATCGTCCGACCATCCAGGCAATCGATTTCAGCCTCTTCGGAATTCGTCGCACATCATATTCTGAAATCAATGTTTCCTTTGAAAAACTCTCTAAATCTCGAAGATGTACTAAAATTTTTCGATTTTCTTCGTATGCCAGAAACTTTGGCACCTGTGTCGTTGATAGAAGGGTTATTAGAATGGCATCCTGCTGTGCACCCGAGAGGTGCTCTCTTTGATGCCCCCAACAATACGTGAGCTAGCATGTGCCCTCTGTTATACCGCACGCATTGTTTCATAAAAAGGTGTGCGCAACAGATGCCACAATTCAATTTCGAGCAAACCCAGTCGGCATTAAATTGTTTCGTCTAAAAGTGAAAAAAAAAACACAAACTTGGATCAATCGGTTCTCCACAAGAACCACACATTCTTGGACAGCTTTTGATAACCAGTGCCACATTTTCGCAGTCTGTTTCATTGGCGGCAATCTGAAATATTGGAATGTCTCATCGCCAGAATCTGTCGACGTACCCACGAGGCACAATTCATGTCCGTGTCTTTACAGCTACTCGATTGTCTTCCTCCGACAACAGAGATCACAGAAATAACAACAATAATGTTGAAGAACATCGAGATTTGCGGGTCACACACACAAGAACCTGAAAATCGACCTTTTGAAGTGATATCACCATGAAGGGCTGGATGATATCAAGTGAAAATTCGAAAAATGAACCAATATCGACGACTAGCTTAGAACCTCCGCCTCTGTCTGAACTGACCGTTACATTACACTATAAATGGAAGTGGACGTATTGGAAAAAAAACCTAATTGGGGTCCAGTTTGCGAATAAAATAAACTGTCATATGGCGGAGATGGAACTGAAAACAGACTATCAAAATATATAAAAATATCTTGAAAAAAACTCTGAAATTTTTGACTTTTAAAATTTATGAAAATCTTAACAAAAAAAAATCAACCGATGAGTTTTCGAGTTAATTTTTATTTCAGATTTTTTGAAAACTCACTTTTTCATGTGATACTCATTTGAACGAAATAATTCTCTCAAAAACTATCAATTTCCAAAATGCCCAATTTTTCCGAGAAAGAATAAAAATCGCATTTTTTTTTAATGCGAAAAGCGAAACATCGGTTTGTGATTAGAAAAGCGCGAAAAAAGTGCTAACAATCGCGCCCGAACGGCTTATCAAACGAGCGCGACATCAGAAAAAACTGGATCGACACAACCCAGCTTATTATGCGAAAATCCAACTGAAAACGATGTGGCCCACCGTTTCGTCATTTCTCCAATCGAAAACGGGCTTTCGATTGGTTGCGTAACGAATCGACGGACGCTTCGGTGTTCTTCCACAAATCATTCTTATGTGTCAAAACAAAATCGAGACTGAAGGTGAAAGATGATTATAAATATGGTGCGGTTCGACGGCAGAACGAATTCATTTTCAATATGTTCTTCATCATTCTCATTTTGCGTAAGTTGGTTGCGTCTTCAAATTGTTCAACCCTTCGAATTTTCAGCAATTCTAGAAATTCTTGCGCAAGATGCTCCATTGATTGGAATTAAAGGTGCATATTTAGCTGTTTAGGTTATTTCCAAAGAGAGCGACGAGTTTGAATTGATAGATATCATGTTGACCCGATTGAAAACAAAATTGCTATCGGCATGTTCAACAAGACATCAAAAATCACAATGTGGTGTAGATTTCTTTCATTGCATTTTCTAGACTTCTCGAGAATTCGAATTTATCTAATTTTGCAGAAGAACCCGCAGAATTCGTTGGTGTTGGCCTACGCTCAGACGCTCAATCACCACAAATTGAGAAACGACGCGTCTCGAAAACTTCCGAAGAATCTCGTCCAGCTGATGCGAGGTCTGATTACTGCGAAGAGCACAGCGATCAATATCGAAACTATTGCGCCAACTTCTGGGCAGATCGACCACAACGAGTTCAAGATGTTCTTTTCACATTCTGTCCAGCATACGAAAACAAATGTCTTCGACGATTATAAAATAAGTTTATTGAGATTTTTCAAAGACATCAACAAAAAGTTCAAATAGGTCAGAAACAAAATGTATAGATTAAAACCCGAAGAATAACCGGAGAATTTCTACAAAATATCTTCAAAAATTTCTAGGAACCCTACAATCGATCGAGCCTCCGACTTCCGCCTCTGTCATACCAATTTCAGCGACTAACCAATCCACCAAATCCTCTTCGGTCATTTCCATAAAGCTCGCAATATCCTTATATGACAACGTCTGTCGGAAAGCTTTCGTCATAAAATTTAATGCTTTCTTGCGTTCTCGATCCACAAACATATCCATTATGTATGGGCACATTTTAGGGGCATTCTGAAAAAAAAACATTGTGCTTGGAGAAAAAACTAACCGAAATCTACCTGGAAAAGTTTGAAAAACGCGATATAATTTCCCAACGATACAGCTTTTCGCACTTTGAGCGCAAAATCTACACATTCATCTTTCTTCAATTCTGGTGTCACTTCTAAAACAGATAAATTGAAAAAAAAAGAAGAAAGACAAATAATATTCGATACCTTTTAAAATAGAATTAATATCGATCAAATCATCCATTGCAATATAATAAAGCAAACGATATGCAAGGAATTCAGCACGATGAATACAATTTTCCACATCGGAATACAACAATTTCAATTGCGATTGACACTAAAATAATTATTGGATGTCTGATTATTAATATTTTGCTAACCTGATTAAACTCTTCTCGATCTTTATTTTCCAGCGAAATTCTCGCATTGATCTCATAAACCTGAACAGTAAATTCGTTGCGGATTCCCTGAACCGTCAAATCCTGTCGAATCGATCTCAATTGACTCGACAAGTATCGATACTCGGCTCTCGCACGATATTTATTCTTCACATTGTCTAAAGATTTTTCGAGAATGTGCAACGGGCGAACAAGATTCGGATCAGGAGCCTGAAATTCAAGAATAAATTGAACAAAATTGCGACACATCTGAACATACCGCAGTTAATCTGAAATACGATTTTTCAATATCTGTACAGACTCCTTTTACCAGCTGGCCTCGTCGAATGTGGTGTTGAGTGGCGGCCGTCGACGGCTTTACAGCAGACAAGGTTTCAGCAAAACGTCGTGCTCGTTCTTCCTAAAAAACCGATCAAAAAAATTTCGGCAAAATTGGTTATTTTTCATACTCTTCTGTATTCGGTATCAGAGTATTCAAATCTGAACTGGTTTTTCTCTGGTTTGTTTTTCTTCTCCTGCTTCGATTTCTTGTTCTTTCTATTCTTTCCATTCTAAAAAAGGTTTACATAAATGATTGGAATACCTAAAATAAAACGATATCGATGTTGTTTTTGGAATAAAAAATCTGCATGATTCGCAAAACCCGGTACCACAACCACCGCATTTTTCGACTACGCTCAACAACCTTTTGCACATGCATCAACTCAATTATATCGCTGTCCGGACTCGACGAGCCGTCGCGTTTCGTCCGTTTATAATCGGGCGTCGACTCGGCCGCGTCTTCGCCGCCGCTACGTCGCCGCGACGCTGCTTCTTGTTGCCTGTTCGGCGTTTGTTTGGGTTTCGCGTGAGTGCCGTTCGCCTGATAGCCGAGCTTATTCGCCGGCGTCCACATCGCCGGCAACTCATAGTTGCGCTCATGCGGCAACGGCTCACGATCCCAGTCGACCGTGTGCGCAGTGCCCGCACTTATCATTGGATCCAAACGTTTTTTAAGATAATCTTGTACTTTTTGACGTTCTTCCGGGGTTGTCGCTGCGTTGAACGATCGCTCCATGTAATTCCTGTAAAAAAAATGCTCATTTCAGATTGGAGAATTCATTTTCCAACTCAAATTATTTCATTTGCACAGCGCTTTTAAAAACTCTCTTGATTTAATGAAATAAATTTACCTGGCACTCGGAGGCGGTCCTTGTGGCGTACCAAATCCGATACCTCTTCCCATTTGCTGTCGTCCCTGTGGCGATTGCACATACCCATTTCCTCCAACTCCATTTTTCATTTGAAAACCTTGAAACTTTTGCTGCTGCTGCTGCTGTTGTTGCTGCGGATGCGGATTTGGTTGCCAATTGTTCTTCGCCCCACGGCCACGACCGCGTCCACGACCACCGATCGTTTGATTTTGATAGTTGTACGATTGATTTTGATAATTGTATGGTTGATTTTGGTAGTTTGCCGGTCCTGACCCTGATGGGGGTGGTGGTGGAGGTACCGGGTTTTGGTTCCATGTCGACGGATGCCATCCGCCGCCGAATCCACCATATTGATTACCGGTTGGAAACGGTGTTTGATAAGGCTGTGGATTCATCCAGGAGTGAAACACACCATTCTGACCTGCTGGTGTCCGATTGTTCGTCGAATTTCCTCCATGACCATTATCGTTCTTTGGTTTCACCTATAAATTAAAAAAAATAAATCATCTATTTGAAAAATAGAATGCGGAATATTATTTTATATGCTTTAAAAATTCCAAGTTAATAAATGTTTAATTAAAAATGATAACTTCCGAATTACACCAATTTCGAAATAAAATTGTAGATAATTTTTGCATATCTATATTGCTTGCAAAAATTAATTTCACTGGTAACAAATGGAAACTCAAACCTTGTTTAATTCTTCCATTGCTTTCTTCCAGGCATCCGGCGGTTCACCGCCTTTCCCATCTGGTACTGGAATTTCCAATAAATCGTTGCTTAAAAGTCAATATTTTCATTAAAAAACAGCCATTAAATAATGACCAACCTCATGACTGAAATTTAATTCGAATAAATGTAAATCTTCCAATGCCTCCTGCAAATCAATAATAGCGTGATATTGAATTTTGCGTGAAGGCGAATGGAAAAATAGCGAGGCGTACTGAGCGGAGTGTCGTTTGAACACAACACGGCAAATAAAAACAGGGCAATGGACCCTCGTCAGACATAGTGAACAAGAATCAATCAATAACTCCTTCTATAAGACTACAATTATAAACAAAACAAAAATCTTTACATTTGGACAAAAAATGAAACAAAACAGGTTCCTAAACAACAATTTTTAAATTTTTTCAAACATTCTGTTGATGTTCTTTCTTCCACTGTCGGAATTCTTCTAATTTTCGTTGCTGCGGTGTCATTCCCGTTCGTCTTGCTTCTGAACGCTCATTCAAATACTCGTCGGTGATCTTGGCGCGGAATTCTGGATCGTGGAATCTACAAATATATTGTATAATTAATATTAAAAATACAAAAAAGAGCACCCCAGTTTCCTGTGAGTTCGCAGGATATTTGTAATACGGTACACAAATTCTATTTAAATCGAAATGTGAATTACCGCACCGAAAAACATACGATGGTCCACAATTACCCAAGGTTCTCGTTTTTTTGCGATAAAAAAATATAAATTTCAACGAATTAATTTTCAAGAGGACTGAAAGCAATTCTGATACATTTTCAAAACGAGTATATAAAAAACAAAACTTTTTCAAGAAGAAAAACTACAAAAAATACTTAAAATATGCAAAAAATCTCATACTTTTCATATTTACATCGATTGAACAACTCCAATGCTGGTTTGCACGTATTCAGACCCGATACGGCACCATCTTTTCGAAAACATTGAACGAGGCCTAAATTGTTGTTTTATTTTCTGAAGAAATTGGAAGATTTGAAATTACCCAAATAAGTTTCGTTACATTCAACTTTCTCGATTCTCGCGTTCATTCGATTCGGAATAATGACGTCCGCTTCAATCTTTCTCAATGTTCGATCATTTGGATCTCCTAAATAATAATTCGCTTACAAAAACACTATTTCCCGTTTCTACCAATTCCATGAGGGCCAGCAGCCGAATAATGTGGCATGATGTTCTTTTTGACCTTGTATTTCTTTCCAGTATTCGCATCTGTCACGATTTCTCCTTCTTTTAAATTTTCCAGATTATCCGTCAGCACCACCTTTCGTTCTTCTGTCATCTTTAGCCTGAAAACGGAAAAAAACTTGAGCAACAATTGAAATCCAAAGAACGACAGCAAACGCGCTCCGATGAACAAGGCCGTTTCAGAGGTGGAAGACGTCTTATGTGTACATCTGGCGACAGAAATATGAAAAATGAGCAAAAGACAGAAGTTGAATAGTGTGAAAAATGACGCATTCTCAGTTAAATGTTGGTTTATTTTACGGTGCTATTCTCTATTCAAGTAAGAATATTTCTAGTATAATCTGTTGTTAAAATATTTTCAGTTGGTTTATGGCTTAAAATGTTTCGATCAACGAGAAATTGAATGCGAATGTTCGGTTGTCAAAAATTCTATAACGGTATTTCATCCGACAAGCTATATTGAAATAATTGAAAATCTTGTTAGATATCAAATTGTGTCAGACGAGGTGGCTGGTCCGAATGGTCGAAATGGTCGAAATGTCGGGAAGGAATTCGAAAAAGACGGAGAAAGTGCGACAATCCAATTCCAATTAGTTAGTATTTCCAGAGAAAATGAGTTAATTTCGGAATTATAGATTCGCATTGTTTTGGTCCATCTTTGGAAAAATCAGATTGCGAGAATTCAACGGAGAACAAACCAACAAGTCACATTCCAGATTTCTTTTGGAGCTATTGGACTCAATGGAATTCATGGTCTGAATGTGATTGCGATAGAAACGTCAAGAAACGGTAATCAAATATTCTAGGGAATGTAGTAATTAAATGTGTGTAGTTCTCGAGTTTGCCAAGGAAATGCATGTGAAGGATGCGTGGATGAGTACAAGACATGTTCGTCTTCCGAATGCCCAATTGCAAAAAAATGGACAACGTGGACTGAATGGATCGACAGAGGTTTGGATCTCAATATAATTTGCATTCTCGTTTTCACCATTTTCAAGAAGATGACCAAGTGCGATTTTCGGCATTTTGTTCGTCACGATCAGTTCAAAATGTGAACGTGGAAATCAAATCAGAAATACGCCAACAAAATATTCATGAAGGTTTGATTTGTTTTTCTCATTGAATTCAATTCTATACTTTTTCAGCGCCCTGGTCTTCATGGCAGCTTACAACAGGAATCGCATTTCGATATCGATTTGTGTCGAAATCGAACATTGAATTTGAGCATCAACTACTGTCACATCGCGCAACTCAAACAAAAATTCCTCTTTCGGTGTTTCTTCCTGTTTCCTGTATCTGCATAGTATTAGGCTTCATCTCTCAATGCTTTATTCACGGGATTTTTATCAAATTGAGACAGTACAAATCTCGCTGCCACACTGATTATCATTCGTGTACATTTGATTCGAATCCCAATGATTATCCTTCTCATCTTTCGAGATTCTCTTCACAAAGAATGTAATAGTCATTTTATTGTACATCGACTAAATGAATTTCAAAAAAAAGAAACGAAACAATTTATGCGATAAGCGAGTCTAATAGGAATGTTTGGCGATGAAAAGCGACTCAGCAGCAGCTCCGGCAGCTTCTTCCCCGGTGTATTTTCCGAGTGAAGCATCTCCGTTGGCTTTTGATCTGTGCAAAAGAGTCTTCTGAGCGGCTTGGACATTCTCATCTTTTCCTCCCCAGGCTTTAAGTACTGAAGCTTGAAGGGCACGTCCGTAAGAGAAGGTCAACTTCCACGGTTTTCCGAGTTTGCACTGTAATAATTCTGATGAAACTCGACGTTAAAATATTTGGCGGACTTGATTTATAGCGTTGAGATTGGCAGTGGCATCCAACTCGGATTGTCCTCCCGACAGGAATGTGATTCCTGGAACAGCAGCTGGAACTCCGCGACGAAGAGCGGTCACTGTGGCGAGTCCGATCTCCTCGTGGGTCGCCTTCTTGGGGCACGATTGTCCTGGGGTGACCATGTTTGGCTTCAACAAAGTTCCCTCAAGATAGACGTGGTGGTCGGCGAGCGCCTTGTAGACGAACGAAAGCACTTGCTCGGTGACCTTCTGGGCGCGAGCCAAATCGTGCTCGCCGTCGCACAACACCTCAGGCTCGACAATCGGAACGAGTCCGTTGGCTTGGCAGATCGAGGCATATCTGGCGAGCACATTCGCGTTTTCGAGCATTCCAAGGTGCGATGGGGTGTGCGGTCCGATATTGAGCACACAACGCCATTTCGCGAATCCGCATCCTCCCTGAACATTATTGATTACAGACCTTAGAGTAGACTAATCTAGAAACGAATCAAACCCGCATAACATATCGCTCTATTTTACACTAGATTGTTTTCGAAAGACCAAACGAACCTTCTTGAATGCGGCGGCTCTCTCAGCAAGCTTGTCGAGACCCTGAGTGGTTCCTTCTCCGATGGTTCCGGCGAGTGGAACGACACCAAGATCGAGCTTAATTCCAGGAACGATTCCTACAATTCCCAATGGTCTTATCACACGTTGCGTCAAATCGCGAACCTTGTTTGACCAAAAGATCAACAAACTTCACGCCATCGGCAGTCGACTGATGGAAAGTCTCCTCATAAAGAATGACTCCCGAAATATGCTCTTTGAGGTTGGGTGTCGTGAACAGAAGCTCGCGATACTTTTGTCTGTTCGCCTCGGTGTTCTCCAAATTGATGGCCGAGAGACGCTTGCCAATCGTACCTAAAAAGATGAGAGACAACAGTACAATGTTTCTATCGAAAAACGAGACGGCCAATTGATAAACATTCTGTCGCGTATCTTGTTATTCGAAAAGATAACGAGGCAGTTTCGACAAAATGGCACGATTTTCGATATTGCACGTGCGAGATGTTTACATTTCGAATGTTGGAGAAACTCGCAAAAATATTTCAAGGTGTTTTCTAACAATCTGCTAATAATCTAGTAGAATGAAGGATTTTTTGGGAATAATTCGTTGGAATGCCTTCTATGTAGAGCGAGAAATATGTGATGTTTACCGGTAGATTCGTCGGCAGCCAAGATTCCTTTGCCATCAGCAACAATCTTCAAGGCAATTTGATGAAGCTCATCCTTTTGGGCCTTCAATTTTGGGAATATATCAGCGTCGGAAACAAATTGATTACCTGAGTGAGAGAGTCTTTGAAAGCGCCACCGACCTCGGTCATGATGAATTCGAAATGAGAAATGAACTGTGCGCTGCCCCTCTGCGATGCCCCCTTCTTCTCGATACGGACAGACGTGATGAAACCGGCGAAATAGTAGAGAACATGGCGAGAGTTGCGATCATCGGCACATACTGTTTATTTCGATTTTGTGTTGGCGACGGGCGCCTCAAAACTGAAAACAATATTGATTTTGGAACCAAATCGGCAATGTTTGTTCGCATTGGAAAAGTTCTTCGACGACCGAACGGATTGCAACACATCTTTGGACTTTGGCAATCATTTAAAATTCTCATTCAAACATCACAATTCACAATTCGATTCTACACATTAGAAAATCTGATGAATACAAAAAAAAGCAATAAAAGTTCGTCTTAACTTGTCTTGTCCAAAAAAGTAAAAAAAATAATCCAACAGATATGCGAACGGAAATTTTTGAAATTTTAGACAAACGTTGGTGGTATAGTTAATTTAGCCATAATATTATAATTAGTTCTATTTTTTCCAATGTGAGAGCTTTTATTTCATTGATTGGTTATCTTACCACAAACAATTCTATTATACTAGATTATAGGAAACCCTAAAAATATTCCTTTGATAAAAATATAAATTACCAACCCAAATTGGTCCCTTTTTGTCTCAATCATCGCGGCGATTTTCATTATCATACAAATGTTCAAAAGAATGCCGACACTTTTTTAAAATGCGATGATCGATTGATTTAATGATCAAATCTTGCAGAAATGAAACGAATTTAGATTACGTCCCGTCTCTTCGATCGCTGTTTCACGAATGAATTGATTGATCATATATCACCGAACAAAAATTTTCTATTTTTTATGACCAAGTCTATCATTGCATATTTTTGAGCATCACTTTTTAAATTGAGCACAAATGTAATTAACTATTTTTTCGGGAAACTAACGAATAATATTTAAAAAATTGATTCAAAACTCTATCTAAATTTTATATTTTTTCAAAAATTTTTTTTTGCAAATGTTAGTTTTCTTTGCGTAATTTGGCTTCCTTAGAACTTTCGCTGGTGGTGAATTCAACTAAAAAATTAGTTCGAAGCCTAGAACACCCTGTAATCCGTAAAAGGCGCGACTGATTTTCCTCGTAGATAAAATTACCTATTCGAAACTGCGATTTCGGTTTCTTGGAGTTTTTTTTTGATTATTAAAAATAAATTTTTCAAAAAGTAAAGCTTTTCCATTTATTGGCAACAATTTTCCAAAATCGATTCGGAACAATTTATAACAGACAATTAACATCGAAACTCGTACTCGTTTTGTTTCATTCGACTAGATGTCGCAAACTCAGCGAACTTGAATGTTCTGATAGTGTCTTGACCATTCGCGCCGACAAAGAAGGAATATATTCACGAGGAATGAGCCATGTGGACAAATTGAACAGATCTAGGAACACCTTGTACCTATCACTGCAAAAAAAAAAATGAGCATTAAGGATTGGATCGGCGGATAATCGAATAAGGCAACAAACCTAACAGTCGACCTCAAATACATATATCCCGAACTTCCGCCAGTTCCTTGCTTTGCTCCGAGCATGCGCTGAACCAACAGAACGTGATTATCTGAAGGATTTATGATGTGGAAATGGAAACAAAAGATTTGAACAGCTTACATCTCCATTTCGTGAATAAACTATCGATATCCATTAAAAATGTCAAAATTTGATAAGGCTGCGAAAATCGTGGCATATCTCTGCGGAAGTATCATTTAGGGAAAAAATGTTGAAAATTTGAAGAAAACCTGTAGAAATAGATCATCATTGCTCCTTTCAGCGCATCATGAGACAATAATCGGTTGCCTGAAACAAAAAAAAATCGAAATGAAAAGTATTTTTAAAACAAAAGAGCCAGCGGAATTGTGCATATATGGACGAACCATTTCGAATCTGCTGCTCGTGCTGTCTCGGATCGAGAACCGAAGTGAAAGAATCTTTGGTTTTGTGATATTCGGCCAATAATTGTGTCTTGATTTCCTCGGAATTCTCCTCGCTGACTGCTTGCTTGTACATATCATCCAAGTATCTCTTCACTGACTTCTCATACTTCGTCCAGAATCCTTCATCTTCTCCATTCGATTTCAATCCGGGCGTTCGTTCCAGCCAGCTCTGAATTAGCACTTCTTAGATGTAGATCATAATTCGTTTAATGGCACACCTCGATCAAAGTAAGAAGACTTGGGCAATCTTCCGACTCATTGAGCTCCTTCAGTTCATTTTCGGTAAACACATTCTTATAATGCTGAGCGTTGTAGCGAATTCTTCGATCCGGTTTCACTCCCAATTTGTTTTCGAGAATTCGGAATTGAAGCGACTGGAATCCAGAAGCCGGCGTCAAATATTTACGGAAATCCACAAAATCCAATGGGCTCATTGTGTCGAGAAGTGTGATCTGCTCAGTGAGCAAATTCATAATTTTGATGATCCGATCGAGACCCGAAACGATTTTCAGCGATTTCGTTTCATCGACAACCTGAGCAATTATGGAGAATAATATTTGGGACCAAAAAAAAAAAACAAAAAATACAACTCTTACATCATTGTTTAATAGTTTTCGCACATTGTCAAGATCGAAAATGATTTGTTTGAACCAGAGTTCGTGAGCCTGAAACTCGAATAAAATGCAGGTAAAACTCGCTGAATTGAATACAACAAGCAACCTGATGAATAACAATGAACAAATGCTCATCGTCAACTCGATATCCGTCATCCTCGGATTTGAGCTTTTGGGCAGTAAGGATCTTGTCGAGCTGCAAAAACCTCGAATTTACCATATTTTTCATAAAACCTCGTTTCAAGCGGACGCCACAGGCTTGCCATTTAAAGGAGCGCTGGCCGAAAGCTGAAGATTTTCAAAATCATTCCATAATTTTATAATAATAATAATCGAATCATCAATTTTATTTTCTTTTGTGTGGATGTGTGTGGGTGGGTGTGTGAGCCAAAAACCGAACCTGAAGGTATTCTCCATACGTTTGTCCGAATCCCATTTCCACCTTGTTCACACCCTTCTGCCCTTCTTCGCCGCCATCGAAGAATGTGACTTGCGAGCCGCTGTATGGACAAGCCATTATCGATCGATGAGCACTGGAAATAAGCAATGATTACTAGTTTCGTCGGACTTGGCAACAAATATTTATGAGAATAACGAGAAGACCGACTGGTTTTGTTCATATCGATTCAAGGAAATCGTCGCATTCCTAGCGTGACGAACACCATTTTTTTCACGTGCCTATTTTGGTTATGAGAGGAGATAGGAGGGGTGTAGAGTTGATCTTGTGTCGCAACGGAAGTGATCACCCACCCGAATGGATGAACTTTGAACATCCCCCAATTGCTCGTCCTTCAACGCCATCGTCGATGGATATCCGCCTCACACAGCCATCAAAAATTAGCAAGTTTTGCCGGTGGAACGCCACATCTAAGAACGGGGGGAGGGTGCAATTTTTCACACGGAACTGGATGCGATGACCTCGGTCTGTTGATTAACACACTGTTCCTTTGTATGATGACGTTGGAGTGATTTTCGGAGCCGCTCAATTAATGATCTTCTCTCAAAAGCGGATCTCACACACATCTTATCAGTCTCACTTATATAGTAAAGCTTTAAAAACAAGCATCATCTAACATGGGCGGACATTCAAATGATTAGAATATCAATTGGTTAGGAGGGGGGGGTCCTAGATTTTCTCAGTCAAGAATATTCGAGGATAATAAATAGGAATGAACCCATATGGAATGCTTAGAAGCCGGACATTGAGATAATAAAGAGATTTTGGTTTCAACTAAATTCGATTCTTGAAATATTTCGAATGTTCGTAGAGGGATTTGATCTTTGAAAGAATTTTCAGCAGCACGTGGTGTTAAAAACAATTGTCGAGATCAAAAACAACAACATCGTAACTACATGACTTTCTAAAAAAAATGTTAAAGGGACATGTTATTGGCAGTTTTGAATTGTACTCTACACTTTTGCAAACGTTTCATCATATGAGGACGACGAGGTGATTGAGATGATCTGAATTGCGGTGTGCAAATGATCGGGGGGAGGGGGCCTCTGACATCGACCAAAAAAGCACGTACCGTAAAATTGATATATGAGGCGGGGATGGCAGATGATGATGGTGATGATGATGAAGATGAATATGCGGATCGATGCGCGTATTATCATTTCGATGACACACTACTATCAGGCACACAAATCAAATCGAGAGGAGGCCTCTTGTGCGTCGTCAACACACGTGATCGACTCGTTTTTGAAACGAAAACGCTTATTAGCCGACCTCATCAATACCCGCTATGCTATTTCGAACTTCATCCACATTTCAGAAAACGATCATCCAGAAACTATGATGTTTCTAGAAGATCAATAATCGAGATTGGCAACAAATTGTTCAAATCCCATTCAGACTTCAGAGATTTGAAACGAATGTATCTCGGTTGATTTTGATCTAAAAATGGTAGCATCATGGGAGTACCCAAAAGCTGTCGCTGGTTTTAAAACTTTTGGGCACTCTCAGTAAAAAAAACGAAAGACGAAAACGCGCAAAAACTAATGAAACAAATACTAAAATCTTATACACAAGGGAGTCCTTTTCATTATTTCATTTAGAGTTTCCTCACATTTGGGCCAATACTGAATGAAGAGAAAACGCTGAATGGGGGAACGTCTAATTTTTGTCTTAATGGGAGGGAAGATCTTTAGGATAACAAGTAATAGGCTAAGGTAAATCAGTGCTGGGATTAGGCTAACGAGTTGATGCTCCAAGCCTTAAGCGAACTGTTTGAAAAACGAAGCCAATTAAAAATTTCACGGTTTCAAGCCTTTTATTCAAAGAGCACATCAACAAAATAATCACAATTGTTTCTGCTTCATCTTGGATGGACACTACGCCTATAATTCTGAATTTATAAGCGCACTCGAAATATGTTTTTGTAGTTCAATTCTCGCAATGATTAAGTTTTTTACATTTTTCAAATATTCATCACGACTTTTCTCCATTCAGAAATATCATTTTTCAACTTTACTCCCATTCAGCTCTTCCCTCCCAATTTAGACGTTCCACCATTCAGCTTCCCCCCCCCCCATTCAGTATATACCGCAAATTTGTATGCAAAAATCGCATGGGGAGAGGCCAAAACTTTGAAGGTCCATATCTCGATAACTAGAATTTTGCGCAGGTAGGGTCAAGTGGAAATATAATTGAACCGTACATCAAAGACCAAAAGTAATGAGAATTTCTCGCACCGATTTTTATTGGCAAATAGATGATATATGCTCGGCAAAACTTCGTAATTTTGCGCAGATTTAATAACTCCTTGAATTTACGTTGATTTCTCGAATTTGAAGACCCGACTTCCTTCAGTTGTTTGACATAAACACTGATTTATGATACTAATTTCTCCAGAAATTTTTATTGGCCTTATTTATTTAATTCGAAATTATTTTGTTCCAATTGAAACCTATCAAAATGGAAACATTGTGTAATCACAGCCGCATGAACTCTGCGGACTTGCATTTTAATATACGCCTATACACATTTTTAAAAGTTGCGACGTTTGGCCGAGAAGAAATATGTGCATTTTTTGTTGCGTTAAAAACTACATAGTTTTACCAGCTCAACACACACGTCACAAAATTTTTTGCCATTTTTTCCCAATTTCATTCAAATAAGCGGTGAGTTTTTTTTAAATTAAATGCAACGTTTTTAAAATGACTTAAAATGCATTTTAATTGTTCCGTAGATAATATAGAGATGAGGACAACTGCCAACGATAACTTGGTAAAGAACGCAATTATTTTGTGATTTCTTTCTACCAAGGACCAATTCGTTTACTCGAATTTGTCACTGTTAAGCCCGCACGAGCGCGATGATCGGTCAAACCACCCGACTTCGAGAAACGCTCCGCCTCGGTGGTCCGAAGGGCCCGACGACTGTAAAGAAGGAAGTCCGTTGGTGGTTGTGTGGTCTAAATAATCTCTTATTTTTACGGAATTTTCGAATTGGCAATTAGATATTTTATAAATTTACTCGTTAAAAAATGATATAAAATAATATTTCATTTTTTCATGCCGGATTCCACATGTGTCGAGAAGCAGCCAATTAAAAGGAAGATTCTATCGTTGAAGAGTATTATGGGTATTCATTTTAGTTTTCTTATTTCCAAACTAAAATTTCAGATAACGAAAGAAATTTTCTGTGCTGCTTGCTAATACGTCTCGAGTTTTGGGACGCCTATACATCGGCAATTCAATAAATTTTCATCGCAGGGGATAAACGGTTTTTTCTCGCCAAGGTTATCATAATACCTGAAATAATGAATTTTTAATTTAGAAATCAAGCACATTTTTAAAATTTATATAGAAGACGAGCTCGACCCGGTTCGATCCGCGATTTCGCAAGTATTCTTCCAACCAAATTCAGACTTATATACCAAAACCTCTTTTAGACTTCTTTTGATTCTATACTGTCTGTGGTTCCTATATGTTGAGAAACCGCACTTGATGAATGATCAATCTTGAAAATCTGTTGTCTCCTGCTGATCTCAACAAGGCGAATATCTGATTTCATTGGTATGATTTTGAATTCTTATGAATTTTGAATATTTTTGGTAGTTGATGAATTAAACGATTGCATTTTTTAATTCGACTGTAGGGATCGGTTGGAATTAGTGAAATTCTTTCTTCTCCTTTCGTCACAAAGTGATGCTTTCTCATTATTCGTGCCCTTCCGAAAAGAGAAATTTTTCAAGGCTTCAACGTGTTGTTGTTTTATTGTGCTTAGGACATCATTTTAAGAAATATAAAAGAAAAACTATTAATTTAGAATAAATCAATTGCTGTTTTCAGAACTGAAATCATGCCTTGGAACCTGCTTTTCAAAGAATCCTCCAATAATTTCGAAGTGGGACAAATTTCAAACGAACTCTTTCTGTATCACTGTTTTTCTTTTCGAAAATTTGTTGCCGTCATCCCATATAAGCGGATGGCAGGTGAACGCCAGTCTGGTGCTCTGTTTTTTCACGATCCCAAGTTTTTCGTAGCTTGATCTTCTTTTTTCAAATCTCTCCCTAAAATGCAAAATTACCTGTTAATCCGCATGAGACTATAGCGAAAGACGCACCTCGTAAGTCTGCACGCGTGCAGCAGTCGGCGGGCGGCCATTATAGTCGTGGTACGTTTCCATTGGAAATGCATGTATAAGATGTTTTTCGAGCTGTCCGACCAGTGATTCGAAAAGGACGAATCGTGGTTGGTTTTGATTAAAACATCTGATAAGCACGGGGTTCCCAATAACTTCCACGGTTTGTCCCAAACCAACTAACCTAGGAGTACGAAACTCCAATTACACATCGCCCTCAATTTAGCATGTCGGGCTAACTCAAGTTGCGAAAGGGGCAGTACTCAAGTCACGAGCGCTCCGAGTCGGCTGTGTTCGGTGTCGTTGGCTTCGACGCTATAGTGTCCAGAACTCGGAGATGGCGTTGGAATGTTCCGAACTGAGTGACGTCGATCAATGGTTTATCTTCCGTGCGGAATTCTTGAACGGCTGTGCATGTAACCGGCAACGAGGCTCCCGTGCTCCATCTTTCTGATTTATGTAGTTCCGCGAATCCTATTCCTCGTGAAACGATGTCCGCGGGATTGTCTGCTCCGGTCATGTGTCCGAATAAGAATCCGTCGTCGATCGGCTGCGATTGCGAACTAGCGTGGATCAAATGTTGTTCAATAACGAGTCCAATGAGCATCCTCTGTCCGGCCAAATGTATCTGTTTCTTGGCTCTTCTGGCTCCGTTTGTTCCAGATCACTGAAGTATTTGCTGGCCTTCCGGAAATTGTCTGACGTATTGACATAAATTCACGAAAACAGAAACATTGCATACGAGAAATTACCAGCCGAAGACACTACGGCGTCGGAACAAATCATTCCCTCGACATGCCGAACACAGGATTGGACTATCAGATTGGCACGGACCCTTTTAGGTATCGACCATACAGCTGCCGCTCGCTTCATGCTTCATCGAGAAGACATTGCCGCCCGATTCGTCGGAGACTCGCTTATAATCTCGCGATGCAGGCAAGTCAACATTGAAAAGATTTTCTGGAAAAAGGAAATCAACGATTCATGCTACGAACTGACACCTGTGCTCGCCGCTGGCAAGCTCTGGTTCAAATTGCACGGAACCAGAGATCTGGTCGAATCATCAGCACAAACCGAGTGCTCCAGAATTAACGTTAACGACATGACAATTCGGAAAAACGGAAAGTTCATCGACGCGAACGAACGCCAAGTGGCTGTACACCAGGGCTGTGCGGCAATCGGCAATTCCATTGCCGCACAGCCCTGCTGTACACCGAATGACTTGGTCTGAGACGATACGACTCAAACCATTCTTATTCCCAGCCACAGGAATGTTCCAAGAAAACCTCGGAGAAACCAACGGTGCTTCACTACAGGCACAGGCCGAACGAATCAATATCCGTACTGACCAAAATCAACGCGTCAGTAAACGACTTGCCGAAGAAGGAATTCTGGACAACGCATGGAACACGATCAGCGAGAAAGGACAAGAAGCAGCCCACTCCATCGCAGGGATATACGAAGCCACCAAACAAGTTATCCGAAGGCGTCGAAATTTTGAAATGGCACGTCATGCAATTTTTATTATGGATAGTATTGCCATTGACCATATCCTTCTGCTTACTGTGCGGACTATACCAATATCTGAAATGGAAGTGCATCAGGAAAGCATCCACACCAGCAGCTGCTGACACGCTTATGGAACTTATCGCAAAGAGCGTCGCAATCAACCACGTGGGAATACCAACAGCTCCACCAACCCACACGTCCGTGGAAGACGAATACCCGTTGGAAGGAATATTCACGATCAACGCCACCGGCGCACAAAAGCTCCCTCACGTGACAATCAAGATCGCCGGATACGAGTTCCGTGCTCTTATGGACACCGGCGCGGCACTCTCTTACATGCGCCTATCAACACTACAAACCATCGGAGCTACCCCAACCATGGGAAAACGCGAATTTCTCGAAAATCGCCGCCCCAATGCTGGCCCCCCAAAGGACACCGAATTCGTATGGTCAGAGTGTGAAGCAGCCTTCCAGAAGTTCAAAGATGCACTAACATCGGAACCGATCTTGGTCGCCCCAAAACTTGGCCAACCGTTCACCATCGAAGTGGACAGCTCCGGCAACGGGGTCGGAGCTGTCCTACGCCAAGCGCAAGACGCCGAAGGAAAAGACGTACTCGCATATGCTAGTAGGGTAGTCGCATATGCTAGTAGAACATACAACAAACACGAATCCCGATACGCCGCAATCGAACTCGAAGCATTGGGATTAGTATTCGCAGTCAAACAATTTCGACCTTATATCGATGGAACGAGGACAACCATCATCACCAATCACGCACCATTGAAGGCTCTACTACGCCGACGAGACCTCGAAGGAAAACTGGCAAAATACCAGATTGTGCTCCACGAGTATGACATAACGATCGAACATCGCCCTAGGAAACTCAACCAGATGTGCGATGCGTTATCACGCCTCCTGCCCGAAGAACCGGAACTACCCACTCTGAACACCATCTCCACTATCACGGATCACATCGACATCATCAGGAAACTTCGTCTTACCATCATCCGATAAAAAGCAGCAGACGACGAGATCACACGGATCAAAAACAATATTGTGAAACAGACGAGTGACACACACACCATGGTCAACGACATCTTTATCGATTTCCGGAAGAAATCGGCCACCCGCTCATACTTGTACTACCCAGACATTCCGCAAGCGCAAAGTCAATCATCAGAGCAATCCACCATTCCAAATTCGGAACCGCCCACCTCGGGATCAAGAAAACAGGAGCCCGAGTAAAACAGATCGCAACATGGCCGGAGATGTCGAAAAACATTCTGAACACCGTCCGCCAATGCGAAACCTGTCAGGCAAACAAGGACCCGGCACAGTACCGCATCTCCGCCGAATTGGAACAACTACCCACCGCGACGCGCCCATTCGAACGAGTACACGCTGACGTAGTCGGTCCATTACCAGAAACACTGACCGGAAACAAGTACATTTTCGTCTTCGTGTGCGCATTTACCAAATTCATCATTGCGGAAGTAATGGCCAATCAGAGAGCAGACACACTGGCCCGCATCTTCACTAATCGCGTGATTGCCCGATTTGGAGTGCCGGAATTACTCATCACGGATCATGGCACTAACTTTCTGAGCGCCTTCGCGGACTGCAACGACTACGCCGAGTTCCTCAATCGAACACTCAGACGAATCTACACCACGAGTCAACGGAACATCGGCACAGGACGAGCGATACAATCCAAGAAATCAGACAACCGGGCCAACCCAAACAACCCAAGAATCAACATCGGAGACCATGTGATGCTTCGGAAAATAACAAGAAATAAAATCGCCCGCATCTTCTCAGAACCACTTAAAGCCATTGCAATTGACGGACAGAACCTGACCGTATCATTGGGAACACGCTCCAACACTCGCAACCACCAAGAAAGGACATACACAATCCATCGAAACCGCTGCAAGCTGCACACCCCATCGTCAAACTCACCGGACACCGATCCCAACCAACAATAATCACTCCAGTCGAAAACGCTTATAGGGAAAACATTTAACCAACACACCAGTAGAAATAGCCAATTAATATGTAGTGTTGATCGCCCTAAGAGGAGAATGGAATGGAAATAACACCCACTTTGGAAAAGCAACAACATTTATTTAATCGAAACATCAACAATAACAACATGGCAACAATGAAGATCAGAGAAGAATTCCACGTCAAGTCGACCCGCGTTACGAATAGGAGGTCTACATCGATCGCTTCAACGTTTCATCCCGAAACGGACCACCGCAGCACGATCCGAACTCGCCTTCCACCAACAACAGCCGAGGACGACAAATATACCAACAACGAGACCAAGGAAAAACACTGAAATCAGACGCAACGTGGAAAACGATCAGAAACAACGAACTTACCCAACACGAAAGGTCAAACGATACCTCGTCGACAGGAGCGACGTCGATGCCAGAAGAGAGAAGCGTTTCGCAAGCTTCACTAGAATAACCAGCAAAGCAAATACAGCGATAAACAGCTTCGTCACGCACACAGTAAAGATACTGCCAAGGAGACGAAACCAGTAGAAATCCTATTAAGAATACTTGAGTTGAACTTACTACTTGGTACAAATTTAGGACCCCGAGAGAGAAGTTCCAAATCAAGCTTGTCCAACTTAACATCACCCAGTACAGTGCATTTAGGAATTAGTGAAAAATCAGACTGAGTTGCAGGGTTAGATTTTCGTGGGGGAGGAAGTAATTTTAGAAATTTACTAATAAAATGCGATGAGTAAAATTTACGAATAAGGGAATAATGGGTTCTACTGTGAAAATTAAGTACGACCATATCGCCTATTGGTAAGTAGTTCCATAGTGTATACTCACAACCTCTAGCAAATTTGTAGAGCTTCCGAAGCTTCGCTCGTTTTTCCTCAATTTCATACTGCAGCCATGTCCTTGCAAAATGGTCTGATGATTGCTTCAGTGCTGTACGGGAACTCCCAAACTTCATCTTGTCCGAAATAAATCGAGGATTGTTTCCAGTTCTTAGGCATCTTGATAGAAATTTGACCTCTTCCTTTTTAATTCCTATCCTTTCCCAATGGTGTCGTTTCAATTGGTTCCATTTTAAAAGCGCTGCACATATGCCTTGCGCTCCTGTAATTAATATCGTAATTAATAGAAAGAAAATTTTAGAAAATATTACCTGACACGGAATCAATTTTTTCCCATATCGAAATGGTATGGGCGGAGAGTGTTCCTTAAAATATAAGCAGAGGAGTAAAAAATAGTGTTTTTAAGAAAACAAAGTGACGTGTTGAAGAACGAGCCAACTCACAAAGTAAAATTGAATAGTAGAAAAACATACAGCGCATTTGCAATTGAGACGTGCACTGCATTCATTCCAATAGAGCGCATAGATCGTCTTTTATGAACCTATGAACTTCGAAGTCAAAAAATTACAATTATTCAATTTCGAAATATTCGGCTGGCTGATGTTTCGACGATTTCTGTTTGGTATATTACTTGGGCAGTTCTTCACCTGAAACAAAAAAATGGTAAATGCATAAACGCATAAGAAAAAAAAAGAAACGAACGCGTTAAATTTTTTTTTCAAAATATTGGTAGAACTCGGTGTACGCACACAATGTAAAGGATATCGCTACAGTTTTTCACATTCGTAATTTTTCCAAAGTATATTGTCGAATTAGAAGTACTAATACAAATAATTGTTTTTTTTTTTCTCTTCGTTCTTCAGTTCGTTACCCATTTCCTTTTCAAAGGTTTCGAAAAATACGGAAAAATTACACACATAATGAAAAATAAAAAATACAGTACCGACTTTAAAAATACAGTACCCTCGTAAATTTTCGTATGCGCTTTTGAAAATAAATAGCCGTAAATTACGATATTGTCGAAAAATGACGAATGTGAAAAACTGCAGCGTTATCCTATGTATTGTGTGCGTACACCGAGTCGCACAGTTCAACAAGAGCTACAGTAATCTCAACTAAAATTTTTTTTTCGTTTTTTTTTGCGTTTTCTTGGCGAATTTATGGTTCTATGTATATTTTTTTTTTGTTGAAAAGGTGTAATAGTAATATTTTTGTATATTATTCAAAGAAAATTGTTTTATATAAAAAGAAGCTATCTATTTTTTGAAAAAAAAACATTTTAAATATCATTTTCGGCAATTTTTGCCTAGAGCTTGTCAACTTTTTAACTTTATTGTAACTTGTTCGTTTCTTTTTTCTTATGCGTTTATGCATTTATTATTTATTTATTTCAGGTGAAGAACCGCGTTATTGACCGAATAGAAATCATCGAAAGAGCAGCGAGTCGATTATTTCACAATTGAGATAAGTTTTTTATTATGTTTTCACCTTCTGTATAGAAAAAAATTTAAGATAAATATTATAACCATCTAGAATTATTATTTTTTTATGACTGGAAAAGAGAATAAGTGTTAAATTGAAAAAGATGCGTGCTTTGTGGTTAAATTGCAGGTCATTATCGTCGAAAAGTTGGGATATTTTGGTTCGCACACGATGTTTCGGAGTCCCCAGCAAGTTGCAGCAAGAGCTTGTGGTGTTGCCTACAACACGGTTGGCCGAACTCGGAACACAAGAATACGGCAGCGAGAACGAGCAAGTCGTCGTGAAATTTGGGAAAAGGCCGGCGAGCTTCTCTCAGTAGATGACAAGAAAAAATGAGGCAGCACATCCAAGATTTGTGGATTGCGAATAAGGATGTACAGATTCCGGATCTTCTCAGTTGGTGCCAGAGAGAAATTGAGTATGAGCACGGAACTGGGACACTAAGGAATATCCTCCACTCGATGGGTTTCTGCTACAAACAGAAGAATTATCTTCCGATTGTAGCGGAAAGACAAGTATTTTTTTAATGAGAAGTAAATGAATACCCACGTCTCGTCCATGTAAGCCAGCAGAGCACCTTCGGAATGATAATTAGAAATTTCTGAAAGGAAATGTCTTCTCCACTGGATCAAGTCCTACAATGCTCAAGCTTTTTTAATGCATATTGTACACGACTTTTAGGTTTTCATTCTTTTTTTTTTTAGGATTTTTCCAAAATTTAGGATTAATCTGCATAGCGCCGTATGCAATTGGTTAGAACTGTATCGTTTGAAACATGACAATATAAACTAATATATACTGACACTGTATTCGATTTTTCCCAATTGTTAAATTTAATCTTCAGATGAAAAGATCAAAAATCAAGACAAGTGATGCGGTCGAATATGTTCGACAATCATACGTGGTAGCCCGGAGTTTGACTCTTCGGAATATTGTTTTCAACAGAGCGAACTTCGACCTTTTTCGTTTTTGTTTAACATGCTATAGTGGGCGTCCGGCGACTGCTGTACGCGAGTAGATTTACGGGAATGCGTCTTTCCTAATGGTCTCGCAAGGACTAACACGTTACTTCAAATTTTATGGAAAAAAACTCCAAAATAAGCATTCACGCGGGGCGAGATCTTTTCAAGGCGCATGCGCGTAAATCCACCCGCGTACAGCAGTCGCCGGACGTTGACTATATGTTCATCGTAAATACGACACTAAAACATTCCTTGCGGACCACGTAGCACCATTTATCCAAAATCTTTAAAATAAAACTAATAGTTTGTTTCATCGAAAAATTGACGAATACCCAAAAAGATTAACAAAATATTGACAAAAAATTAAATTCGCTCTATTGAAATTTCTATTTTCTCGCGAGTTCAGCTCCGACATAATTTATTTTAGATGACGAATGTTACTCCGACAAAGAAGAGGATGAAGCCGAATCATCGATCAATGAAACGCAATGCTGCGAAGAAACCAGTATGGAAAGTGACTTTTTTTATGTGGAACAATAAATATACACGTATATTTTAGATTTCGAGAAGTTCAAAAACCAGGACTTGCTGCGTTTTCATTTTTCGAACGGTTCGACAACTTCAAAGATAGGTTTGTATTTACACAGCAATTTCATAAACTAATGAAAAAAAGTAAAAATTCAAAAGCAGAAAATTGAAAAAAAAAAAGCTAAAAATGTATGCGAAAATTCAAATACCAATCACGGTTTCGACTTCTTCTTGATTGACAGATAAATGCGATAAAGATAGGTGGAGCACAGTATATTTAAGGAGATTTTCATTTAAGGACATTAATGATATTTCAGCTCTTGATAGATTTTTCGAGTGTAAAATGATTTCGAATGAAAAAGAATTGAAGGAAGTTCTACTGAGCGACAGGAAAATTTTCAATTGTTCTTTCGAAAAGCAAGAGTTAAGATTTGAGTAAGATTTGAGTGTTTTTTTTTTTTAATTTTTAAACGTTCAGATGCCAGTGCGATGAGTTCAAGAAATGTGAAATTGTTTTTTTCCGATTTGAAGGCTACAATGATTGCGACAATAAGAACGTATGGATCCGAAATTCAAGAAGTTTAAGAAAAAATTTTTTATTAAAGACAAATTCAGATTGATGAAATTGCCCATTCACTCAGTTCGATTAATTTCTATTTTTTGTTTTGTTCGACCGGTTGTTGTTTCCAATTAGAATAAATAAATCGTATATATATACAGTGCGCGTCATAATGATACGCCACCCCCAAATTTTGCAGTTTTGAGAAAACCATATAAATTGGTGACAAGACAATTTCATTTTCGAATTCAGGGCCATTGAAAACCTATATGTGCGTATTTTCATGAGGGTCCGTTGGTCCGTATCCGCACAGCCCGAAAAAGTTGGATTTTCAAGCGCGTCATAATGATACGCCACCCCCTATTTTTTATCGGTCCTTTGAACGACTTTTTTTTTTATTTAAGGACTAAAACGCAAGAAAAAGGTCTAAATATCCAAAGTAAAACAAGTTTGAATGCAAGAACACGACAAATTCAATGATTAGTAGTCCCTCCATAATTTTGGATCACTTCACATATTCGGTTTTTATTCTGTCGGTGAGTTTCTTGAGGTATGCAGCAGACCAACTGTTCCATTCCCGTCTACTTGCGGCCT